ATTACTAGAAGTCATCGTGAATTCACCATATGGCAGAGAGGAAAATGGTCTAAATATCAGGCAATTTGGCAGGGAAATTGCATGTGTTTATAGTTTACAGTTTACCACACTTCCTATCTAAACTTCCTTTTGGTAGCACACATTAGCCTGTGATATCAAAACATTCACAAAGGAGCAACAAAGTACAGACAATTCTTAAAAATAGGAAGTGTTTTGATATTTGATGATAATGCATGATTCAAATGTTTTTGATCATCTTAATTGTTTGTTCCTGAGCTAAATCCATTCCTTGAAAGTATACAGCCAAGTTTTATATTGATTTCAGCTGATGAAAGAGCATTTGGGTTATGAACCTAACAACCCCTAGAGGACTAATGAATGCTTATTAACAGTATGGGACAAATTAGTAGCAAGATTCACATGAATAAATGATGAGAGTAAGACAATTGAAGAATTTAGCATGTTAATACATACTTTAGTTCCCCTAACATCCACCCTTTGTAGAATATCATTAACCGGTTGCAATTTCTCTGGAGCCCATTTACGAGTTAGGAATAATAGCCGTATTCGCAGTTGCTAAGCACTGTTTTACAAGACAAATGAATCTCAAAAAGACATAGAAATTGATCTACCCAGTAGCCTGAGGTATAAGCTTAGATTCAATGCAGCCTTATGCTTCAAGTATTGTAATTTGAAAGTGAAGCTAAGCTGTATATATGGGAATGATCAGAAGATTCTGTTATTAGCCGACATAAGGACCAGAATGTTATTCCAGATAAAATGACATTATAAGATCCACATCACTAAAACACACATCAAAGTTGGTTCAAAAATGCAAATTATATTCTGAATATCAGTTGCACGATTTGTACATAATTACAGTGTTTTATTGTGTACATTTCACAAAGCATACTTGGTCCGAATCAATACTAACTAGCATTCTCACGTAGCCCATAATACTGACTCGATTAGATGCAATGAATGGGAAGACAAACAAGTGAAAGTCAATGGTTTAGACTATGTTAATACATTTGTTGCAATGACGTTATTCTTAATATTGATTGAGGACAGATCAATTGATGGTAGAATGAATATTCTAAGCATATTTCAACATAAAACAAGCTGTGACAACAATAGAATATAAAATTGTTGAAACATTCATTTTAATTTTGAGAAATGGAACATTATACACTTTGTCTAATTTTGTTTCAGTAAAGTTTAAATAATTAAATAATAAACATTCTGATCAAGAAAAAATGAAAGAAACTCATTTGGTATCTGGTTGTTATAAGGGTATGGATACTTTTGCTGCATGCTGTTTACATAAATATGTATATTATGCAGTAACATAATGTAAACAGTCCAATTTATTCTTCATTTTACAATGATATACCAAAAATTTCAAGAGAGTAGAGTAGCACTTACATCAAATGCAAAAAGTTTAGCCATTGGTATACAAAAAGTAAATGTCATATATTTTATACAGCGCAAAATCTAAATCTTGAAACAAACCTCCTATCATTAAAATATATGCCATCTATAACTTTTCAATTCTAATAAGTTTGAAGTGTAAAACTGTAAAATGTAAAAGCAACATTGATACCATGTACCACACTTGAAGAAATGTCTATTTTGATATGTCATGTTTGTTATTAGACCCATTTATTAGACTTCATCCACCGGAAGTAGCAGTATCTTGATAGATTTCTTTAATTAGGAGAAGAAATACATGAGAATAATCACTAGTAGATCCAGGGGGAGGGAGAAAGCTCCCCCCCCATGCCCCCCCCTTAGGGTAGGACCAAAAAAGTTTTAGGCCCCAGAAATTTTGTAGGGCCTCAATAAATGAACCTTTTCGGACATAACTTGGCCTTTTTATGCCAAATTATCAAAAATGGGGCTTTTCAAAATGTGGGCCCAATTTTGGTTAAAGGGGCCCAGATGTTTTTCCCTTTCTGACTTGAAATGTGCCTCCCCCTTGTTAGCTTCTGGATCTGCCAGTGATAATAGCTATTATTGAGGGTTCAGGCAACAAATAACAATTTTTGCAACTAATTAGAAAGAAAAAACAGGTGGATATGAAAACCCTGACATAGAGCACATTATAAAGATAGTCTACATCTGTGATATGTATTTTAAAGATTTAACTCCTTCCACTTTTGAGGTTTTCCTTCCTTGTATGAAATTGTGTTAAATATATATTTATACCCTTGCATCTTTACTCTACATGAAGGATTACTCCAATGCCCTATGGCTTAGTGTCCACCATGCTCAATTCCTCCCCCCCACGAATTACATTCATGCTCTATTGTTTCTCGAATTCACTGATTAATTATTACAAAAAAACATAATTCAAGCAAAGTTGTATCATATGAATATAAAATCTATCTAGTGTGAACATCTGTTTTGCATTTGAAATTTTAGTTTGAATTAATATTCGAACATGACTGTATTCACCTCTTCTATAAACTGTAAACAAAGTCAACATTTCACCCGGGGTATATTCGCGAACAATACCCCTGGTAATACAAGTAATGTGTGCGCCATAACAGTGGGCTGTAGTAAGGGCGGACAATAATGAATATTCTAAACATTTTGGTGAGTTTTCATGTTCGAATCTTAATACAGACCTCAGAGCAGGGGTAATATAGTCAAATACACCCCTTAGGGCTAGGCACAAAAGCTTTCGAACTTCTCACTCCCTTCGGTCATTCAGGGTACACATTTGTGCCTAGCCCTGCGGGGTGTATTACCCCTGCTCTTCGGTCTATATTTCTTAAATAACCTACATGAATCAAAATAACCTTTTAGATCCCTCTAGTTGACCAAAACATTCATGGCAAAGATGACAATGAAAAAAACTTGGTCATGGACCCTCTATAAGCTAATGTCACAATGATGTTAGTTTATTTACAAAAAATAAAGACCAGCCTTGTATATATTAGGAATCAGTCACCATAAAGTAACTATATGATCCTTATAACTGATGCATGTAAGTTAAATCAAACCCCCATGATTCACCATGGGGTCTTCTAAATGGTCATGGTTTTACTTTCAACAAAATATTTAATATTTGAATGAATCCTGAAGTAAAGAGTACATAGCAGAATGCAGTCTGAGTACATGGTATTGTAATGACCTTTTCAGTAGTATTTGCATGTGTTAAGCAACACAAGAATTTGTTTAAAGCAGGACTGCTCATTATAACACTGGCCATTTCAAATGCTGCTGGAGTAATTCAAAGTAAATTTTAATTGTTCTGATCTCCACTTGAAGGAAGTGTTAGTTGTCACTCGTTATTTTTTTGTGACTGAAATTCCCGTCATAATTTTCCTGCTCATCACCCTACATTTAATTTCCTGATTTTGAGAGAGTATGTTTCAAAAAATAAAATGAGGCAAATTCGAAGGTAGTATCAAATTACTTTAAAGAAGTTGATTTTGAATTATGAAGTACAGACATGACTTCAAGATCACCAAAAAGTCAAGGTACATATTTATTACTCCCGTCGAGAGCTACCATGTTAGATTTTGAAAGTATAGTTCTCTATCGCTAGAATCAACAGCTTAAGAATCCTGACTTCAAAGAAAATTCCGGGGAATTCAGCTGACTCATGTTGCACATTATATACCTGAAAATGTATCCTACATCGCCATCTTTCATTCAGCTCAACTATAGAACGTCTCACTGCCCTATGTATCGATCAGGACTTCATTTTATTGGTCGTGTCAAACGTTTTGGCCAGGTATATTCAATATGGCGGCTTGACGTTTCCCAAGTTGCGCATGCGTCCATAATATTTCCGTTTAACCGCCATATTGGAAATGGGTATCAAACAATGAATTCAAAAAACGATTAGAACTCCTGATCGCCATAGAAGCACATCAGCGATCCTACATGCACGGGGAAAGTAGACACATATGAGCCCATATGTAGGCTACAGTTTGAGACAAACAGTAAGCCGCTGAATGGCGCTGATCAAATTTAGATGTCACAATTCTTCAGCTGGAGATCCTCACGATGGAGAGCTATACTTTCAAAATCTAACATGGTAGCTCTCGACGTGAATAACATATTTACATTTCCTTCGGGCAAGGACGTCTATCTTGAGATAGACATCCTTGCTTCAGGCTTTGAAACTATTCTGAACTGAGAAATCAGATGGCCAGCCCGTGTGAGAAATCGAAGGATCAATCCTGATAACATCTTTATCGTGAATTTGTACACAAGATTTCAGCCTTTATACCAAATGGTCCCACTTTAAAAGACCAGCCAGAGTTTTATGAATGAATGGACCTAGTCCCACTCTCGTCAAGACCACAATCCGATTTCAACAAATCCCTGTGTGCTCTGTATCAAACCCATGTGTAAAAGTATTACAATCAACATTTTGTTTTCTCTCAAACAGATCAAAATAAGGAAATTTACACTTTTAGAAGCTCTTTCGTTTAATTTTGCTGACTCAATCATCTTGATGATTCACATTGGAAAAACATGACAATGAAAATGAAATTGAAATTTTTTGACATTTTCACATGTTCAATCGGTGACTTCAAATCTGAATTTCAACAATAATTGAGGATGAATTTACACAAAAAGTAGTTAAAACCAATGATATTTAAACCTTTTATAATATCAATCAAATTGGAAAATGATGTGATACAAATTATGGGTGTAAACATCGGAAATATACGTACCAGACTTTCTTTGTCTTCTGCTCTGTCTTTCGATTCTAAATTATCCTACACTGTACGAAATGTTTCTTGTTGAAACGCATATCATTTTCAATTCAAACTTTGAATACAATAATTTTCAAATCTTTCCTTTCTAGAATTTAGATTTGATTCAATAAATGATATAGATACCTGAAATTATATTTTAAGTAATTTTAGATATTGTAAGTTTTATATAAGAAGGGAAACATAAAGCATATTTTTACACAGAATGATCGGTGAATCTAGACTGGGCGAGTCATGGATAGGTGGCACCACAAGTCTTAGCATTCCTAAACAAATCCTCGAAATGCTAAATTTCATATTTTAAAACAGAAATAACTACAAGTCAAGATGAATTTGAAACATTTGAAGACACTGCTGCCACCCCAGGTATGTAGTCCACATTTAGAACTATACTTGTTGACTCTGAACTCCTGAGATAATTGTCAAATGGATGATGAAAACTCTGAACATCCAGTTCATTTTTCATCATTCAATTTTCTTATAATTTTTGAATTTGTCTTTTGAAATTAAAATTTTTTCAAACTCAGGTTTGTTTGTATGAAGTTCTTCCACGAAGTGGGCAGAGCTCTCCGTACATAAGATCGGGTGAAACTTGTTCAAGTGGCCTTACCCCGGGGGTGCACTGTGTATAAACATTGACTGGGATCCTAGGCGCATAGGGTAGATCTACCTTTTGACAATCGGTATGGCAATGGACCCAAATTTTAGGATCTGGTATGAAAATGCCCTCCAAAATTATGTGGTGTGGCTTTCGTCTCGTAGCTGCACATATCCTAATTTAAGGTTGTTTTGGATCATTTTCCTCAAAGATCTGCCTTCTGCTTGGGGCCTTCAGTTTGAATTTAACTTTTCTTACATGTGTGGTTTGGCATCTCTAATTGAAAGCCCGTGTCCTATATTTGGACATTTGGTATGGCATTGGTCCTATATTTGGACATTTGGTATGGCAATGGTCTTATATTTGGATATTTGTTATGGTTTTTGAGCATTAGTCTATTTTGGTTGGTATGGGAACACGTCATAGAAATTTGACAGATTGGTATGGGAATATATTGATATCTGAGGGTTCAGCCTAGGAACCCCGCTGAATTTTGAATAAACACATAATGTGGGGTTGAATATTCAAATCACCCCATAATTACTTGTGTATTGAAATATTATGGTGTTGAAAATAAGCTGAATTATTGGTATAATTATGTAATGACCTTCGATAGCAAGTCGCTACTACAGTCTCAGCTGTAGTGGCTAGCCCTTATGGCTCAGGGGTAGAGCGTCTGACTCGAGAGCGGGAGGTCCTGGGTTCGATTCCCGTACGGGGCATTGAATTTAGCACATTCTCTTTCGAGTCTAGTATCTGGCTCGTTACACCACAGCTCCCCGACGAGCGTGCCCAAGGGTCGTTACAATTAGATAAAATTCAGCTTTCTGTCAGCTACTGATAACGACTCACACTTTTTGTCTTCAACCAGTCATGAAAAGATTCTGAAAAAGGACACATCGTCAATGTTATGTTTTGAATGGTGTCAATTTAAATTGAAAGTATAGATATAAATTGTTTTAGAAAACACATGAGACACTGTCTTTTTCTCCTTGGTACCATATCTTTGGAATGCAATGAAATATATCTATCCAAACCTCTTTGGAAAAAATGACATCTTCACAACTCATTTAGGTCTCACAATATTATAAAAACAACGTTTGGATAGATATTTTATTTCAATCTCAAGAATTGGTAGAAAAGAACAAAATACAATTGTCTATAAATCTATAAAACAAAAACTGTTTATTAAAACAAATATATAAAATATATATAAATAATTTTCATATTAAATTATTTTCACCCGGTGACCATTAGTTGTAATTGACAATTTTCATTCTATCATGAATCATCAAATTTTATAACCAAATCAAAAAAGTTATAACAGGATGGGATAATAATTTGTCTAATCAAGATGTGAGATTCAGGAAGGGAGAGTATATTATAATATCTTGAACCTTTTCCATTTACTTCAGGAGGGGGCAGCTAAGATTATGGCAGCAGTATTCTCACCAAATAACCAGAAACTGGCAATATGTACATCAGACAGAGTTATTGTTTTATTTGATGAAAATGGTGAGAAGAGAGACAAGTTTTCAACCAAGCCAGCAGATGCCAAGGTAAATAAACATTTAAATATAGGTTTCAATTCTTGTTCAGCCAATACCATAACACTGTCATCTTCACTACAATGCACTTTAAAATCAACATATAGACTAATAGGGGAAATATAAACCAACCATACAAAATAAATAAATCACCTGTATTTTAAACTAAATTGCACGGTTTGAAAGGTTGAAGATATATAGCCAGATAATGTATTATACTCTGCCTACCTCAATTCATACTTACTTTCAGTATGGAAAGAAGAGCTACATGGTAAAGGGACTGGCATTTTCTCCTGACTCAACTAAAATTGCTATTGGACAAACAGACAACATCATTTTTGTATACAAGATAGGTGAAGGGTGGTAAGTAACATTATCTTAAATGCATAGATTTGATTGCTTGTAAGAGTGAGTGTATAAATGCCATACTGTACAAAATAATATATAACGGTAACAAATAATGCTCATAAAACCCGTAGAGTGGAATGGCTCCATAAGTTGAACACCTTTCAAAATCCTGCTACCCATAATATAAAGACACAGATCATGGAACACCTCCCAAATAGAACACTATTTTGAGGTTCCAAAGTAATTTTTCAATGTTTCTGTACATTGTAAAATCTACATTTCTGGTTAAAGTCTTAAGTTTCCTCTCAACTGTACAATATACCAAGCTGTGCTTCATTTCAGGGGAGAGAAGAAGAGTATATGTAACAAGTTTGTCCAGCAGAGTGCAGTGACAACTCTAATTTGGCCACCTGATAACCAGATAGTATTTGGCACAGCAGATGGAAAGGTACATAAGAGAAAAGTTACTATTTTGCAGCATTTGACTCTTGTGTACAACTTCATGCATTAACATTTTTTACACAACAAAATGATATACTTTGATGCAATTTTCAACTATGATACAGCTTTTGCTACATAAAAACAGAAAGTTCACTCAATAATAGAACAAAAATTGTTTGAAGGTTTTGTCAATTTTAAAAATTTCAATCAGAGTAATATGTCTTTCTAATTCCAACCCTGAATTTATCTTTGAAGACTTATATCAGTGATAATGTATGAATTTGACATTAGAGTTTGACTCTATTACTGTTCATCCTCATCAGTTTGAGTGAACATTATCATGATAGTCACATGTTTGTTCCTTGTAGATCCGATTGGCCAATGTGAAATCCAACAAGTCATCGACACTCTACAACACTGACATCTATGTTGTTTCTCTCACAATGAAGTAAGTGACTGTCAATATATATGCTTTATATAAAAGAAATTGTTATTGCCAGATATTTTTCTTGCCCTATTAATTTTTGAGCTTTGGTACAAATGTTTATGCTTCATGTGATGCATGAGTTAAGAAGTATCCACTCTTGTTATCAATCTTATTGTTTTTATCACTAAAACAGTTATTAAGATTTTGTTACTTATTTGATGCACAAGTAATATAAAACCAGATCACTGATTTTGCATCTATTACAGTCCCTCTGGCAAAGTAATTCTATCTCACCATGCTGATGGTGCAATTGTAAAATAAAACACCAAATCACTGAATTTCCATCTATTCCAGTCCCTCTGGCAAAGGTATCCTATCTGGCCATGCTGACGGTGCAATTGTGCGCTATTTCTTTGATGATGAAGGAACTGGTGATTCTGTGGGTAAACTTTGCACCCATTCTTGTCCACCTTATGCTTTGGCATGGGCCAATAATTCTATCGTAGCAGCAGGGTGTGATAAACGTGTTGTGGCATATGGGAGAGAGGGTAGGGTGCTTCAACAGTTTGACTACAGCAGAGAGGAGGATGAACATGAGTTTACTACTGCTATTAGTAGCCCCAGTGGGCAGGCTGTTGTTCTTGGCAGTTATGATAGGTATTTACTTATTTCCCAACCTCTACTCTTAAGCATTTATTTCAGTCTTCAATTTTAATCTTTGCTTCACCCAATCACTTGGAATAACACACAAACATGACACAAACATATTTACAATTGCTTCCAAGCCTAGCATAAACACTTAAATAATGACTTTATCAATCTCAAAGTATTCAGATAAAAACCTCATTTCATTATGTAATATACATGTAGATGAATGTACAGCGTATTTTTTTTATGGATGTGCACACATATTGGAATGTACAGTTTAGGTATTTTGAACTAAGGGCCACTTAACATTTTCCTTTATTCATACACTAGCAAATCAAAAGTAATACTGTTTCATAAGTCTCCATATATTTTGGATATAAACCATGATATGTTTGACTTTCCAGGTTACGAATGATCACATGGAGTCCCAGGAAAGGTATGTGGGAAGAAGGCAAATGCAAAGACATTTCTAATCTCTACACAATCACTGCACTGGCATGGAAGAAAGAAGGATCAAAAATTGTTGCTGTAAGTTTTGAAACTTTGATTTATTTATCATTTCCATCCGCATCTTGGTAACATATGTCATTCATTCAACAATTTAGAATAATCAACACATTTGTGTCTCACACTTATTTTGCCTTCTTAGTAGGCTTTCTTTGTATCTGTATCAGCACTTGGGCCAACCCCTCCTAAGCGTCTTTTTCAGGACTTTCATCGTTATGAGGCCTATATGCTGTTGTGTTTGTTTTTCTTTTGCATCTTGAATTTTGGATTTTTGCTTGTAATTTATTTTTTGGTTTATTTGTCTTTTAGTGAGTGATATTGAGACTTAAATGTTATCATGTTATGACTTCAATATGTCAATAAAATGTTTATACAAGTATATGACACACAAGCAAGATGAAGGGATGTTTAGCATATTAAGTGAATACAAAATATGAAAATTAAAATCAATTGATATCTCCATAAAAATGAATTGAAAGGGTATATGCTAACCTTTTGTGAACCTTTTCTTCGTGCAGGGTACATTATGTGGAGGCTTGGAGCTGTTTGATTGTGCCAGTAAGAAACAGATCTACAAGAACAAGTATGAGATGACTCATGTTGGACCAAGTCAGGTAATTGATTTCAGAAATTGAAACACTTTGTAAAACATGTACACATTACATTCAGTTGTGTATGATATATTTTAAGGGCACTAGAAGGGTGGAGATGAGTTGAGACTGTAAGTTCATTAAAAAATTAGCCCAAATTCGAAATACTTTTTTCTCTCATGATTCCATGTCGTGCCCATTTTTTAAAAGTCTAACAGTTCTGACTTTATTTCAGAATAATTCTTTTGAACAATATCTGGAAAAAATTGAAAAGAGATGTCCCTTTTCAATTCTAATTGGACATTTCTGCATCTCAAATCTTATCTTCGAAAAATCAGATATCATTAATTCTTTTTTCAGAAAATGACATAAGAATTGTAAGGGAAACATTGGCAAAATTTTTGAAAAGGTTGCTTATAGCATTTTACATCCTCTTACAGTTCTTTATTATTCCTTGTGAATAGTCATTAACTATATTGCCAGCAGTTATGCTAAACATAAGAATCATATTTCCAAAGATGAGTTAGATATTTAATTGGACATCTTATTAAGTGGGAGGAGATACAGAAGAATGTTTACGAAATTAGAAAAACATTTTTCCCACAATGTTCTTTTAAGAGACCTAAACATATTTATTATTTGATTCCTTCCTTTGCATTTCTGTTTATTGCCAAAGTCATTATGCCATTTTATGTCACTTGGGCATTTATTGTAATTTTTTAGCATCCACCCCTTTGGAAAGGATGCAACAAACAAAGAGTTATCATTTCACTTATAAATGTGGTGACATTATTATGAATATAATCAGGTAACCTTGTTTCATTTGTGTTTCAGGTGATAGTTCGTGAAATGTCATCAGGAAGTAAAATCAATCTGCGTTCGAATTATGGCTATGAAATAGATGAAGTGAAGATCATGGGTAAAGATCGCTACCTTGTGGCTCATACATCGGATACGTTGTTGCTAGGAGACATGCAAACAAGGGCATTAAGTGAGGTACGGTAACAGAAAGCTTTAAGTTAAGTCCCTATTTATTCAATATCCACAGCAAACTCATAATGAAATTAATAAAAAAAGGTGACTAGTGAAATTGTTATTATACATTAACTGATGCTTTCAGGTTCCATGGCAAGGTTCTGGTGGAAATGAGAAGTACTATTTTGACAATGAGAATGTTTGCATGATCTTCAATGCAGGAGAGCTCTCATTGGTTGAATATGGAAGCAATGAGATTCTTGGATCAGTGAGGACAGAATTCATGAACCCACATTTGATTAGGTAAGTGTTTCATGCTTATTTGCGCATAGTGCTTGTACCAGTTGGATTTGTTTTACATGCAGATTAAAAATAAAACAGTTATACTGTATTTTGATGCTGTTTTGTTCCAGTGTTCGACTGAATGAGAGAAAACAACGAGGTGTTGATGATAACAAAAAGATGGCGTATCTGATTGATTTAAAAACAATCGCAATCAGTAAGTTTTTTGAATTGCTTACCCTTGAATCAAAAAACAATGTTATGCATAACTTTTACATTGTTTTAACCGTCGTTTCGTATCTTCTTTATTGGTTGTCCTAACTTTAGAAATACATAAATATATTAGCTTTTGCACTATGAATTATGCTTATTGTACTATTATGCTTATTATAACAGTGGAAATGACAATGGGCCTTAATCTTGGGCAAGTCTCTCACGACTCTAAACTAGACTGGCTAGAACTGAATGAGACTGGACGATACCTGTTGTTCCGTGACAAGCAACTTAAGCTCCATCTATATGACATTGAGTCCCAACACCGCACAACAATTCTCAACTATTGCTCGTATGTGCAATGGGTTCCTGGAAGTGATGTGGTGGTTGCACAGAACAGAGGCAACCTGTGTATTTGGTATAACATTGATGCCCCTGAAAGAGTTACCATGTTTCCAATTAAGGTACAAATTTCTGTTTTATCTGTTCATTTTATAGATTTAATCACAAACATGCTAACAAACACAATCACTGACTGTTTTTTGACTTGAATTTCCTATTTTTTTTACATGTCATATGAAACAAAATAATGGTGAAGTGTACCTATTTACAGGGAGACATAGTTGACCTTGAAAGAACAGATAACAAGACAGAGGTTCTTGTGAAGGAGGGAGTAACCACCATCTCTTACACACTTGATGAGGGCCTCATTGAATTTGGAACAGCTATAGATGATGGTGATTTTGGAAGGTATTTTATATAATAGAACAGAAATCTTAAAATGTGAGATTGACTCTAATCCATGATAGAAGATTATTTCTGATTTAAAAAGAATGTTGAAATGTACAATGTTTGAAAAAGGATCATTTTCAAGATCAATCATCTTTAATTATTCTTCTATAAATTTTAATGCTTGATGTACTGTATTCATTTAGCCACACTGCTATATATACAGTTTTTATGTCACCACCAAAAAGGGGTGACATATTGTAAAGGTCTCTGTTTTTTTTTTAGGGCAGTTGACGATCGGCGTCTGTAAAAAATTCTTACAACTTCCAATAACTTAACAAATACTGTTTAGCCTGACTTCAATTTTTTTCAAAACCATCTACACGTTTTCAGAAGTTCAAATCTGACTTTATACTAAGATTTGACCTTCAATGAGCTTTTCAAGGTCAAAAAAGTTAAAAAGGTCAAAAAGGTCTTTTTTCAACTCGCTTCAAATTAACCAATTTTTTTTCAAAATCATCTACAAGTTATCAGAAGTTCAAATCTGACTTTAGATATTTGAGATTTCACCTTCAATGACCTTCTCAGGGTCAAAAAGGTCTTTTTATGTTCATGTAGAGTATAGATATGGCCGTGAGAGTCGTACATGTAAAATTATTAATATAAAATTAATATAAATAAATATTGAGCCAATTAACACAAAACACAATACCTTGGAAAATAATGGCTAATTTAAGTTAATTAGCTACAAGAGTTTACAATTTGACATAACTGTTAATTAGCTCAATTGGATATATTAAAATACCATCTCCAACTCATCTTCTTGGGCGAAAATAAATCTCCAACTGGTGGTGTAAGCTGGGGAAGGAGGTGAGGGAAAAGAATCGAAATGTATAACTTACATTGATGTTAATGGATTTTGTACGCACCTAGGGAGAAAACCCTCCAACTACAATCCTATCGATATCTCGTCTAAAGTCTCATCTCGTACTCTCGAGATCTGAAGCTTGATGTTTCGTTCAGTGTAACTTACCAGAAACATTTACCTGGGATAACCGGGGAATGGTCTTCTTAGGGCTTGTTCAAACCTAAACCTTAACCGACTCTCACATTGCCATAAATGAAATTATTGTCAATAATTTGAATTTTCAACTTTCTTCAAATCGACCAATTTATTTTTTCAAAATCATCTACAGTTCTCAGAAATTCAAATCTGACTTACGATTGAACTAATAATATTGAGAGCAACTAGGTGGTGACATTTTGTCATGTTAATGCCTTGTTATGTATTGATATTACAATTATTTCTCTCTCATAAAGGGCAGTGACATTCCTGGAGACACTAGAGATGTCCTCTGAAACTGAAGCCATGTGGAAAACACTGAGTAAACTCTCACTTGAGGCCAAACAGATCCACATAGCTGAGAGGTAGGTTTTTTTCTGTATTTTATTATAACTGGGGGCCTTTAGTGGATTATATAAATGTCTTTAAATTCATCAGATGCCACTAGGATAATTATTATAATTAAATGATGATTATTTGATAAATCTGCATCCCTACATTGAATTTAACACTACCCTAAACTGATTAGATACTCTATACCAGCCAGCAGGGTGATGTATGCATGTTATTGATGTATAATATATAAAATATATATGTGGCAATGTGTAATGGACTGTATTTAACCCCCTAGGTGTTATGCTGCTTTGGGGGATGTATCTAAAGCTCGATATCTTAGAGAAACAAACAAAATTGCTGCTGATGCTGCAAAGAATATTGGAGGAGATGGAATGAATCATTACAAAGTATGAATCCTCAATTAGAAATTTAAATACGATTATTAATAATCTTTATATAATCTTTATTTAAAGAGGCAAATAAATTATACATACATACAATGTTATCCTTGTGATATTATGAAATGTTGATAAAAGTTTTGATTTTTTGGCAATAATTTTTGTCAGTTTTGAACCACCTTGATAAATGGAGCTAAGACCTACTTTGAGCAGCTGTGAAAGGACCCAAGTGGAAATTGAAGACATTACTGATGTGTTGATTAATTTATTGTATTGTAGGTCAGAGCAAGAATGGCTATCATAGAAAAACAATACAAAGAGGCTGAGAGTGTTTACTTGGAGCAGAATAACATTGATGAGGCCATGGAGATGTACCAGGAACTACACAAGTGGGATGAAGCTATAGAAGTAGCAGAGGCAAAGGTATTGCCAATTGCAAAAATCATAATCAAAGGAGTCGTAGCATGTTATTTTTCTTTGTTATCAAAGTGAGTTCAATGATCTAAAGCTGTGTCAGTCCATTGTGTTGACTTGACCATATGTTTACTTGACGATGTTACCTGGAGTTGAGTTTCGCAAAGGTAGAGTTGCCCTGGGTTGATTTCTTCGAGGGAACACTTAAAACGTATGTCAGATTTTAGTTGATATAGTGTTAAAGGAGATGAGCAATCCTTTTATCAAGAGTATGTACATCATAGACATTAATCGATTAATTTATTGTAGGGTCACCCAGAACTTGAGAACCTGAAGAAGAACTATTACCAGTGGCTAATGGAGACAAACCAGGAGGAGGCTGCAGGGGAAATGAAGGAGAAGGAGGGAGATTACATGGCAGCACTGGCCCTTTATATGAAAGCAGGGCTGCCTGCTAGGGCTGCAAGGCTGGCAACTAGTAGAGATGAACTCATATCAAACAAAGACATCGTCAGCAGGATTGCCAATGCTCTCATCAAGGGAGAGTTCTTTGAAAGGGTAAGACAGGAATTACCTCAAAAATGAATGCTTGCCAAGAACAGTATCTCCCTTCCGAACCCCTTGACTATATCGACGGGTGCTGTAGTTCTTGTACTGTTATTCTGTAGAAATTTATTGATGTTTGATAATAACCTGTAGAGACAGACTAAAATTATTTTAGCAAGTTCCTGGAACATTATTTGTATTGAGTATGTTACATTCCTAGCCTATCATCTAACATATAGAAAATGTAATCTTTGCATATTTCCCTTGTTCTCACAGGCTGGTGATCTATTTGAGAAGATACGTGATCACAAATATGCCCTGGATTGCTACAGGAAGGGCCAGGCTTATAGGAGGGCTGTGGAGCTGGCCAGGTATGCCTTCCCTGAGGATGTAGTGAAATTAGAAGAGGAGTGGGGAGATCATCTTGTGGCACAGAAACAATTGGATGCAGCTATTAACCATTACATTGAGGCAGGGTAAGATAATAAAGTTAGAATTAATCTTCCTTGAAATAATGGAGAGCTTATGCGATGTATCCTGTATTCCTTGCATGAAAATCAGTTCACCAATAACTTGTCAATGTTGATATAATTTTCAACTGATGATGTAGGGCCATTAAATGGACATCTTGTTTCTATGATTAAGGGCTACCATGAAAGCAGTGGAAGCAGCTATCAACTCCAGACAATGGCATAAAGCTGTCCAGATCCTAGAGGTGGTTGGTGATGCCAGTATTGCCTCACGTTACTACATCAAGATTGCTAAGCATTATGCCTCTATTGGAGAATATGAGGTAAGATTTTACTATAGATGGTATCCACTTAATTTATGGATGTAGGTGAGAAAACTGTATAAACCTCATTCGCTATTATAATCAAAATCTGTAAAGCAAACTACATGTGTAAACAATTAGCAGGTATGAGATAAGAATACATATATTAAGTTAGGTGATTAGTGAAACTTCTGTTAATATTGGCTTCAACTTTAAGTCTTACTATCTCTGTAGAAATCTCCCTATCTGCTCCCACAACCATCTTATCACATTATCAGTGCCTCACACTGTATGGTGGGGGGTATTTGAGAGTACTTTTACCTTATACCTTTTTTACCTTATACAGACTGCAGAGAGGTTCTTTGTGGAGGCTGACTACACTAAGGAGGCAATAGAGATGTACAATGCTGCAGGCAAATGGGAGGATGCACACAGACTGGCTGCTACATGTATGAAACAGGAAGATGTGGCTGCTCTATATATCCAACAGGCACAGGAATTAGAGACACAGGGACGATACAAGGAGGCTGAGAGGTAGGGGTTCACATGGAATCTACTACTATATATCAACTTTATAAGTCTATTTAATAAGAAATTCCACAACCTCTGAACACATGGGTTCAGACATCATCTTTGGGAATATGTATACACCTATTTTGTTGATAAAAAGGAAGGAACAGAGTGGATCCAGGGGAGTGGATTTTGTCTACATCCTGCCATTTGGAAGATGAAATATCTGAATTATTTTAAATATATTCTTAAATATACTCATTCCCTATACTCATTTCCCAAATCATTGTTTTGGTATTACAGATTACCTGGATTTCATGCTCAGGCACAGACCATCTACCCTGTTCATTGTCTTCACATAGGCTATAATTAAGAAATATAGACCCAAGAGCAGGGGTAATATTGTTGAATACACCCTGCAGGGCTAGGCACAAACGTTTTCTGTACCCCAAACGACCAAAGGGAGTGAGGAGTTCGAAAGCTTTTGTGCCTAGCCCTAAGGCGTGTATTCGACGATATTATACCTGCTCTGAGGTCTATATTACGATTCGAACATGAAAACTCACCAAAATGTTTCGAATATTCATTATGGTCTGCTATAACTACGGCCCGCCGTTATGACGTCACACATTACACGTATTACCAGGGGTTTTGTTCGCGAATATACCCCGGGTGAAATGTTGACTTTGTTTACAGTATGTAGAAGGCGTGAATACAGTCATGTTCGAATATCCTTCAATATATAATATATCTATATCCTATAGATATATTATACTTATAGGTTGTATGTGACAGTTGAAGAGCCTGACCTGGCTATTACAATGTACAAGAAGGTGCGCATGTACAATGACATGGTGCGCCTTGTGAAAACATACCACAAGGAACTCCTACAAGACACTCACATGCATCTTGCTGCGGTAAACACTCTTTTATTTGAAATTTATTGAAATGTTACCATTAAAGGGTATATGAAATCATCACAAGAAAGCCACAATTAAATTAAATTTATTATTTGCTTAAATATTGTCAGTTCGTTTTTTTTGTTCATCAAATGAAATATTAAGGATATGGTAAAAAAGTAACAAATGAATTGATGTTACTTTGCATCGGTTTAAAGAATGTTACCAAGATTGCAATTAGTCTAAATAATGTATTTATTTAGTTTACTTTCCTAAGTTTTTGAATATTATAAACCACTCTCCTATACAGGGAACAGTTGCATATATGTAAAAAGGTACCATATTTGGCATTGGGAAAGTCAGAGGATTTTGTCCAAGCTGATACACTCAGAGGAGTAATTACTAATCATGTTATAAATACTGCTTATAACATTTGAATAACGTCTTATTTCCTCACTGTAGGAGCTTCAAAATGAGAACAATCTCCGGCAGGCTGAACATCACTACATTGAGGCCAAGAACTGGAAGGAAGCAGTTAATATGTACAGAAACAATGACAGCTGGGATGAGTCATATAGGGTAACAGATATCTCACCCCCTCCCTATGTACTGCTTGTAAACGTGTCACCCCCTGCTTATGTACTGCTTATAACCCCAATTCTTTTCACTCCCATGAACTGCTTCTAAAGCTCATGTTTCAACCTCCCATGATCTGTTTGTAATCCCATTCTTTTCAATCCCCATGCTTCTAAAACTCATGTGTCACCCTCCCATGATCTGTTTGTAATCCCATTCTTTTCATTCCCCATGCTTCTAACACTCATGTGTCAACCTCCCATGAACTGCTTGTAATCCCATTCTTTTCATTCCCCATGCTTCTAACACTCATGTGTCACTCTCCGATGAACTGCTTGTAATCCCATTCTTTTCACTCCCCATGTACACCTTTCATCTCAGAATGCCTCCTTGTCCTTCTGCCTGTCTCATCTCTTCTTTCTTTTATACTTTTATACTTATAACAGGATTTCTGCAACCAGGGATGCACCTACATTGTGTATTACTACTAACCTAATCATTCTTAATGCCACTATGGTCATGCTTGTTCCTTTCTATTACTATGTTTTGTCATATCTATAAAATATGATGAAAAGCACAGGATTACTGATAAAAATCACAGAAACAGAAAATGTTTCCCATTATCCAAACGTGTTTCATATATCTGAAAAACAATTTATTCCATGTGCCCCAGATATTATTTTATTCGATGCTTTTCAATCTTTTCCTCTCTTATATGCAAGCATGGTCACCGTGACATTGCACCTCACAATACCCTCTAGCTCAAGCCAATGCTTCTATTGGTTAAAAACTACAGTGTATATAGCTGTTCTAGGAATATCAAAGGGTAGGCATGTATCGCAAGGCTGAGGAAAGTCATCTATTGGCTGAACGTTTGGGTAGCTGTATAGCTATGTATCATGAAGCAGATATGTGGGAGGATGCATATAGGGTATACATTGAATATAGCACACACAGGTTGAGACATGTCAGCCTAAGAACTGACCCTCCCACGTTATATAGTGGAGGCATGTCTTCAATGTGGAGTGATCCTTTAGCTAATCCACTATAATTATTTTAATTCTTTTATTGTTGTAAATCTTACAAAAATTGTGTTTGTGGGAATATATTCCATTGTTTGACCTTATGGGTTGGGGTTACACCTAATATTTGCCCACATATCATTAATTACATTGTTCATTTTATTTAAAATGTTGATTTTTTTATTTAGTCTCACATCAAATATCTGGTTTCCTCTCCATCATATATTTTTCCGACCTTGTAAGAATGAGGGAAAATACAGTAGCCTTATGCAAGACTCAGTATTCATTCTATTTCTATATAATTAGAACAGTAATTCTTTTATAAATGCAAACAAATAAACAGAAAGGAATTTAAATAAATTAATGCATAATATGTGAAAAATTCATTACAAATTTGTAAGGGTAAAATTAATTTTATTTTTTATTCTTTTATGTGATTTTATAATGTGTATTCAGTTGATATGATATATCGGCATGGAAATGCTAAAATTCTCTTTGTTGTAGGTGGCTAAGGCCCATGGGGGACCCAATGCTGCCAAGCAGGTGGCCTACCTTTGGGCAAAGAGTCTTGGAGGGGACTCAGCTGTGAAACTTCTCACAAAGTTTGGTCTTTTGGAGGCAGCTATAGATTATGCATCAGAGAACTGGTAAAGTATTTAAAATTGACAACATTGATTTGAAAATAAATTTGATTGCCTATTATTGCAAATTATTACAGCTTAATCCAGATGTGTTTTACAGGTCACCCTATCAAAATGATTGTGATATTTTATTATTGATGTGGTCTGTTTCAGTGCATTTGACTTTGCATTTGAGCTGTCAAGGACTGCCATGAAGAACAAGATGCCAGACATCCATCTGAAGTATGCCATGTTTCTTGAGGATGATGGCAAATTCCCTGAGGCTGAGCAACAGTTCATCAAAGCAAATAAACCCAAGGAGGCAGTTCTCATGTAAGATATATTGAACAATATATGGTTAGGGTTGATGATGTTGTTTATTTTAGAATTCAAGTTTGTTTACATGATTATCAGAGAGAATATGCAAACAAAACACTTCGATGAAATATTCATCTGATAAGTTTTAACCCCATTTCAATGAAATAAACCTATTGATTAAAATATTCATCTGTAGGTATGTCCATAACCAAGACTGGGACTCTGCTGGGAGGGTGGCAGAGGAGCATGATCCTGACTCTATTAAGGATGTACTAGTAGGTCAGGCCAGAGTGGCATTTGAGGCTAAGGAATATCAGAAGGCAGAGTCTTACCTACTAAGAGCTCAGAGACCTGATGCTGCTGTAAAATATTATAAGGTATGGAATATAGTACTATTGATAGGGCTTAAATTGTAATCATATTAATTTTGATTAAAAATATTTTCTTCTATTCAAGGTTCAGAAAACTTTTAATATTTCTTAATTTTGGACCCTAATCTATCATTGAATCTGCAATTGATGAAATTAATGTCTACGTTATGTAGCAAATAACATTCAAGATACTAGGAGACTGAACACAATAGCACCCCTTAGCAAATCGCTCCCATAATCTGTATCTAGTGATTTCAATTCTGGGCTTTTGGACCAAATATCTGTTTTGTGTTGGTCAGGAAGCAGACATGTGGCAGGATGCCCTTCGTGTTTGCAAGGAATATCTTCCCCACAAACTTCAGCAGCTGCAGGATGACTATGACAGAGAGATGATGGATAAAACTACAAGGTTAGTTTATTCTACATTTTGTAGGTAATTCTGCTGTATAGATAGTAGTTGTGGTTGCCATGGTGATCACACTACTTGTTGAATGAAAAGGAGAGTATGAAAATATGAAATATGTTCATTTTGAAAGATTTCCTTGTGATATTTACGTGAAATGTTTATTGAAAAAATCACATAGTTTAACAAGCAGAATTTGTGATTCCATAGTGCTGCAGATTATATGAAAAGAGTAAATTGTAACATTTTGTTTTCTTATAATTATAGAGGGGCTGACAGTTTGGTACAACAAGCCAGAGAGTGGGAGTCTTCTGGAGAGTATGCCAGAGCAGTGGACTGTTATGTAAAAGTTACACCTAAACACACATCTGACAACAACCTACTGCAGAAATGTTGGGTGAAGGTAAGCGGAACTGATCCAGATTTGTGAATCTATTTGTCCAAAAGCACAGTCTATAATATAATTATCTCATAATGTGGATCTGCAAAATGTCTGCATTATAAATTCAAAAGAATTTTCACCTCATCAACTGATTGCATCAACTGTTGCCTTACCCTGCCTGTATATACATTCAGTTTCCAAACCAAGCTCAGTTGGGTGTAATGTTATCTGATCATTCTGTTTTAGGCTGGTGAGCTATCTCTCAAGTTCCTGACTCATGACAAAGGAGAGGCTGTGGTACAGATTGTGGGACCAAGACTTGTTGAGATAGGAAAATATACAGCTGTATGTATTTATTAACCATTGCATATAAATAAATAGTGGCATTTTGTCATATAGCACCAAGGGGATTTTAGTTACTAAAACCTTCATCCAATGTTTTAGTTAGATTTTATGTGACTAACCATCATAGAAGAATTTACTGCATTTTAGGCAGCAGAGCTTTACCTCAGAGTTGACATGATAAAAGAAGCTATTGATGCCTTTATTGATGGGGAAGAATGGAATAAAGCAAAGAAAGTTGCCAAAGAATTGGAACCAAGGTAACTTTTTAAGAAAATATGTCTGTTCTAGTGTACGTATGAAATGGCTTTATGAGTATTGGTGTACCATTATTGGATGTAGCATTTTACTGTGCTATTTATTTAAGTTAAGGTTGATGGAGTAGAATGATGTCTAATTTATGATTTATCCTTTCATGGCCACTTATATTTTTAACTCGGTAACTTGACATTGGGCTGTTTATGTGTCTCTGGCAGTTTATTCAGAAATAAACTTGGATTCCTTGACTTAATGTTATAGATGGCATGGCTATATATGTGTAACCTTGCATATTCATTAGGGTCTCAAGTTATTGCATTGAAAGGCCACCATGGAAATATTTCACATATAAATATAAATATTGTATATTGTATTTCAGATATGAGGCATATGTTGATGAAAAGCACACAAGGCATCTGAAACAACAGGGAAATGTAGATGGGGTGAGTCATGGTTGCCTAGTACACAATCAGTACTTCAGTTTATTGAAATGGTTAAATACTGTCACTATTATTGAAAATAAAGAAATATGTATAAGTTCTAGGATTGGACTCCAAATGATAGTAAAAGACCTGTATTACTGGCAATTCACACACCAAAATTAAGGTGCTGCATCAGCGCAAATGTAAATAAAAGTTTCACTATGAAAGCAAGCAGAGTTCTAGTTTGCACTGTGTGCATATATAACAAGAGAAGCCCTTGAGGAGGTTTCTTACCATTTTGGAGACATCTTTCATCTGTACTTCACCTTCACCGTTTTTACATATATTTCAGATTATTGCCAAGGATGTTGTTGCTGGGCTTGATATCTATGTGGAGAAGGGAGAATGGGAGAAATGTATTGAAATTGCTGAACAACAAAGCTCTAAAGTTCTCGACAAATATGTTGCCTTGTATTCAACACATCTCATTAAAGAAAACAAGGTTATTAAGGCGATGGATCTGTTTGTTAAACACGGGGCTCCTGCCCATCCACAGGTATGCACTAGAAATCTGATTGATACATCAACACTTTAGACTCCATCTATTATCCATCTGAAGAACAGCTCATAGAACAACTCATACTGTAGATATATGTAGCATTTATACACAAAATTGGCAATCATTAGATATACAAGAAGTCTGTCTGTAACAAGTAAACAAAAAATACAAGTAATACATGAATACAAACACAAAATTATGAAGTATAAAATGAATAATATTTGTGAACATTTTCTTTCAGAACTTCAACATCTACAAGCGTATAGTCCATGACATACTAAACATGCGTAATCTTAATGTGGCAGAGTCCTATAGAACTTGGGCAGACCTCAGAGAGATGTTGTTTGACCTGGTAAGGTTCAAAACCTTAAAAACATAATTTTTGTGCATCAAACCATTTTTACCTTAATTGCTATCAATGTTTTATGAATCTGGCAATTGGTTAAGTATGCCACCTGCTTATATATTATTACATGTATACATTTTGAGATCATAAAGCCTGGTCTATGTAATCAGCTTATTTAGGATCTATTTTAACATGAATGCCGATCCTGTAATTTAATCTTAAAATGTTTTATCTAAAATACAGTTCTTGCCACTTTGCCTTCTGACCTTTCACTAGGTTTGCCTTTTACACATTGACACTCTACAGTACAATTTATGAGTGTCTCCACCTATATATTTCCAGTATGAGAATCTTGCTAAGTCTAGTGAGGCTAACAGTCCCCAATCTGAAGAGTTCGAGACCATGTTAATTATTGTGCACTACTACGCTGCCAAGTGTGCCTCCTTGTCTCATAGTAGCCTGGATACCATTGCATGTAAACTGGCAGTCTCCTTACTCAGACACACTGAGATTATCCCAGCAGATAAGGCCTTCTATGAGGCTGGTATGCTATGTAAGGTGAGAAAATGTGAATACTCAATTTTTTATCTTATTTATATTAATTTAACTATGGACTTCACCGACAATTCATGTTTGGTCGATGCAAAAAACCTTCTCCTCTTCCTTTTGAAAATCATGTACAACTGTAACTGTATAGAATTTTACCTATCCATTATTTGTACCAATATTTATTGCTTTAACTTTACATCATCAAAACAGCAAAACAGCTATTTAACTGTCAGATATTACCATGTTTGGGTTTCTTTGTAACTCTGTAAGTACATTCATCTCTGCTTAAACTCACTAACCAGTGATACATGTTATTGTAGGCCACAGGTCAGGAGAATGCTGCATTTGTATTCCTGAATCGCTACCTTGATCTGGTGGAGGCTATTGAAGAGGGCTCTCTAGATATGATGGACAACAGTGATTTCCAGGAGACTGACATACCTTTTGAGATACCACTCCCAGAAAAGGCCCACCTCCCTGTAAGCTTTTCATTTCATAATAAATGTGTTTCAGTACATCTTATAATATAAAGTGTTATGGGCAGGTTATGGCACATTTGTGAGATTGTATATGCCAAGACTAATAAGGAGTGTAATGTTACACATTTGATTTGTCTTATGGTCATTTGATTGTTGTAAAAAATGATTGTTGTTACTTGAAACTGATTTGCTTGCTTTTATAGGTTGTAATTATTTCAGTCCTAAGCAAGAGAGGGGCTCTTTTTGGGGTACCCTGTAATATTGCAGGTTTTTACCTCCCCAAATTATTATTTTCAACTTGATACTTTTTACAGATGTAAGAGCAGACTATTGCAAAGGTCTGCTTAGGTTTTGGGCATATTAGATTAATTACATGGCAGCCATTTTACTCTTCAAAATGCAATATTTGATGTCACTGTATGTCTTATTTTATTTTTAAATCATGATTTGCAGGGTTTATTTCATGACCAAGCTCATCCAAGATAAAGGCTTATTCAAATCTTACAAACCCTTTTCTTTATAGGATGATCAACATGAGGAAGTTAAGGAGTGGGTGTTGGCAGTCTCCATGGACCAGAGGGTTGAGCAGGTCCTACCCATGGATGATGAGAGGGGATGTTATGAGGCTTCCCTTATAGCACCAGACACAGGAATCAGATCACATCCTTGTGTGTTAACAGGTAGGCTGATATGGAAAAAATCATGTGTTCAGTCCATCAATGTAGTCTACCACTTTTATTTGCAAAAATCATGCGTTTAGTCCATCAATGTAGTCTCAGTCCATCAATGTAGTCTACCACTTTTATTTGCAAAAATCATGCGTTTAGTCCATCAATGTAGTCTCAGTCCATCAATGTAGTCCAACACATTTATTGGCAAAAATCATGGGTTCAGTCCATCAATGTAATCCACTACATTTATTGGCAAAAATCATGTGTTCAGTCCATCAATGTAATCCACTACTTTTATTGGCAAAAATCATGTGTTCAGTCCATCAATGTAGTCTACCACTTTTATTGGCAAAAATCATGTGTTCAGTCCATCAATGTAATCCACTACATTTATTGGCAGAAATCATGTGTTCAGTCCATCAATGTAATCCACTACATTTATTGCCAAAAATCATGTGTTCAGTCCATTAATGTAGTCTACCACTTTTATTGGCGGAAAGGAGGAGGGAAATTAGCGCAACAGATTTTGGACAGTCATGTGTTGGATTTTGGCCATTTTCTGAGGATTTAAAAAATTGCATATGTTAGGCCAATGCATTACCTCAAGGAAAAGCACTTCTAGAAAAGATAAAATAATTTCGACTTTGAGACAGGCTAGATGCAAACAACCCAACCACATGTTTTTTCTGAAATGTTTAACTGATTTTCAACCCCTTCCATCCCTGCTTTTTAATTTTAATTTTTCTTGCATCAATATGTTGCGTTTTGACACACAGTTAACCACTTTAAAGATTCTCGCAATCTTTATCCAATCAGCGTTTGCGATGTGTACCGGCTCACGTATAAAAGGCGAATCCAACTCAAATCCATGCAGGGGTGTATGAGGTACTCGAATAGAAAAGAGCTCGTGAAATCTGAATTTATATGCACATGGTCAATGTTTACACATGTTTGGAGTTATTGAAGAAAATGTGATATGGGGGTGGTTCCGAATTTGAAGTCATTGCTGGAAAATATGATTTTAATACGTGAAATTATATCTATAAATACAGCACTAAAAATAACAGAACACATGAATAATCATTTATGTTCGGTTGAGAGTAATGAATTAGAACATAAATATTTTCTATTGTGTACTTGTAAACTCGGTTACCAATCAGATTGGCGTGTAGTTTCATGCATGTGTTTGTTTCTGAGTCAGTGAGTTGTATTGTTATTGTGGTAGATTGCTGGATATTTAGGATCATTCTGGCTTTGGTCGCCTATGCATGAACACTTCACAGAATAAAACTGTTAACAAATGCCGATAGGTGGAGGGGTAATTCCATACCTTTCCTAATTGTTAGGTTTTAATGGTGTGAAGGACCCCAAAATCAATCGGTATTTTCATTTTTCATAAACTATGTAAGAAGATTCACACCCTTTTTGGTAAATATAAATCTGATGCAACAATCTGTGTTATATAAAAATTGTACAACACTTTTCTCAAATAAACTTAACTGTTTTGTGCATTCCATTTATACATATATTGTACTTAGTACCGTATATGCATTCCATGTGTACTTATATTGTAGTTATCCTTCCCATTCATTTACATACGAATAAAGCGACCGCAAGCCATTTGCTTATTCTTAAGATGATGTCATGTTATTTTGTAACGAGGTGTAAAGTATGGTATAGAAGTACATGTATGATTGTGTCCAGAAATGTTTGAAACCCTTACGGAAAATTCGGTCTGCATTTTGTCACCATTGCTCTTTCTTCCCGCATTCTAGTGCTGATTGAATGAATATATTTATTAATGTATTTCCAACTAAAATATATCACATTTTTTTATAAACCACAAACATTTAGATCATAAAAAAATCATTCAATACTTGAGTGAGCACGATATGCAAGGGTTACTAAGTTGACACAGTAAATGACCACTGACATTGTGTTACTCCATGCACACAGCGTATAATACACATTTGCCTTGAACACCCCTAACTTTCATAGTGAAGTGATCGTCTGACTAATTGGTTTATGTTTACGTTTTAATGTGTTTAGTGTTCCTTGTTACAGCAAGGGGGGCCAGTAAAGTAGACTAACATGTTTGCATGGCAAATTTTGATCGAATATGTGAGACACTTTAAAGGAATAAGTGATTCCTTCAGGGGTTTTAAAGATATCCATTCTGGGTGACCAAAATTGGCTGAAAGCAATGGATCGCATGAGTTTTCCCTATGGGAAATATTGTTTTCCACTTTATCTAAAAGGTATCACTTATACCTTTTAAGGGATTAAATGTTTGTCAAAATGCAACGTATTGATGCAAGAAAAATTAAAAAAGCAGGGATGGAAGGAGTTGAAAATCAGGAAAACATTTCAGAAAAACATGTGGGTGGGTTGTTTGCATCTACCCTGTCTCAAAGTCGAAATTGTTTTATCATCTCTATCCCTGGAGGTAATGCATTGGCCTAACATATGTACCTGTACAAAATAGCCATCACTTTTATTCTAAAAATCATGTTTTCTGGTCCTTTTTGATCATAAGTCCAAATTATCTAACTTTCAAGTTGGCCACCATTTAAGTTGTTGTATTTATCACACTTTTGACAGTCTTACAGTTTAAAAATAAAAAATTTAAAAAAGTAGAAATCGGCTACAACAATGGCTGAAAATACTTCACCATGTTAGATAAAGAAAAAGACGTGATGTGACGCTTTAATTTGATTTATATCTGTACATTTACTATATGTACTATTAGTTTGAGTGATAATTTCTTTTTAGGCTACCCTGTTATTCGCCAGAGGACTGAATTTAAGAAACCTGGCAGGTTGGCCAATAAGGAAGACTGGAACAAATTCATAATGGCAACTAAGGTAAGATTGTTTTCAGAACACAATCGAACAATTGGTATATTGACCTGAAATAAAGTACTTTTCCATTAGAGAAGTTTACTCAGATTAATTATCAAACTCAGGTCTCCCAAGTGAATAACGGTAATCAATTCCAAACTATCTTACCGACCTTCCAATACTTTTATATTCAAATTTCAAATTAAATATTAACATGGTATACAATTACGTAAATACAGTAAGCAATAAACACCATAATCTATAAGGGAAAGTGTTTAAACTAGAGGGTTCATGACTTTCTAACTCTAATGAAATATCACAGGATGTTGATAAAAAATCCTATTTTTGACAAAAGCAGTTTTTTATTTACAGGTTTCACACAGTGTAGAATGCCAAGATGTCTTGAGATTTATCCACGAGTGGTGTGGACCTGCCACTAGTGCTGGATTCAACTTTCAGTAAATCATACAACATACTTTACATGACACACTCCATACGTGTAATGACATTGAATATGTTCCATCCCAGGGCATCAATACTTGTATCATATGTAACATGTCCTACATGGCTTGACATTGAATATGTTCCATTTGGGTTGGAAATGGTGAATTGTATAGTGTTACGTCTCTGATAGTACAATCTCATGAAGTGTCTACATAGTTTAGCCATTCATTAAAGAGACTTGTATATAGATATGATACTTTCCGTATTTTGCTAAGCCACTGATGAATATTTTAGTTGTATGGTGTACATCCGTCCTTTGTAGTCTTGCTTAAAATTGCATTTCATTTAAGCATCATAACAAATAATCATAATTGTAGGACTAATTATAATTTCATTTCAAAATAAAAGAGAATAAAATTTAGAATTTCATGTTATGAGAATGTAAGCATTCTTCTGTCTTTACTAAGTAAAAAGCATGAACCATCAACAAGACATATCAGTGACAAATATTGTTGATTAATAATATATCAACGATTGAAGGACAACCCACACCCACCAGAATTGCCCAAAAGTGTTATATTTATATGTATTATAATTTATTTTATATCTGTGCAATTAACTTTATTCTATAGATACAGATAATACAATCAGTTGATGACAATATTACATGAAATATTCATTTTGCCATGGGCAAAATAGAAATGTGTCTACTTAGGACCTAAAATGTTAATGGCGAATATAAATTAAATAAAAACGTAAATAGCTGAGGATAAATTGAATCAGTGATAAATGCTTATCCCATGAATACAGGGTGGTCCAAAAATATAAATTCATTAAAGATAAGTAAATTCCCTATCCATTGGTATATAATATGACATATTTTCATAAATAAAATCAGTATTTATTTCTGAGTGTCCCATTTTTTTGGACCACCCTGTACTAATACACAATGAAACCTGTTTATCCAGACACCTGGCTTATCCGAACATATTGCACTCCATATTAACTTTTTCTTGGCCCATTTTTTCCTGTTTCCTATCCTGCTGTTAAAAAAATGTTGAAATATGAACAGCTCGAACAGTGAACACTAATTGATATTTTGAAAAATTAACCTATCTAATCTGATTACTTATCACAAATATATTATATTTCTTACAAAACTGCTCCAATAGTTTCAATTTAACACTACTTTGTTATGAAATCAAAACATTTGAAAAAGACATCAAATGGTCTCAATCATAGTCTCTCTAGCATGACTTAATTCATTTGACACATGTGATCAACAGACATTTTTGTATTCATTGAAAATGCATTCATATTTGTTCAAAATCTAGAATCTTGTTGCAAAAACGTCGAAATCCGAACACCTCCCAATCCTAATGGTTTTAGCCGGTCGCAGATAACCCAAAGGTATTCCGATTAGACAATAGACAGGTTTTATTCTTTATTTATAAATGACATATGTCATAACTGAACAAACACAAAACTGACATTTTTCAATTAGACAAATCAATAAGATATGATTATAAGTTATTATTCAACAATCTTGAAATTATGTACCGGTGTATATTGTACTAAGTATGTAGGCTGAGCTTATTCAATTACTTTAGACTGCAAACGCAAACCTATATCCTACGTGTGTCCACAAATACACCGTTGCTTTGTAATTAACGTCACTTAAACTATTTCAAATATGTGATTAAGGAGTTTATATTTCACTGGAATCTCTATAATTACACCATGTTGATTAATAATGTATCGGATCCACATTTGGATATCATTGATTTTCGAATACAGGATGACCAAAAAACAGAAATGCTTAGAGGTTATAATTTATAATTTATTTGATATCTTTGCAATCAACTTTAAAAATAAACAAAAAAACGTTTTTCTATAGAAACAGATTTAGATACTTCAATCAATCGATGACAATATGACTGTGACATTACATTAAATATTCATTCTTCCGTGGCCAATCTGAAAATGTATACTTCAGAAAATTAGATTATTTTCAATTTCGTGTATCAACAAAAGCGAAATATCTAACGTAATTTACGACGTCTTATAAGTGATATTTTTTAGGGGCAAGAATTCGCTTTTTTCTTTTTTAAATCTGGCCCCCACCCTTGTTAGATTCCTGATCCGCCAGTTTTTCACATAGTGTTTTGGAGTGTTATCTACTGGCCTCTGGTAATACCATATATTTTGAGAATTCTTTTTCAAATTATGAAGTAATGAAAGTATTTTTTCTTCATGATGTTATATGCACTGTAAAATAATATATATCTGCTCAGTTGACCATAAACTTGAACTCACATGCAGGCTAGACAAGGTGTGTCCACTTCCACCCAATCAGAACACGCTATTAAACGTAAATGCATTCCGTTAAACACTGTAAATTGCTTTAATTTGACAGCCGTTTTAATTTGGCGGATTGATTCAAACCGTCAACTGAGGTCTCTATCAATTTTTGAAACAGCCAAAGGAGCACGTAGGTTATCGCAAACAATTTCAAACGATTCTAACTTGAATTATGAATATTTTCTGATCATGAACATGGGTGTATATTTTAGATCCATTCACTATCTTCAAGAAAAGTATATAAAATGATAATTTAGTTAATCAGACCTAAGTGATATTGAAGGGGCAATGGACCAATCAACATACTTTTTCAAAAATGTTGATCTAATTTTCACCAAAAATGCAATCTTTTATTATATTGTTGAATGCATAATTAGAATGTGCTTTGAGACATGTTCGATTTCCTAGAAGGAAAAGTTGATTGCTCCAGGGACTTTAAAGATACTGAATTTGGATGACCAAATGAACTGAAACCAATGGATAGCATGAGATTTTTCAATGGAGAAATAACATGGGGAACACTTATCTTAAAGCAATTAAGTTTTTCTTTCAAGAACTATTTGATACATCAAAATAAAGAATAGTAATGCATTAAACTTTGTAAAAAATGATTGCATTTTTGGTGAAAATGGGGTCAACATCTTTGAAAAAGTGTGTTGATGGGTTGATTGCTAGTTAAATATCTCCGAGTTTGTTTGACTTTATTATTACTGTATATAATTTTCTTTGAGATAATGAATTGATCTAAAAGATAAACCTGTCTTTATTGTCAGAAAATAGTCATACTCCAAGATATAACCTTCTGAAATTGTTTGCGATAACCTACGTGCTCCTTTTAAAAATTTGTGCAATCCCCAAATGAAATATCCAATGTACAGTAACTAATAACGAATTCAAGTTCACTAAATAAACAGATGTCACACTGGCGGATCCAGAAGGGAGGGGGTATGCCCCCCCCTTTTGTGGGTCCAGAAAAAAAAATTTGACCTAAACATTTTGTTGGGCCTCAAAAATGGGCCCTTTGGGCATAATTTGGCGTTTTAAGGCCTTTTTAGACCAGATTATTAAAAATGGGCCTTTATATTTTAATTTTTTGGCTGACTCAGAATTCCGCCCCCCCCCCCTTATTAGGTTCTGGATCTGCCAGTGTGTCAATACAAATTCAGTGTGTGGTGACGCGACGTCAGAACTGATGTTCGCGTTGGTGGAAGTCTAGCACAAAGTTTCATTGAAAATATGTTCTACTTTTAGTGATTTCATGTCTTATAGACGATTTTGTAGAAAACATTTTGCAATGTGTGAAAAGAATTTAGTCCAAGACTTAATGCATTGCGTAATTGTCCACTCCGTTCAAGCGTTGTTTCATAAATGATCACTCGATGCTTCGCATCTCGTGCAAATGTTGGAAAGCAACACATTCAAGGAATGGTCATTTTACAGTGCACTGAGTCCAGGGCTTAAATCCTTAATTAAAGAATTGAATTATTGATAATCCTTCGTACACAACCAACACTGTTCCATCAGCAATGATGAACATATATTTGAAATTAAATGTTGCTCAAATTCATGAAGTTTTGATATACATTTCTACTTTTAATATCCTATGTGGTTTACTATTCGACCAATATGGTACCTAGTTATTTGAATAATTTGAAAGCATACTTCAACTTAATAGTCACTCTGTATTCATTAGACATCACACATCTTGCGTTATAACATTAAACATCTTGCGCTATAAGTGACACTTGTAATGGAAATCAATGTAGAAAATTCAGGATTAACTAGATTCATCCCGTACTTTTAATGCTGACACTAAACTCGAAGAAACTGGGAGCGTAAAATACCAAGCTAAGTTGGTTAGGATCCAAACTTGGACCATACCAGGCACAGGTTAAATATAATGCCTGCAGATGACGAGAATGAAGAAAAACCAAAAGAGAATAATTCTGGAAACGCTCGGAGCATTTTATCTAACTTTGCCTCCTCGACAACTGCGCATGGCTGTTCTCAGATCAATCAGTCCCAATCCTCCGTCGCTAAATGTGTGTGGCTCCTCATCTTCATTGGATGCACCATCGGGGCGATCATTTGTATCACTGCTCTCCTTCAGAAGTATTTTGCGTTTCCAACAAAGGATGTAATTGTTTTAAAAACAGGGGCCATCGCGGCACCCTCAATCAGTGTATGTAGCCTTAATCCGATTCCATCATCATTCAGGACGAGATTGAGTGGAATTGCACCAGACAACAAAGTTAATACAGTTCTGCGAGCATTGGATCTAGCGTCGGAGCGTGTCGCGAACACATCTTTCGGTTTACATGAGAAGCTGTCAGAATCATACCTAAGATTGAACTCTTACATATGGATCTATGAAAACGCACCGGGTGAAAACGAAACGTTGCAGTTTGCACATGAATTGGACGACCTCGTCGTGTCGTGTATGTACCAGGGCATCCCCTGTGACAAGTCAACAGTAAAGATTTTCACCAACCCTTACTTTTATAAATGCTACACATTCAACGCAATGGATTACAATGATACATACAATGGACCCTTTATCCATTCTACCGGTACTAAAAGTGGGATCAGTATGTTATTTTTTCTAGACACACACGACTCAGGGGAGACACTTTATAACCCGTATTGTCCCCTTGGAGGCAACACGGGTGTACGTGTGGTAATACATCAGCCTGGTACAATACCAGATCCCTTCAATGACGGTTTTGATGTTGCTCCGGGTTATTCAACCAATGTCGGAATAACGAAAAGGAAACGGGAGCTACTTGGGCGACCCTGGGGAGACTGTGAGAGACGAGAGAAACTCGATGATGGGTTGCCGTTCTTATATGACAGGCGGTCTTGTAAGCTCCTTTGTCTACAGGCATTTGTCGCTGAAAGATGCGGATGTGTCACATCTTATCTACCCATATCAGAAAATATGAAAAACATTACTCGATGCGGCCAAATGGATTTGGAAAATTTTAATTCTGCGTCTCCTAACTTGACGACTCTAGAACATGAGTTGGACAGGTTAAGTTGTGAATTGAAATCGGTTTACGTCATACTTGACGATCAAGATGATGTTGACTGTGATTGCCCACAAAGCTGCGAACGTGATATTTATGACTACACACTGTCCCAGTCCGAGTGGCCCTCCGGAGGTGTTCAATTACATTTTTACCGACATATTGCCCACCTAAAAGGAGAGGCCTATTTCAACTCTTCTATGTATCACCTTTTGGATGACAAAGTAAACACAAACGACAGCATGGTTAACATGAAGAACCAGAGAATGATCCAACAGAACTTTTTACGCGTCAATACATTTTTCACTTCAATGGACACAGAAATTGTTAAACAGGTTGAGGAATATCCATTTACTGATATGATATCAGGTGTGGGTGGAGGGTTTGGTGTCTACGTAGGTTTCTCCATTGTCACTATGTGTGAGTTTTGTGTGCTGTTTGTGCATCTCCTACGAGCGATGATAATGGACAGAGAGAAGCGCAAAGTTAAGTCAGCTGAATTACATTCGAGTAAGGTAATTCCAACAAAAACGGCATGGTGAAACAATAAATGTCGCTGATTATATACCCCTAAAAATCAGTGTGTAGCAATGGTTGGAAAAGGCATTCACATAGCCTTTATAAGATATAAGCATTGGTTCAGACCTAGAAAGAGAGATTTGGTTTGTCAAAAAATGCAGACGAACGGAAGGATGGAAGAAATAGATGGACAGACGGACAGATATTCCACAAGCTGACCTTTCCATAATTGAGCATTTTGTTGATTTTGAGGCACCATTAAGTAATCTACAAAAAAAGAAAATATCTGAGTTCATGATGATATTGGAGGATTACTTTTGTCTTACCATGTTCTATGACCAGCTGTATTTACTGCATTGACAGTAGGACGGCACATTGAAAAAACCCATTGTTGTTTACCAAACTTTATATCAAAGTGGTGTAGCGATATATGACGTCATCGCACTACTTGTTTCTGGTCCGTTGGCTACCATCTTTATGAGGTCCATTGAAATGGTAAACATTTAAACATTTGAAAATGAAAGTGACGGATAGAATTCTACTGATCTCTTCTTTCGAACTATCTCATTTTAATGTTAGAGAAATGCACATGAATGGGAGTAAAATGCAATCAAACACGTGAGACTTTCACTCATATTGTACCCTATATTCCTGCGAAATTAACATTGATTAAACATCATTTTTTTAAATGTCTGAATCGCTTAAAAGTTAGAGTAAATACGATATTTAATAAGTACCAAATATCAATCAGTTCCGATAAAATGCCTTCATTTGTTACATTTTCTGCGAAAACGGTTGGGCATAATTTCGGTAGAAATGTGTATTTTACGACGTTATATGCATGGTTGAATCCAAAAAGTAGCGTCATTCAGTAAAATTATCATGTGTGCGTAAAAGTATGTGGATATTTCATTTTGAGTAACTGAATTATCAAATTGACATATATATTGTCTTTGGAACATCACCTTTACACAGAATTATTTTCATAATGATTGCTCGTTTTCTTCCATGATAAAATGCAATTTTAGACCTGCAGCTGACTCATATCAAAAAAATATTTAGCAATGAGTTCAGGCTCACTGATTTTTAAGATAGATGAAATGAACAAAGGGGAAAGGGTTATGTGTGAGGTAAAGCATGTGGATATTAAACTTTCAATAAATGAATTACAATTTTGATGTTTATATGATCTGAAGAACATCACCTTTTCACATAATTATTTTCATAATAATTGTTCAATTTCTTTCATGATAAACTGCAATTTTAGACCCGACATGTATTAAAGAAGTATCGGACAATGTATTAAGGCTCACTGATTTTTAGGATAAAAAATGAGCAAAAGGAGAAAAGGTCACGTGTGCGTAAAAGCGTGTCAGTATTTGGATTTGAAGAAATGAATTAAAGTTTTGACATTAATATTATTTGTGAAGCATCACCTTAACATAGAATTATTTTTATAATTTTTGCTTGGTTCCTTCCAAGAGAAAATGCAATTATAGACCTGGCACGCGTATCAAAGAAGTATTTGGCAATTGCGTCCAGTCTCTTTGGTTTTCAAGGTAAATGAAATAAGCAAAACTGGAAAAGGTCATGTGTGCGTAAATGCGTGTCAGTATTTAATTTTGAAGAAATGAATCAATTTTTTGACATTAATATTATTTGTGAAGCATCACCTCTACGCAGAATTATTTTCATAATTTTTGCTTGGTTCCTTCCATGAGAAAATGCAATTATAGACCTGGTACACGTATCAAGGTTGTATAGCAATTGCGTTCGGTCTCCTTGGTTTTCAAGGTAAATGAAATGAGCAAAACTGGAAAAGGTCATGTGTGCTAAAAGCGTGTGAGTATTTAATTTTTGATATTTTTTGACATTTTTGACATTTATTATATCTACTGGAAATCATCTTTACACAGAACTATTTTTTGATTCAAATTTAGTTCCTTCTATTAGAAAGGCATGGCTAAGATTGGTTCATATGTATAACTGTAATGAGATTTTTATGTTTGAATCGCACAAAAAGAGATAATGTCACATGTGCGTGAATGCATGTCAATATCTTATTTTAAAACTGAATTATGATTTTGACATTTTCATAAGCTTTAAACCATTGCCTTTCCACATATTTATTTTCTTAACATGAGAACTTAAAACACGTTCTAAATAAGAAAGGTCAATGTGAGTTGAATTAAAATTTAAAAAAAATCAATTATCTGCGCATTTTCGTTATATTACGTCATACGGGATTTCGTGCTTTAAATGGGCTGAAGGTGAAGAATGGCACGTGTACGAAAACGTTTGTATCTTTCAAAACACATTTTTATTTTTTACATATCTATGATCTATGATATATAACCTATGTAAAGAATTATTTTCAGATTAATTGCTAGGTTAATTCAATAAGCAATTCTGAGGTATATTTGAACTTTAATTCCATAGCAGATGTAATTCGGACAAAAGTTTTAAAATTCAAGAAGAGATTAAATCAATCAAAATAAATCTTATGATTCAACCCAGTCGACAATACTTGGTTCAGTTCTTTCATTTTCAATCATACCATGGTCATAGATTAACATAAGTGACCGTTCGAATACATACCATTTTTTTGTAGAAAATTAAAGAAAATCGCGTTATAACATGTATCGAGTAATTGCCAAGTTTACGTCTTAAGTTTGATCTGGTAAACAGCATTCTTCATTAAGTCACACATATAAGTTAAGGGAAGCAAAAGATCATTTTAAAAATGAAGCATATCAATAGATATTTTTAACATTAAAATACTTTAAGAAAGTAAGCTTATACTAGTAGATTTGCTAGAACTAGCTGTTTGGAATTCATCAACTTTTCTCCACAGGATCATGTCGTAGTACAAATGCAGGTCATTCAAAGGAAATATAGGTTTCAACAACCCCGTCTATGAATATTGATCTTTTACAGACAGCAAAGGTAAGTTTAAAACAGAAATACTTCTTACGAATCCAAATTACATTTTAAACTTAGAATTGTGATCTACGATCTTATGGGTATGTGACAAATTTGATTAGATACATTCACTCAGCACGCCGTTAAACATATAATTAACTTTACAAGCGTAACTATAGGTAACTTCGATTTTAATATGTTCAAGTTCAAGTTCTGTAGTCTCGAGAGTCAAACGATTATCATAGTTCATTTGGCCTGCTTTTAGAATTGGGAAAACAAAGGCAAGGTTTATGTTTTATGAACATTCTGATTTGATAGCAAACTTTATTTTTGAGTGTATTAAATCAAATAAAGCTTTTTGCGTCGGGGCCTGTACGTTCGCCCAATTAAAGGCAAATGTGCCGTCAATTAAAGAAACATGCACAGTGGTACACCGTTTTTGGAAAACATAACACTGATAATAAAAATTCATCAATTGTTATGAAATTTGCACCATCATTAAAAGGAATCTCGAATTTCATGATGACAAAATATCGGATATATATAACAAGAAATAAAAATTTGTTACATTTTTCCCAAAAAGTTTTAAAATAAAAATAAACTAAAAAAATAATATTTTCACGACAAAAAATAAATAGTTCAACTGTTTTGATTCTACATGACGTTTTCAAAGAGTAGAGAGCTAGATTCAAAGCACCGTTCCTGCAAGTTTCAAATGAAAATATTAAAAACTGCGCGAGTAAGAGGACCGCAACTTTTTATGTCTACACTGACAAAAACTTGAAATTCCCGTTGTAAAGATATAGTCCCACGCGGAAGTGCACGTCATAAAGCTGATGGGTTAAGGCAATGTGCCGTCCAACTGTGAATAGGCTATAGACTCGAGTAACTTTGGTCCGCCATAGTGATTGACGTCACAATTTTTTCAATTATCTGTTCTGTTATATTTTCTACACTCCTTTGTGTACATAGATTGTAAAATAAAAACCGGCAATTAGTATCATCATGCACAGGCCTATATTTATACAATAACAAAATTGTCGTCTGCGCAATTTAAATAATTATGATCTAAAATGAACCCAATTTAGCGAATATTTCTATTAGAAATTGAAGTGACATCGATTTGATCATCATTAGCTGGATTGATAACATATCGAGTATCTGACCCATAGCCAAGATTGTCTATGGGGTTAATGCCCGTTGCCAGAATTTTCCAAGGGGGGTTGCTCACTTCAGTATTCAGAACATTGTATACTATTTTTCAGTTTTCAATTGGTTATCGCCCTGTTTTGAAATCATGATCTGTTTAGTGTTAAGAAACAACCTATGTATTTCATCTAAAACTAAAATGTTGAGACACGACCCCCCTCAAGAAATGAAATACCATTCTATCGTGAAAGTTAAGAAGGGTTGTATCCTTTCTTCAACTTATTTTCACTTCAATATGCGATTTTTGAAAATACTATTTGGGGAGGTACAAAGGGCGCCCCCTATTCAGATAAAACCAATTTCAAGATGCAGGTTGGTAACTTCTCTGACTTTGTATTGATACTGTGATACGATAACGGCAATTGCACCATATCTTATCGGCATCTATCTTTTCATTATCTCTACAGCACACTCCCATTCTATAAGAAAGGATAACGTTCATTTAAATACCCGTGCCTATCGTCACCAGCGATTACTAACAGATTCGTCATGTTGTTATTCACTTTACTTGCGGCTTGTTTGGTGTCGTATGCAAGCTGCGATCAAGCCACAGATGAGCTTGTCGCCGAATTCGAGAGCGCTCTTCTTGCTGTTCCCGAGTACAAATGGCCCGCTGAGTTCAGACAGAAGTTTAACTCAATTTCCAACTATGGAGGAAACGCAGAGTATGTATCACGTTGGATCCTTAATAATTTCACCAATTTGTAACATATCGCGGATGTTTTTGGGAGATATTGTATTTGAGATTGTAAGGAATGGATTGGTACACTCACCTCCATAAGTTTACCAACCTTAGCTCCCTCATTGAACTACGTACGTGCCTCTTAATGTTTGAATTTTTATTTACATAACCTGTAAAGGAAATACTTATAATATTGATGGGAATGTAACTTGACTTCATTTCCAATGCCGCCTCCAAATTTTCCCATTTTTTCCTCAATTACAATAGGTAGGTCGAGAATTGATGATAAAGATGTAGCAATTAAAAGTGACATGCCGTCGGAGTTCGACGTTGCTGGTCAGCATCTGTAACAAATTGCACACATTTTGTCTCGCCATATCTTACACTATCATTTAACATTTCCTATTCAGACATTGGTGCTGCAAAAACCCCGATAATGGAGGCATGGTTCCCCCCAAGACACTTAGGGTGAAGAAAGTGGCAACTGTATACCAATCACAGGAGCGAAAAGTAAAGACCGGTTACACAAAGTGTGGTTGGATGTCTACAAACACATGTTCTATTTACGCCTTGAGATACTTGTAAGTACATATAAACTACATTATTGGCCATTCCTTAATAAAAGGAAAAGGCTAAATATACAAATATTGCGATGAGTTCTTGTTGAATCGGACAGGAAGCACATCATATTAAATATGATTTCGTGAGCAGTCCATTATCTCAGAGAAAAGATTAAATTATGAAGGTTATTTTAAAGGACTCTGTGATGATACACGGACAATACTTTTCCATGACTTTGACTTGGTTTTCACCATAAAGGTAACGTGTACAGTGCTTTACACAATTACACCACTCCGGGACACCGCTACTTTGCTGCTACTTATAGTCAAAGTATTACAACATGAATGTCCTTCCGGTTTATGGATGTTTTCGGAAATTTTCGTAATACAAAATACAATGAGTACAAAATCATGTCAGATTCATTGCAAAAGTGAGGGACTAAATATTAGAATTGCTGCTTCATTTGTCAAATATTTAGCCGCCAGTATCCTTAAATTGATTTTTCTACAACTTTGAGTCAAATGTCTGACCTTTCGGTAGGTGTAAATCGAAAAAATACAAAATCTAAAAACCGAAATGTGCACCCATGTTGTTAGTTTGTCGGTACGTCCAAGGAACTATAACAAATTCAAGGAACTCTGCGTAGTTCCAACACAGATGAACACCCTGGTCCCTTCATACACAGTGTCTCGATGGTAACACGACAACTCATCCCTAAGACAACTCATGCCAAGATAACTCATCCCTAAGACAACTCATGATCCAAAGACATCTGATCCCAAAAAAATTCTTCCCAAGACAACTCATCCCAATACAACTCTTCCCAACTTAAAATATACCCCGGTCCCTTCATACACAGTGCCTCACAGTGTATGAAGTGACATCTCATCCCAAGACAACTCATCTCATCCCAAGACAACTCATCATGAGATGTCTTGGGATGAGTTGTCTAGAAACCGTCTCGATTCAAGGAGAGTCAAAAGTATTTCGAATGTACTGAAACCAAACTTTTGATAATATTTAAAAGCAGGAGAATAAACCCCGATCTTCATACCTTCAAATAAATGGCGGTTTTAACATTTCCTGATATTCAATAGGAATCGCTACAATGGAAGCATTCCTCAATTTTTGCAAATATAATTTCAGTACATCCTCACAAATCTTGCTTCAAATACCGGGGCATTTTGGAATTTCATTACATTCAATGGAAATCATTACAACTATTGGAATAGCATTCTTTGAATCTTAAACAAAATGTTTTCTGAGTCGATTTCATTACAAATCTTGGTCGGCGGCGTGCGTTTACGCGGTAGCTAGGCGTCGTCGTCAGTCAAAAATATTGTTTGTTTGTAAATAGTGATTATTTTCAATTTAACATTTACACAATTTATATACATGTATCTCCTTTATATAAAGGGCAATAAATATATACGTACATACACATATTACAACTAAATAACCACCTGACTTCAGATAAAAGGGGTATTTGAGAATTCCAATATTTGTTTCAGTTCACAAGCAAAATACATGTACAGGGAAGAGTTGGTACTCGCCCCCCAAGCCTGCGGTAGAGCAAAAGGAACTGAACTTGTGTGCTGCGTTGGTTACGTCGAGATCTTGAAGAATTGCATGGGTATGTTAAAGACTCTATCATGTAAAAGAGACATTAGGCAGAATGCAGAGGTCGATTTTCAAAAATTCCAAAAATATAAAAAGTACAGCTCACCATTAAAATGGGAGATGTATTTATCAAAATGAGTTGCTGATATTATTTTTATGGAATTCTGCGGAATAATATGTCTAAAGGGTGGAACAAATTTACACCAATTCAGTATTTGTAAAATGAACTCAATAACTCGGTAAGAAACTGGATGTTACATCTCTAGAGAGTGAGAAATGGTGAGATAGATCTGTAACATCCAGATTCTTCGAGTGTAATGAGTTCATTTTTTCAAATACATGAATTCGTCTGAATTTGTTCCATATTATCCCCCTTCATCCACCCCCTCCGTCCCATTTTAATTTTCGATTATTTTTTATACGTATGGAAATTTATTTTATAAATCAGCGTTGTAATTAATTTTGTGATGATAACGTCACTTACAATACATTTATTTATTACAGGTCGCGTAGACCATTCTGATTGTAGCTTGATTTATAGAAAAAAACATTGACTTGCGTACGTTGGCGGCGATGTGATTTTTAAAATAGCGCGTGGGTTCAAAAATACACGTTCTCTTGAAAAGATAAATTTTCCCGATTGATTGAATTTTCTAGCAGAAATTGCGTCCCGTTTTCTGATCACTGGGCGTGAGACTAGCCTGTGTTCAATAAAATATATTTTTCATAAAATTTTATTTCTTTCCAGACCAATACTGGGTGGTGGACAACATTGACCTTATTAAAAGACTCCAAGATTTGCAGAAGAGGGAGAAAAGCGGCTAACTTTGCAATGCAGTTGTCATCTAAATTGATAAGAATAAAATGTTAAAACAATTTCTATAGTTTTACACCAAAATAGGTTTTCGAATTTTTAGGAATAAACGTGTTGTGTAGTTTAAAGGACATCTAGAACGAGCTAGAGTAAAATATTAAAAGCAGTTTTTTAAAATTAGTGCTGATATTTCCCTTACAGTACGTTATAATACCATTTTGTCAAAAAATTGAGACATTTAAATTGAGACAATTTAAAGTTGTATCCTGGAACTGTTTTACAGTTTAGAATATACATCTTGTCATTGAATGACAAAAACTATTGCAAAATTGTGAAAATGCGTATTCTTTCCAACCTCTCAACTCGAGACTCGTTTCACTAAAAACAGTTTTATACCGTATCAGATTAAAAAAGAATTTCACTCTTCGATTATTCTAACCGAGCGGTTGGTAAAGTGATCGATTTCGTTTATAGCAGATCTTTCTCACACACTAAATGCAAAAAAAGAATGGGTAGTATTTTTGACTCAACTAGTGGGGCCCCACTAGTATTCCAATATTGTTGGAAAAGCTAATGTGAATTGTGGATGCCTGTCACATGCTGACATCTAACATCCATCAAGTAATTAGAAAATAACAAATGTATTTATATAGATGGAATAAAAATACATTTGGTTTTGCGATTGTTAGATCAAGAGATATCAATGCTGAAAGATCTGGCATTTAGATTTCATTAGCACTGGTCAGTGTCAAGCGAAGGTTACGACCGTCACCAAAAAATCAAAAGATTCTGTTGGTTGACCTTTCCTGAGCACCTACTATTTTTCATTCACATTTTCAGAGGGCTAAAAAAGTTATTTCATCATGTTAATGGTCATTATGACAATTTCCATTGTGTTCCCGGTCATGTAAATGATATGTGGAACTAGTTAAACTGACTGGAGGTCCAAACAAAAATCTGTTATCTTGGTTCAAAATAATGTCAAAATCGAGCATGGTTTTGTCGCTTTTTGTTTTGTCATTTCCTGTTAACTTCCATGGCACCTTAAGATGTCGGACGGGAAGTGTCGATTTCTATATTTTTTGCATCGAAATAAAATAAACTCTGGATTATTGTCATTTATTCATATATCGTGCGTGGGCGCCACAGTTCAACGATATCCTCTAACTCTATGGTCACTTATTAAGTCACAGATGATCTTGATCACTTCTTGTGTGTTTCCAATTTTGTTTGGTAATTAGACCAAAACTTGCCATTCAAATTTTGAAATATCGATGTTGCATTCTGGCTGCCAATCCTCCTTGAGTGATTACCAGGCTAAGAAACGCATGATCTTCAACAATAGTGTCATGGGAATTCGACCAGCCGATGATCGAGTACTGAGACATGTCAGAGTAGCATTAATTATTTTGCAGTTAATCACATCTACACAGAAGTATCAAATAAAATAAATGTAAAAAATGGTACTTGACTTCTAGAGTTATTATCAATACATACGTTCTCATCAGAAAAATTAATTATAGAAAAAGATAAATTAAGATTAAAAAATAAACCTTAGACTTTCACCATAAGATTAGGCGGCCTATATCCCGGGGTCAATATCGAGTTGCAAATATGTGGTCTTGGACGACAGGGGCCATCATTGTCATCGCAAATTTAGCTATATTAACGGAATCAAGGCTTGCTACAATAGATTCCGGACGTATCAACGGCTCAAGTATAAAACTAGACGATGGGACGGTGATAGATACGTGGTTCAATATACCATTTGCAAAACCGCCACTCGGCAACCTTCGATGGCGAGTAAGTTTTTTTTATTTATTTCATAGTTGTAATTCAATGTTCGATATCCATTGCATGTATGGTAAATTATTTGATAATTATGGCATTTTACATCAATATGAAATATTAAGTAGGCCAGGCAAGTGATTTATTTGAACAGACTTGCGCACGGACGTCAAGCTGCTTAAAGCACATTTAAACTTATTTTTGATCCCAAGTTCATTTTCTCTCGTTTCTAGAAACTTATACGTAATACTCGTACTATATATCTTTTCATGTTACGTACAGTTGCCACAACAACCAGATAATTGGACAGATGTACGAGATGCGACAAAGTTTGGGAACTGCTGCCCTCAGCTAAGTCTTCTTATCGACATAACAAATCCAGACTTTCACAACTTTGAAGAGGACTGTCTCAATCTTAACGTATTCTCACCTGCGGTAAGATCCCATACTACACTACTACATTGTGTTCACGTGTTATCACGGGTTGTCATCGAAAAATTTGTCCAGCTTGGGGGAGCATGTTATTTTTCATAAAAACACTAAAAAACTTCACAAATCATGTATGTTTCGTTACCAGCTTCCCCATGCATGAGTATTTAATTTGCAGATAACTTTCACTTCTATTTGAAGTCCAATAATGCTATAAGGAGTAAAAGGTATTGAAAACAGCACCAGAGTATCATACTCGAAAATGTCCTTTTGTCAAGGAATATAAATGTCCATCTAATTTTTGTATATAAACAAAATATTTAAGAATTATAGACGGAGATCAATTAACAAAAGGGGTATATTCAGGGCTGAAGATCATAGTCTTAACATCTATGGAGAGAGACAACTCATGTAACCCAATCCCGTTCTCTCGATCCCTCGAAACCATGGACCCATTGTGTGTAGAGTGCATAACACATTGTAATGGTTGATAAATTGTAGTCGGATGGCCTTTATCCTGTTATGGTGTGGCTCCACGGTGGTGCCTATACTGCCAGTGGCAATGTTCAATACAATGGGCACTTTCTGGCCAGGAAGGGAGTCGTTGTCGTGTCAATCAACTACAGAGTTGGCATCCTAGGTAAAGCTTGTTATACATTATGTGCCTCTTATGATTTAAATGTTTCTTCGTCGGGAATTAACACGAAAAACTTACGCATACGTATCTATCTTTAATCACTGTCGGTAAGTACATGCATTCATTTAATAGTAATTGTCAATTTACAATATTTCAGGATTCTTGACAACAGAGGACAGTGCGGCAACTGGAAATTATGGGATGCACGACCAGGTGAGAAATCTTCACTACACCATTTTAAATATTAAGTGTCATGTTAATTATGGTATTTCATGGAGTATACTGTAGATCAGTAGTGTTGAACTTGATCATATGTCTGTTGTAGGTTATGGCATTGCAATGGGTTCAGAAAAACATACGGAAAATGAAAGGTGACCCAAATAGAGTAACAATATTTGGTCAAAGTGCCGGAGCAAGTAGTTCAGGCTTGATGATTCTCTCCAAGAAAGCCCGTGGTAAGTATAATACTAATATGTTAAAGACACTGTTAAGATTTGGAACTCATTTGCACTTGTTAGCAGATGTTGAGGAGATGATGAACTAACTTTCCCATGGCAATGTTTCTTTATTCCTTTTTGTTTTGAATGTTTAATATCATATGATAACATTAGATAACATATTTAAGCAGGTTTTGATATATTCTGACCAATTCGTATCTTCATTTGGCGTTGATGTAATACTGACTTCAATTTTAGTTCACCATCTCTTTAAATTACGCCTATAAACTTGATTGTGACGATCCGATTATGTACTCTGCCTACATTAGTGAATAAATCTAGCATCAAATGCATCTTGTTGCCTAGGTCTCTTCCATCAAGCCATCTGTCAAAGTGGGTCGGATATGGCGCCATGGGCTATCAACTACCCAGAGATGGGGCCGGCTTATTACACCAAAGAGCTGGTGAAACGTATCAATGAAAATCGTGGTGAAGATGATCCTATCATACCCACAAATAACAACACAGAGATGGTCGAAGCACTGAGGAAGGTGGATATATGGGACATGATGCTCGTAGATGATGTTCCAAGAAAGGCAAGAGTCATGAGCGTGCCATATAGTTATGGCTCTAATTGCTCACAATATTAACAATGAAAAGCATTACACAATCGCCAGATTCAATTTCTATAAACGCGTGCATGAGCATGTATGACTATACACTGTCATCATGTCATTATAATTTTTAGAAAGGTTGGATCAGTCTTGGTTTTGTCCCTGTTGTTGATGGTCTTTATGGCATTCCCGAAAAGGATGCATTTCTGCACGACACACCTCCAAACCTGCGAGAGAAAAATGAGTTCGCGAAAGTCAACATTATGTCAGGATTAACAACTGAAGATGGTTCTCTATACGTACCCGCTGGTGAGTATACTAGAAACGTACGGATATATTTTTGGTAAATGAAATACAGATTCAACAAATCTATTTTAACTAATACCGTGTCGACCTACACCATATCATGAAATAATTCTTTCCAGTAATTCCTGATATATGGGATTTTCCTGATGGATACAGCAGAACTGAGTTTCTGGAACGATTAAAAAACATGTCTTATGAATTCTCTGATCCGAGCATCTCGGAAGTTATATATCAAGCCATGTCCTTTGAGTACTCTACGTATCCCCACGTGGACGATGCAAAAGGCAACAGAGATAGACTTGTTGAGGTATGTACGCGAAACAAAACGACACTTGAAGATAATCAATAAATTAATATCACTTGTCGTGTTCAATGGCTTGCGGGCTCTTATTTCACGTGTAATTTTAAAAATTAATTATTTTTTATAATAAATGAAATTTTCGTTATTCATCGAACCTCTATTCAAGATGGCATTGGGTTATAGTAGGGGATTTTCTGTTAGCAACTTCGTCTCTGGTGCTGCAGAGCATCATATAATGAAAATGAAACATAAACTAAAAAAACAAGGGGTATTATAATGGATGCTATCCGCGTCATTTGCATTTTCAGCTGTTTACCGATGTTGGATTTACCCATGGAATTGACCTTCAATTGTTGAACCACAACCAATTCAACAGTACATATGAATATGTTATTGGTATGGTCACCTCAAATGTTACTGGAGCGGAAGGGATAGACGATCTTCATTGGATTGGTGAGTAAGCGCCTTGAGGTTTGTTTCTTCTGGGACGTAGACGCGTTTTGTCATAATGTTAATAATTGTATCATAATCGGCGCAAGATTGTTCTAAACAATTGTGCGTAGTAGTTTGATACATTCAGCATTGCATTTCAACCTGTTTTTAATCTCTGCAAATGTAACATAGATGAATTAGCGTGTTTGGACAATTAATATGAAGTTATATGAAGAAGTTAAGAAACGTATCATTCGTGTATTTTTGCTAATAAAGAGAACGGGGCCAAGAATAGAACCCTTTGGAACTCTACAATACACGCATGAATTGTGTACATTGCCCACTTTATTGAATGAACCGGTTGGGTCGGGCCATTGAAATGAGTTTTTAATATAGATTTAGCATAAATTAGACATATGGTGTTATGTGAAAGTTTGCACTAGAATTTAAGTCACATTAGGAACATACGATATCTATCACGTGGTACTAACTTCGACCGTTCATTTGAATTTTTGACCTACCAAGTGTTTGAAAATCAAGGATTGCGAGTCTCATACTGCACCGTTTTTCTTCAAACTTGTTCCATTCAAAGTATAACAAAAATGCCTTTCTGTTGATACATTATTCTGCTATACAGAGTCCCTACTTTCAGCGGCATTTGGGTCCCCAGCTGCGAGAAGGGCTTCTCACAACTGAGGACCAAAAACGCGGCTAAAACGAGGAACTCTTTACAATAAAGCAATGTACCAACAGAAAGGCAATTTTGTTTTGCTTTGAATGGAACAAGTTTGAAGGAAAACGGTGCAGTATGAGACTCGCAGTCCTTGATTTTCAAACACTTGGTAGGTCAAAAATTCAAATTAATCGTCGAAGTTAGTACCGCATGTACTTTATTTACAAACAATTGCTGCGCCAAAATGGAGTTGTTTAAAAATCCATGCATGTTTAGGTAATCCCCATAGTGGCGATCTACCGTATGTATGGGGATGGCCGATGTTACAGGATAACCAAGCTGTCATGGATCAAACGGGTCAATCGTCTCTTCTAGCAGGGGTTGTAGGATGGAACGAGCAAGACAAAAATGTGTCTGATTTCGTCATGACTCTCTGGACAAACTTTGCCAAGCATGGGTATGTTTGCAAATGCTATTTTTAGATAAGAAATTTTGTTATGTACGTCTCACTTTAAAAGGGTACTTAAGAGGCAAATATATCCCTTACTTGCCGTGTGATCCCATTCATAGAAAACATGACCCCTTAAAATACAATTGTATTATTTGATTTACAGCAATCCTACCCCAACACCTGTAAATAATGTGACTTGGAAACAGTTCACTCCTGCGGAGAGGAACTTCTTGTATATAGATCGTCCCGGGGAACATGAACCAAGGAAGGATTATCGGGTCCATCAACTTGCTTTTTGGCAAAGATTTGTCCCTTGGATTCTTAACCAAACTAGCGATGCCACGACTCCTGGTAAGTGGTGATAGACGTTTGAGGTCCTGCAAACTGCTACTGAATAAGGAGGAACAAAAAGGCCAATTTTGCATGAAACGTTTAAAATGTCGTGTTTAAAATTAATTACTTACTCATTTCTCATAAAGCAATTTTATTGGTGGTGTAATTCACGCTTGGTACGACAATAAGATAGGAAAACATATGGGCAGTACTTGTAACAGATACAGATTGGTCAAACATTGCCATTCTTTGGAATGTCATAGAAAGTGAACTCTAATATAGCGAGATAAATAGTGCAAAAATAGTTCATTCATGGAACGAAGCGTGAAACTTTCCATGTATCATAAGAACATCATTCCATTTGATTTTTCAGTCAATCTAGGGGACCATAAAAATGGCTCTGGCTCTTAAATCAAAGAGAATGGTGTTCTGATGATATGTGGAAAGTTTCACGCTTCATTCCGTGAATGAACTATTTGCAAAAACTCTGATCTGTTTATTTTTACAATTTTAAATAAGTATACGGCGGGTTAACCTCACTTCTTGCTTTAAAACTTGTAGCATCACCGCCCACCCCAACTACCACAACAGTGAAAAGTAGCAGTGAATCATTGGGACTACGGAACAACGAGCTGCGATTTTGCTGGATGCTACTCAGCCTTGTATTGTTAGTGTTTGTGTAACCAGCACAACATGGAGCTGGAGAAAAATATGGACGAACAACGGGCTATTAACACCCTAGTCACATTTGTCGCACGGCGGCCGCAAGTCGACTGCAGAACAATTAAATCGGTGAATTTCTGCGGCGAGCGTAGAAAAACTACGCTAGAAGGCGTTCATTTTACTATATCGACCTGAGAAATGTGTGACGTCATAGTGGTGGTCCATATGGACCGGTCTAGAATATATTCTGGACCGGCAATTTTCCCCGGGATATTAGATATCGTTCAATGCGTAAGATTTTCTTGCTGTTTCAGTCCTGGTCGTTAACGGTGGTAATAATACTAATAACGTCATTTCTGCGAGCAATATAGTGAAATTTTGGACCTTGGGCCTTTGGCCCTCGGTCCAATATTTCACTATATTGCCCTTAGAAATGACGTTATTGTACTATAAATTGTCAATAATTTATCAATAGAAATTTAAAATTCACCGTGCGGCTGCCGTGGGAAATGTGACTGCAAAAGTATGAGAGCGCAGAAATTCTGCGGCGAGCGTAGAAAAGCTACTGGCCGCAGAAATGATAGACCGCAAGGTCGCCGTAGGAAATGTAACTGGGGTGTTAGGAACCAATTATATTTTTTATTTTTAATATCAATATCCATGCATTAAAGTCAAAGATTAGTATACACAACTGCTCGATAAAAATATTTTACAACATTATATATACGAATTGATTATATAAAGCTAAACTCAACGCAAAACCAAAACTAGTCATTTCTTGTTGGTATAGCGCTTATGGATATTTTGCATTCATCTAGTTTCTGTAGACATAAAAGTTATTGGATCACTTATGTGTATGTCGTATTTCGTCCGACCAGTTCAAGGCGACAATTATAAATTGTCACATTTTCATTCTGTGTCCCCAAAACATCTAATCAAATGGGGTCGACCTGAACGAATCTACCACAATAGTTACATAATGGCTAATACGATATACACTAATGTTTGTTTTCGTGTTTCTTTATGTCACTCTTTCAAACTTATCCTAATTTCAAATACGTTATACTCGATGACGATATCTTGAATCCAAGATAGGTTGGAATCAACCAGTCACCATTGGCTCACATCATGGTCGGATACTTTAATTCCTCACCCACACCATTGTTCTATTGATGTTTATTTTATGAGCTCCTTCTTGATATCATTGTCCAAAACGCTATATTGTGCGCGTTGGCCTATTAGTTGACCAGGATATATCCTGAGGGACTTCACATATTATGGACTGCGAGTGAAGCAATCAACAGAAATATTGAGAAACCAACAGTCACTGACCCCGACTGACCTGGAAAGTCGAAATATTCAATTTTACATTTCAGTGACATTTTTTCACTCAATCGTAAACGATTCTTGTATTGTAATGTACATGTCGTATAGTGTACTTTTGGTGTTTCCAAATTACCTTACATGACAAGCTAAAATTAACCATGCATACATATTTCTATCTTTAACATTTTCACAAATAATCATTTTACCATTATCTGAATTTTTGTGGACTGAACTGCAATAATAAAGAAAATTGAATAAATAGAAAAATGTTCCAATTTCTATTGGCCCACCCTGTAATCTAGTGTGACGTTGACCTCTGAAAGTGCAAAATATTTCAACCGGACCGTACGCTAAAATTTCCAAGACATTAGAGGTTGAAAGTGTACATTAAGTGTCAGGGAAACAGTTATATTATTACTATTATCATTTTCTGTAAAAAGGTTTTGAGATAATTATATATTATTTTATATAAATTAATGAGGGGGATTAAAGATTGAGTAAATATGTGTAGAGAATTAGGGCCTACATTTATTTTATGTGAACATTGCATGTAGCATTTACTTCAAGAAGGTAAATAACCACGTTTGCTGTACTTACCACCAAAAAGGTTGAATAGAAATCCACTGTTACTCTGGGAATTATCACCGCAATCTTCTTCATCATCTGCATCAGGACAGTTTGCAACATCATCGCATACCTAAATATTGACAAAGAGGCAATTGAGTTAGTTTGATTCGGAATATATACAGAAATCGGTCAAATTGGTATGGCTTGTGTGATTTGTTTGTTCTCAGCTAGACAGAATATTGTAAATGGTTAAAGTCACCTCGGTTTCCTCAATACAGGATGATGTGTCCAAGCAGGAATATTGGGCAAACTGACAAATAGATGTATTGGAAGAATTAGTTGATAGAGTATCTTCATCTGTTGCAGTCGCAGTACCTTCATTTGTAGTTGTCAAACTACCTCCATTTGTTGATGTCACTGTACCTTCATTTGTAGCAGTCGAAGTACGTTCATTTGTAGACGTCGCAGAACCATTATCCGTAGCTGTCAAACCACTTATTTCTGTTGATGTTATAGCACTACCATCTGTAGTTGTGGTAGTACCTTCATTTGTAGTTATTTTAGTTCCTTCATCTGTTGTCGTCATTGTAACGTCATCTGTCGTAACACCATCATTTGTAGCTGTTAATGTTATTTTATTTGGAGCTGTCGTAGTAGCTTCTTCTGTTGTCAATATTGTACTTTCATCTGTTGTCGTCGTTACACCATCATTTGTAGTCATAGGTATAGTATCATTTTTAGTTGTCATAGTACCTTCATATGAAGATGTTGTTGATAAAAAGCCGCCATCTAGAGTAGTACTAGTACCATCAATTGTTGTCACAATGGTGCTTACAACTGGAAGTAACTCAACTGTCATAATTATATAACATTAACACAGCATTGATAAATTAGCAATTATTACACTGAATATGATATTTTGGCACAGCAAAATATTACATCGATTAATGAATCTATGTATCAATTGTAATTATTTCTAGTGAAATGAGAAATATATAGTTGTAATATAGTTTCTTCATTGTTGTTCTCATAGAACCTTCATTGTACTTGTACATTTATCATCAGTTTACATGAATATCATCCTACCATACAATGATGTTCATCAACGTGATTGTTCGTTTTTTCTTATTGCCTATTTATACAATATGAAGACATTGACATATTCAAGGAAACGATATTTACATATTGTGTAAAATCATGTTATGGATAATTGTAAATATATGTTTATTAAAATCGCTTACTCGGACATACATCTGTGTTGCAGTCATCACTTTCTGTTTCACTTAACTGACGAGTTTCTCCATCAGCAGCCAAACAAGCATCTCCACCATGATCAGGTGCTGGATTGTCACATGACCTAGAACGTGTCTTTGTACCTCCGCCGCACGTGCTAGAGCAGGAACCGAATTCTGACCATTCACTCCATCCTCCATTGACTGTTTTGAAAACAAACATCATAAATGAATGGCATTGATAATATTTTTAATTATATAAATTATATTTACATGCATCTCGCTTTTGAAAACCTCTTATGGTTAATTTTGAATATATGTTAATCGCTTACTCGGACATTCATCTGTGTTGCAGTCATCACTTTCTGTTTCACTTGACTGACGAGTTTCCCCATCAGCAGCCAAACAAGCATCTCCACCATGATCAGGTGCTGGAGTGTCGCATGACCTAGAACGTGTCTTTGTACCTCCACCGCAAGTGGTAGAGCAGGAACCAAATGCTGACCAGTCACTCCATGCTCCATCGACTGTTTTGAAAACAAACATCATAAATGAATGGCATTGATAATATTTTTAATTATATAAATTATATTTACATGCATCTCGCTTTTGAAAACCTCTTATGGTTAATTTTGAATATATGTTAATCGCTTACTCGGACATTCATCTGTGTTGCAGTCATCACTTTCTGTTTCACTTAACTGATGAGTTTCCCCATCAGCAGCCAAACAAGCATCTCCACCATGATCAGGTGCTGGATTGTCACATGACCTAGAACGTGTCTTTGTACCTCCGCCGCACGTGCTAGAGCAGGAACCGAATTCTGACCATTCATTCCATCCTCCGTTGACTGTTTTGAAAATAAATATCATATATGACCAGTATTGATCATATTTAAAAGAGATATCCTCCCAACCGCCGTTAACTGGACATAGCCAATAATCATGATAGTCAGTCTACAGGGTGGGCCAATAAAAATTGGAACATTTTTCTATTTGTTTAATAGTCTCTATTTTTGCAGTTAAATCCGCATTTAACATTTTCACAAATAATTATTTTACCATTATCTGAATATTTGTGGGCTGAACTGCAATAATAAAGAAAAGTGAATGATTAGAAAAATGTTCCAATTTCTATTGGCCCACCCTGTAATGAAGAAAAATGCGATATTTAGTAAAGATTCAAAGAACATCAAATTTCCTACGATCTTTGTACATATGATACAACTATTTCGACAGTTTATCAACACCGGAATTTAATCGAAAAATATGGAAATGTTTGACCAATCTGTATCTAGAAATTTTACAGGCATCAAGAAGACGCCAACCGATTATTCAATTCTGATATTCAGATATCCTTCTTTCTTGCAACATTGTGTTCGGAGGGACCGATGGAAACCCGTTATATCTTAGGACTGGGGTTATTCAAGCTCAGACATTACAGGGGCGTAGCTGGGGATTTAGGCAACTAGACGCCAATAACATATGAATGAAAATTTGGTTTGAATTTGCTCTAAAACACTTCCTTATTACCTCCCCTCCCCCATATTAATCCTTGTTTCTCATGACTCCGTACCCGTAACTCTTTATTTTTACGAGTACATCTGTTTTCATCATTTTCATCATATTATTGATAGAATTCAATAAAATTGTCAAACTCATTATTACTAACTTGTAAGCTTTTAAAATGTATGCAAATGAACTGACACTTTTTATACCTGGCATAGTTTTCCAATTACATCTAGTTGTTATGAACTAACATGATGGTTGATACTCATGGGTTTATTTCTCGAAATTTTGTAAATTTATTAGTTAGTCTATTGTTGTTTGTTTAAAACTTGTATTTCTTGAAAGTTAGTAACTGCGAAAATTAGTAACTTTTTCGCATAGTTACTAAAATGACGTCATGTGCAATTTTTGGCGTAACTTTATGTACACCTCTGGAGGTCTTGTAAGTCTTTCTAACTATAGTCTAGGGTATTAAATGTTCAGAAGACACAGAGCAGTCAGTCTCTCTTCTTTCATTGTTGAACGCATTCCCGGGAGATTAAAGAATATGAGAAATTAGTGGCGAGGACAATTCAAGTGTTTTTAAACCTGAAAAATTGATACTTGAAATGCATAGGTGTATGCTAATTTTATGAGAATGGATGCTATTGGAAGGTCCTGATAAAAACAAATTGGAACTTTATGAGCTTCTCATGTATTTTATGGTGAATAAGTGATAGGTAAAATAAAAAAATCCCCACTTAGGATTTTCATCTAGACGCCATGACGTATTGCCGTACATTACAGCTACGCCGCTGCATTATAACATATTGACAACTACTTATCTTTATGATATCTTAAAAAGGACAACTGTATTATCCTACTACTGTACAAAGTACATGGTGCATACTTGGGCATTCGTTAGTATTACAGGACTGATCTGTAAATGAATCCCCCGTGCATGCCGCGCCTGTGCCACTTGGAGGTGGATTGTCACATGCTCGTGTTCCACTCTGTGTTCCCCCACCACACGTCACGGAGCAATCATCAAAGCTCCAATCACTCCAAACTCCATGCACTAAAATAAGTAAATACAAAATAGTCTTACATTTTGATGCTTTTAGGATGTCCCCCGAACAAAGTTGAAAATGATGAACACCAGTCCCTTATTTTTCTTTTCAAAATGTAAAGTGCGTACCATAACTATATTTAAGAAAAAGTTGACAAAAGGGTGACAATTTTTACATTGGATTCAATGAGGAAATGCGTCGCTGACTTTTGTCAAAATCGACACTTTAGGGACTACTTGGTTAGAACAAACCATCAAACTAGCATATGGTTTTTAAAGATTAAAAAAAGATTTAATACGATTTAAAAAATGTACATCTCCAAGGAACATCCCTAAAGGCTGTAAAATAAATAAACTTAATTTTCAATGCCTCAATTTAAATCTCTATTTTGAATTATTTTTGATAATTCCTTGGTTAAACAATGCGACCTGTCACAGTGTACATTTACATGGAAATCATAATTTCAAAAAGTCCACACTAGTCGTCTTTCCGCCTTCTTGTATTTAAAGAATATTTTTGAGAATTCGGAACTAATGTATATGTTCAGTATTTCTAATGCTGTTTTGATTGCATATTGTGGAGACACTTTCAAACATTGAAACATCCTAGTATAGAACACAGGTCCTAAGGAGTCCAATTGGGAGAAGGTTGAAAAACGTGTAGTCGAAGGTGTACCTTGAAAAGCTAGAGTTTCTACATAATAGGGGGAGCTGTCCACCCAGCAATCACAAGTAAACGTTGTCACTGTTCCACTTTGTCGGTCAGTAACCTGGGCCTACAATTAAAGATATGAAATCAAACAGTTTTCTCCATTTCCACTTTATTAACTAGCTGAAAAACAGTAGCACCAGGGAGTAGGAAATCTCAAAAAACATATTTTGATAATTAGTGGCCATCTTGAAAATTCCTCTGGAACTGAGCAAATCGGGAAATAAAATCCAAATCCATCCACTAGTATTTCAGTCATCAAAGATTACGTTTTTCCGAAAAATAGCGGCTATTTTGAAACATGAACATTTTTTCTTGAGCAGAGCTCCTTTTCCCCTTTCCCCTTGGTAGCAATGCATAATACGCCGATTGGTATTTGAGTTATCAAAGATCATGTTTTTTGTCCGAAAAATGGAGGCCATTTTGAAATTCAGCTGCCATCTAAAATTCCTTGTTGAGCAGAGCTATTTTGTCCCTAGGCATCAACATACAAAATTTGAACGTACCATATCCATCCACTGGTATATTCATAGAGTAGGTTTTTAATGGAAAATGGTAGCTATTTGGAAATTTAGTGGCCATTTTGAAAATGTTTGTTTTAGCAAAGCTCCTTTGTCCCTTGGCAACAACATGTAAAAATTTGAACCAAATCTCTCATTTTGAAATTCAACCGCCATCTTGAAAATTCCTCCTCAAACAGAGCTACCGAGTCCTTAGGCATCAGCATATGAAATTTGATCCAAATCCGTTTACTGCTATTTGAGTTATCAACGATTAGTACGTTTTTTACAAAAATGGCGGCCATTTTGAAATTCAGCGGTAAGCTATAAAACCTCTTCTTAAGCTCCCTTGTCCCGAGGAATGAGCATGTAAAATTTGAACCAAATCCGTCAACTAGTATTTCGGTCGGACAGACGGACGGACGGCTTTTTTATATTTCTCTCGTTCAGTGGGCTATTAATTACTAATTCTTGGCGAAACCTACCATTTCAAACTTCCAACCTGCTCTAGCGCCAGCGTTATCATGTCCTATGCGTATTTTAGTTATCACACCGTAATCAACGCCCGTGTCCAACGCGTAGGATCCCACACTGAAATAAGAATCACCTTGACAACAGCAGTACTTCTATATTGTCATTACATGAAAGTGGCCTGAAGTCTTAAATATAAGGGCCGATCCAGAAGTTCTGATAAAAATGCTTAAAAGTTTATCATTCGTTTTCCACAAAATTTTTAGAGTAACTGGGTCATTTATTCCCTCATAAGATATAAAATATTTAGATACTGGTAATGAATATTTCTGAAGTATGTAAAAGAAAGTACGAGGTTTTACTGTGTAATCACTATCATTAGGGATTTATGAAGTGAATTAGCTGGGTCTCCACAAACCAACTTTGGAAAAATTTAATATGCAAATGAAGGCGGACATACAAGATGGTATCCCGATGCTAAGTCAAAAGTCAACCTCATGTTCAGTCAATGCACCCTTGCTGAAATCATTATTTTCTCAGAAGAACTCAAGTTGATGGAGTCTCAACAGGTAGATTCATGTTGGATAGTATTGTTAGATTACAGTTTTAATAGTAAGAATAGAGGGTCTTAAATAGGACATCGTGCTTGCTTTTTAGAACTTTGTGTGTTGTTGGTCCTAAATATTTCAATAATGGTCTCCCTAATTAGCCAATATATTTTTTTCCCCAAAAAACATCTTTGGCGACCAGGTTAAATCACTTCTGAAAACCCTTATTATCATTAATTGACAATAAAGTATCGTACTTTTAAGAATTCAAAGGTTCACTGTAGGATGTATGGGTGTAACATATGGAGTAAAAGGGCTATGTTGGAAAGTAGAACTTGGAATAAATACAAGTAATAATGATTTCATTAATAATGCAAGCAAACACAGCATGGATGATGGATATTTGCCAATATAGACCTGAGATAGAACCAGAATGGATGGACTGTATAAAAAATACTACCTTCTTTTGACCACATGTGTAAGTTAGTAAAGTTTTATTTCGAGTCAATTCTAGAAACGTAATCATTACCTCCCTCTTTCAAAGTCATCAATAGCTGAGTCCATTATCATACTACTCGACGTGCCCTTGTGTCCGTAAAGAATTACAAAGACTGTGGCATCGGTACCAGCCCTCCAAGCATCCATTGTCCACACCGAAATATCATAGCCAACTTACATGCAACGAAATGAAAAATGCAATTACGACACTCTTGATAGCGGGAATGACTTCATGGGGCTTATGTGATGGGAACTGTAAATTGTAGTTTGAATGTTCCCAAAACACGGAATGTTCCACGACACAAGTTGCTTATTGTAAACGTTTTAGAGCGCACGCAAGAACAATTGACGCAGCACAGTTGACACAGGATTGTAAAACTATATATAGCACCCTTGGTATACGCAGCTAACGAAAATTGACCGGTACGGGTCAAAAGGCTATTGCCCCGAACCGGTCCGTCTTCTCGCTGCAAGCAGATTGCCCCGAACCGGTCCGTCTTCTCGCTGCAAGCAGGATGAAATTCTTTGTCATAAAGTTTGGCATTTTTTATAAAATCAAACGCGCGTCATTGAAACTCACAAGATGTAAATAGCATGTCATTTACATCATACCTTGATGGGGAAAAATAGATCTTATATGTTAGAAGTACTAAATAAAAGTTATCGTGAAAATGAGACAGTCGTTCTCGAGAGAAAAGAGCATAAATGCGCATTTAGAGAGTTTTGGTCCGTTTAAAAATCTGTAAAAAATTGGGGTACTTAAAAGCATCGGGAGGCATCATATATTTCAAATTAGACACGAGGAAGTCAATATTGAGCAAGTTATGGCTATTTTAAATTCAAATAAAACCGTTAACCCGTACCGGTCCAGCTTTTGACCCGTACCGGTCAATTTTCGTTAGCTGCGTATACCAAGGGTGATATAGGCTATTGTAAATTCGAATACCTATGGACTATGGAGGTGTAATGCTGTATTTCATGTTGAGTTACATGTAGTCGTTTTCAGATTCCGATTCAGATATTTATTACTATTTTGAAAAACATACATGACATTCAATACAACATGACGCTCTCAAGAGCATATATGTTGGTTTTAACTGGACAGAAATTGGTCAGTGACTCCAAAAGGTAAGACAAATAAAAATATAATGACACTGGCCCAAGTCTGTTGGAAATCATTTCAAAAATGTAAAAAATATTAAAACTCGGGGACAGAGTTATTTTAATCTAGCTACAATGTTACAATAGAGTATAACTATAAAAATGTTGGCAAAGAAATAGTCAATTAACATCTTAAAATAAATCTTGAATTCTAAAGTGTTTTAAGGTAATTAAGGTGCTGGTAAAATTGTAGAATACATTTTTCTAACTATATGTACGTTAAATTCATTTGATGCTGCGTATACAGACATAACATAAAATGCATCAATTATGTAGTATAATATAAAGAAAGATAAATCGATGATGTCAAATAACATAACATACCAGTTGCAGATGAGCCTCGCACAAATATGGCAATACATACAGCCAGAGTTGTTACAAGAACTTTTGGAAACCTAGCAAAAAAGGAATTTATAATGATTGATATCTTAGGTGCCAGACGAGGACTATACATAAGTTTAAAAAATTATACTCGACTTCACAATTTTACTAACTATACTATGCATAAGTTAAAAAAACAATTCTATGTGGCTTTAAAATCCTACTTGGAATTGTTTTAACACTGTTTTCGCAAACAATATAGAAAATATAACTTCTCAACAAATCATTGATTTAACCATTCCTTGTGTTTAAACCATTAACATAAAGGTGAAAGATTAAATTTAAATTTAAGTCACTCCATTTTACAAACACCTTTACTTACATGAGGAGGGACAGTTTTTCCTGAGAAAACGATCTTTTGGAAACTTTATCTGTCAGAATCTACAACTGCTTCATAAGCGCCTTACTTTGCTTGATGAAACCATCTTCCGTACAATATACACACAAAACTTGACCAAAATACATTCGTGTATCTGTTGGTCTCTAAATATTCACTTCTAAAATTAATGTACACACAAATCTATTGCTGAATAGAAATGTTTCTATTTAGTATGAGCTATTATATTTATGTAGTTGTCATTGGTCTTGGTCAAAAACTAGAGATCATCGTATTAACAAAATCCTACAATATAAAAGATTGGACATATTAGAAACTGTTGAGAAGTAAACCAAATAGGATTGTCGGATTTTATTATTAGCCGATTGTTTGCTGGAAATGTGACCAGTATTTTGAGGTAATGAAAATCCTTACCATAAATCAAAAACTTAGAATTATTACATAACTAGACAGTTATGTATAAATATACTGAATGCACTTTTAAAATCTTTGATCGTTGTTATTTATTCACAAAACAATAGTAAAATGCATGATACTCTCCAAAGGAAATCAAGTATCAACTTTGCTATGATGATTTTTACAATTAGATGAGTAAATAATAGAAATACAGGATGGCCAAAAAACAGAACCCTTCAAAAATGAAATAACTTCTTTTTTATATATGTAATCAAATTCAGTTTCCATGTACAGAAACTACAATCTATGAATGACAATCTGAGACTAAAATCTTTACATAAAATTCAATATCAATATCTTGTTGTGACCAATTAAAAATGTGCCCACTTTTGACAGAAAAGGAATGGTAAATTTTAAGTGTCAACCAAAGGGTTACATATTATTGTTTGTTTAAGGCAGTAATTGCTAACTAGGCCTTGAAAAATACTTTACATAAAAGTGTTTATTTTTCTATTAAAATCTTCCTAACATCATTCTCCTTCATAATCAGGTATAAAAAATGGTTGTCACCGACTTTGTTTTTCACTTAAGCCTAAAAAACATTTTGGTCGCCCATGTAGGGGTATAGGCGACAAGGGGATTTAGATGATGGAATATCTCTCGCCGCCGACACCGCCGCCGCCTGGCGGTGGGAGTGGGGGCATATTTGCAATTATCTGATGTGACGATCTACTGTTATATTATGGCCCACGCGACACGCATAGTTAGTAATGGGTATGTTTCCAGAAGCTGTCATTTTCAACCTTTGCAGCTTGTCCACATCATCTAGGTTTTACTTGATGACGTTATTCTAATAAATGCAAGATGAGTTGGAATCAACAAGACTGTTCCTTGGTTCACATCATCGTTTGATACTTTAATCCTTTGCCATACCATTGTTACAGTCTTGTTGTTCTATCAGCTCCCTCTTCATACCATTGTTTATCATCTATGATTAAGCGTATAACTCAACAAGGAAATACACCGACGGACTTCACATATTATGGACTGTGAGCGAAGCAAGCAACAGAAATATTGAGAAACCAACAGTCACTGACCCCGACTGACCTGGAAAGTCGAAATATTCAATTATACATTTCAGTGACATTTTTTCACTCAATCGTAAACGTAAACGATTCTTGTATTGTAATATTCAATTATTAATTTTACATGCATTCTGCCGAGTCTAGTTATGAACTACCCGAAGACGAAGTTCTCTTTTAAGAAGCGAAGTCGAACGAATGCAAAGAGTACATACATTCCAGTGACATATTATTGATTACTGTCAAATCTAGGGTTTAAAACTATTCCACATAACACAATTAATATAAAAGATGTGTTTAGTGTCTCTAAATCACCTTTAATTCTATCTCTTTGAACCCAGAGATTGCACAATAAGAGTTTGCGAGAGCACTTTAGAAGTGTCCGACAAACATTCATATTATTACCATAATTGTTATTTACAGAAAAGGGGTTTTACGGTTTTAACATATTATTCTATTTATTTTGTATACATTATTGAATGGGAATAAAAATTGAGTGAAACGTGAAGACAATTAGGGCCTTCATTTATTTTATGTGATAATTGTTTCTTCAAGAAGGTAGCTGGCCAGGTTAGCTGTACTTACCGCCAAAAAGGGAACCAGCCGAACCCAAGTTCAAGTTGAATAAAAATGCAGTGTTACTCTGTGAATTATCACCGCAATCTTCTTCATCATCTGCATCAGGACAGTTTGCAACATCATCGCATACCTAAATATTGACAAAGAGGCAAATTGAGTTAGTTGATTTGGAATACAGCTGAAATTCTAAATCTCTTTGCATACTGATATATAACCTGGAAATGGAGATACTTCATTGCGTATACGTCCAATAGTTCCAATTATCTTTAAACATAAAGAATGCAAATCCACAGTTAAGAAATGGGTTAGTCACCTCGGTTTCCTCAATACAGGACGATGTGTCCAAACAGGAATATTGGCCAAACTGACAAGTAGATGTATTGGTTGTTGCAACAGTATCATCTGTCGCCGTCGTAGTGCCTTCATTTGTAGCTGCAACAGAACCTTTATCTGTTGACGGCACAATAAGTTCATATGTAGATGTCGACGTACCTTTATATGTAGACGTCGCAGAACTATTATTTGTAGCTATCAGAATACCTGTATGTGTCGACGTCACAGTATCTTCATCTGTAGGTTTTATAATACCGCCATCTGTAGTTGTAATAGTACCTTCATTTGTAGTTATTTGAGTTCCTTCATCTGTCATCATTGTAACTTCGTCTGTCGTCATCATAACGTCATCATTTGTAGCTGTCATAGTATATTCATTGGTAGTTGTCAATGTTTCTTCATTTGAAGCTGTTATAGTGACTTCTTCTGTTGTCAAGATTGTACTTTCATCACGTGTAGCTGTCATAGTATTGGTAGTTGTCAATGTTTCTTCATTTGAAGCTGTTATAGTGACTTCTTCTGTTGTCAACATTGTACTTTCATCACGTGTAGCTGTCATAGTATTGGTAGTTGTCAATGTTTCTTCATTTGAAGCTGTTATAGTGACTTCTTCTGTTGTCAACATTGTACTTTCATCACGTGTAGCTGTCATAGTATTGGTAGTTGTCAATGTTTCTTCGTTTCGAGCTGTTATACTGACTTCTGTCGTCAACATTGCACTTTCATCCGTCGTTGTCATAACACCATCATCTGTATTTGTCATTGTAACTTCATTTGAAGGCGTAAGTGCACCCTCTGATGTTGTTGACACAACGCCAACATATAGAGTCGTTGTTGTATCCTCAATTGTGGTCGCCATAGTGCCCCCATCTGGAAGTTGTTCAACTGTCTTAATTGCATAATATTAACACAGCACTGTTAAGAAACCAATTGTGACACTGAATATGATCTTTTGTCAAAGCAAAATGCTTTGAATCTACAGGGTCTCAAAAATGAACTCAGTATCAACAGCACAGATAAACCAGTCAATATGGTCAGACATTTTACGTGATCATGTATAAAGCATGTACGCTTTCTCCCCAATACAACGTTTCTAGTCCAGCCTTGCCTTTTAATTGATATAACCCTTTTTACACCACATGATCAATGTAACCTCCTCTTATTTCGATGACAGCCTGGATTCTTACTGCCACATTGTTCATCACATTTGTTAATGTCTCCGGTGCAGTGTTTTGAATTTCTCTTCACATGTTTGCCTTAAGTTGTTCTATGTCTCTTAGCTTGGGATGAGCATAAACATGGTTCTTCAAGAAGTTCCAGATAAAACGTCCTGAGTGTCAAATCTTTTGAATAGGAACTTAGGAAGGTCCTCACAATGTATTTATACTGAGAGATCAGACGTTCAAGAACATGCGTTCATAGGAATTCTCGTGTGGCCATTGCTGTGATTAGAGGGGTTCAATCTTTTCGAACCCTGTGTTCTCATTTGAATATTATTCGGTGTTCGAGCTAGCCTGTGTAACTCCGGAATCATTTGAAGATAATTGACCTGATTCTCTGTGATTGTTCCGCCGCCGTCATCTTTGAACGGCTATTTGACGGAGCAAAAAGTCCAACATCCGAAAAGAACTTTGAAGCATTCCACCAGAAACATTATCAAATGTGACAAACAATTTAACAGAAAGGATGTAGGCTATCCTCGAAATATTAAATAAAAACTTAACTTTATATTGGGGAGAAAACGTACGTGCTACAGCTATATGCCATAACATATTGAGTGTTTTTTCTCAAATGACTAACAAAGATACAACCATGTTCAAAAAGCACAGTCTTTGACTCGATAAAGAAGAATTATTAAAGCTCATCAAGAATGGACGATCTTGCACATGTACTCAAACAAGAAACTGTCTATATATGCTGTTGCTCATTGTGGTAGTTAATGTTAACTGAAACATTCACATTGATGTTGGAATGTAATTCATTATTTGGACATTTCAAACATGCATCATTGAATGATAGCCACATTGCTCAAATAGTTACATTCTTTGCCGGTCGAATAATCATTTTATATCTTTAGACTAATTATGATCTTTGAATTATAATTAAGCCGGTGTAAAAGGGTGGGAGGTCCTATCAAATTGTGGTCCTACTCTCCATTGATTTATCTGGTGACCTCAATACAACTCTTTTCCTCATTATCTTATAAGAAAGTGGACCATTATCCCTGGGGGACCATCATTTCTTTCACATCGGCGACACTGCACTTTTTCCGATACCTTTAACGCAATTTAAAAATGTATCATTGATTTTGAACGATGGCCAAACGATTTGTGCTTTTCTCACCCGGACATTCATCTGTGTTGCACTCATCATTTTCTGTTTCACTTAGCTGACGAGTTTCCCCATCAGCAGCCAAACAAGCATCTCCACCATGGTCAGGTGCAGGAGTGTCACATGACCTAGAACGTGTCTTTGTACCTCCACCGCACGTGGTAGAGCAGGAACCAAAGGCTGACCATTCACTCCATCCTCCATTGACTGTTTTGAAAACATCATGAGCAAAATATGTTGATCTTCAGGCCCGTGGCCAGAATTTTCCAAAGGGGGGGGGGTTCACTTTTCCAAAAATTCTAAGGGGGGTTCACTTTGGCAAATTTGGCCAAAAATCACTCAAAAAATAGTAAGAATGGTGAAAAACTGCATGATTTTGAAAAAAAATTTGGCCAGGGGGGGGGGGTTCACCAGAACCCCCCTTGGCTACGGGCCTGTTCTTTGTGATTGTTAGGTTTTCATTATTACCTATTCACAATGCGAAAACATTTGCATATTCAAGGAAACGATACATGCATTTCGTTTTCAAGATCATGTTATGGATAACTGAAAATAGAAATAAAAGTTGCTTACTTGGACATTCGTCTGTGTTGCAGTCATCACTTTCTGTTTCACTTAACTGACGAGTTTCCCCATCAGCAGCCAAACAAGCATCTCCACCATGATCAGGTGCTGGATTGTCACATAACCTAGAACGTGTCTTTGTACCTCCACCACACGTGTTAGTGCAAGAGCCAAATGCTGACCAGTCACTCCATGCTCCATCGACTGTTTTGAAAACAAACATCATAAATGAATGGCATTGATAATATTTTGTTATATAAATTATATTTACAAAAATGCTGAACAATCAACCGATCCTTTGTTGACTGTTTTGGAAAGAAACTTCAGAAATGAATAGAGTAAATCATCTTTTTAATTGCTTCGTTCTATTATTTAATCTATTTAAAACTATTCGAGGGGTGATCAATAAGTAATGGACGTTTTTTACACATATACTTCTATAGACCAATCCCTTTGATTTTCCTACCAGTGATACATTATTCAATTATCTATCAATTACTCAGATGCGAGTATGTAGTTACCAGTTTCGCCACCAGGTGGCTGATTCGGGGGAATTAACATAGCAGGGTATTACAAAAGTCCCTTAAACTTGAATATGCATCAGTTTTAGTGGTTCACTTTTCATATTACCATTATGTATCTAATAGTTATACAAATTAAAGAAAATATTATCTGCTCTACATAAGAAAAAATAGTTCACTTTTTGTGGTTTTACAACATGGGGTCTATGGGGAATCTCCCCGACCTAGAAGTCACATTTTCAAAGAAAATTAAATTTTCAGAGTTGATTAGCTCTTTTCAAAACCACATTTCTAAATGTAATTTTACATGTACATTCCAAATATGACATCAGTTTGACTGAATTGTGAATTTTTATGACGTAAATCAAGATTATTTCTACTCGCATCTGGGACATTCTGAAATTTTGAAGACAAAATATATAATACATGTTGATATATCCTTATTTCCGTGAAGGAGGTACAGGTACCCCGGGGCCGACATTTACGTCACATATTCAGATTTTAGCCAGTTTGGTAAATTTCAGTTAGATTTGAACTTTTTATATGCAACAAGTGTTGTGTTGTTTGAATTTTTTTGCTGACTGGTAACACATAAACAGAAAGTATTGTGATGTCAGAGTGTTGTATGGAAGGGGTTTGCAGGTCAATTTGAGAAAGCATTTTGGAAGAAAGGGGTGGTGAGAAAAGGAAACACTCTACTCCATATGGACAATGCACCTGCCCACAGATCTCAAAATGTTCAGAAAACAATATCCCTGGACCTCAAAATTGAGCCCTTGGCCAATGCACCATATTGTCCATATCTGCTCACATGTGACTTGTTTATTTCTATACTACTTATTTCTATAGAGAAAGGACGCAGGTTTATTGCTATTGATGAAATAAAACAACCTGTGCAACTGCATCTTGCTACCATGTCAGAGAATGGCTTCAGCCTTGTCTCACAATCTTGAGTTAAGAGGATGAGGAATTGTGTACATGTAGCACTTGATGGAACCTATTTAGAGGGCCCTGTGAAATGAATGTGGCATGAATACCACATAGTGATGATAAAATATTCAAAATCAACTATGGCATAACAAAATGGGGTAATTCATGACCATAATGGTTTGTTTTGTTCAGCCTGTATTCAACTGCATTGCATGTTAAACAAAAAACGGAGACCATAACAATATGTCACCACTTTTGGTGGTGACATAATAAGCTAAAATAGCTTCAGAATATGTGACGTAAATGTCGGTCCCGGGGTACCAGTACCTCCTTCACGGAAATAAGGATATATCAACATGTATTATATATTTTGTTTCCAAATCTTCAGAGTTGATAGATAATTGAATGATGTATCACTGGTAAGAAAATCTAAGGGATTGGTCTATTAAAAGCATATGAGTAAAAAAGTGTCCATTACTTATTGATCACCCCTCGTACATTGACATATTTAAGGAAACGATACATACATTTCGCTTTTGAAAACCTCTTCTGGATAATTTTGAATATTTGTTAATTAAAATCGCTTACTCGGACATTCATCTGTGTTGCAGTCATCACTTTCTGTTTCACTTAACTGACGAGTTTCTCCATCAGCAGCCAAACAAGTATCTCCACCATGATCAGGGGCTGGATTGTCACATGACCTAGAACGTGTCTTTGTACCTCCACCGCACGTGTTAGAGCAGGAACCGAATTCTGACCATTCACTCCATCCTCCACTGACTGTTTTGAAAACAAACATGATAAATGAATAGTATTGATACCTATTCACAATGCGAAAACATTTGCATATTCAAGGAAACGATACATGCATTTCGTTTTCAAGATCATGTTATGGATAACTAAAAATAGAAATAAAAGTTGCTTACTTGGACATTCGTCTGTGTTGCAGTCATCACTTTCTGTTTCACTTAACTGACGAGTTTCCCCATCAGCAGCCAAACAAGCATCTCCACCATGATCAGGTGCTGGATTGTCACATAACCTAGAACGTGTCTTTGTACCTCCACCACACGTGTTAGTGCAAGAGCCAAATGCTGACCAGTCACTCCATGCTCCATCGACTGTTTTGAAAACAAACATCATAAATGAATGGCATTGATAATATTTTGTTATATAAATAAATTTACAAAAATGCTGAGCAATCACTCGATCCTTCGTTGACTGTTTTGGAAAGAAACATCAGAAATTAATAGAGTGAATCATCATTTTAATTGATTCGTTCTATTATTTAATCTATTTAAAACTATACATTGACATATTTGAGGAAACGATACATACATTTCCCTTTTGAAAACCTCTTATGGATACTTTTGAATATATGTTTATCAAAATCGCTTACTTGGACATTCATCTGTGTTGCAGTCATCACTTTCTGTTTCACTTAACTGACGAGTTTCTCCATCAGCAGCCAAACAAGCATCTCCACCATATTCAGGTGCTGGATTGTCACATGACCTAGAACGTGTCTTTGTACCTCCACCGCACGTGCTAGAGCAGGAACCAAATTCTGACCATTCACTCCATCCTCCATTGACTGTTTTGAAAACAAACATGATAATTGAATAGTATTGATAATATTTTTAATCATATAAATTATATTTACAAAAATGCTGAGCAATCACTCGATCCTTTGTTGACTGTTTTGGAAAGAAACATCAGCAATTAATAGAGTGAATCATCTTTTTGATTGCTTCGTTCTATTATTTAATCTATTTAAAACTATACATTGACATATTTGAGGAAACGTTACATACATTTCCCTTTTGAAAACCTCTTATGGATACTTTTGAATATATGTTTATCAAAATCGCTTACTTGGACATTCATCTGTGTTGCAGTCATCACTTTCTGTTTCACTTAACTGACGAGTTTCCCCATCAGCAGCCAAACAAGCATCTCCACCATATTCAGGTGCTGGACTGTCACATGACCTAGAACGTGTCTTTGTACCTCCACCGCACGTGTTAGTGCAAGAACCGAATTCTGACCATTCACTCCATCCTCCACTGACTGTTTTGAAAACAAACATGATAAATGAATAGTATTGATAATATTCTTGATTATATAAATTATGTTTAGAAAAATGCTGAGCAATCACCCCAACCACCGTAAATTGGGCATATCATCCAGTTATGTTGATGGTTTATCAATATATGAAATAAATATTCAGTATCAATGATTTGCGATCATCCAATTACTTTTTAAATTCATCGTTTTTAAATCAAAACGTAAAACATGTTCTATCAAGGCTTGGTAATTGTAGAAGTTATCTTACTTTCGGAAAGCCTCAAACAACATCCTTATCCATCCAACATCCTACGATATTTGTACAGATTATACCACAATTTCGACAGTTAATCAATACAGAACTTTAATTAAACAAATTCGCACGGATATACACTCCCCTCCATAAGTTTGGCAACCTTTTCCCCCCATTGAACTACGTGTTAAAGCCTCTTTACGTTTGAATTTTTATTTACTTAACCGGCGATGAAATAACTTATAATATTGATGGAAACGTAACTTGACTTTATTTCCAATACCTCCAAATTTTCTCAATTTTTTCCCTCAATTACAATAGGTCGAAAATTGATGATAAATTTGATGAATTTTTGAAAATCGTCATTCCCATGTAATCCAATGGGAAATGAAGGGTTCGGAGCAAATCAGAAATCAGGATATCTTTTCAGTAAAAGATTCAGCAAAAAATATTTTTATATAGAAAATTGAATTGTCTAACTTTTTTGAACACTAAGTGTTTAGTTTATTTGATGAATATTAAAGTTACAGCGCTTCAAAGTCATTTTTGAAAACAATTTTTCGCCTCCTGTGTTATTTCAATGGGAGAGGTTTTTTGAAAAACAATTTTGACTTTAAAGCCCTATAACTTTGTTGAACCTGAAGAAACATATCAATTTTTTGTTAAATAAAGTTAGCAAATTCAATTGCCTGCCTAACTCGTATTTTTTTGCAAGGACTCGGATGGATGGATATTCTGTCATATGACTTGCGGCAAACCTACCATTTCCCATTGGTTAACATTGGAATGTCGATTTTCAAAAATTCATCAAATTTATCATCAATTGTCGACCTATTGTAATTGAGGAAAAATATTGAGAAAACTTGGAGGTATTGGAATTAAAGTCAAATTACGTTTCCACCAATAGTATAAGTATTTTCATCGCCTGTTAGGTAAATAAAAATTCAAAGGTGAAGAGGCTTTAACACGCAGTTCAATGGGGGAAAAAGGTTGCCAAACTTATGGAGGGGAGTGTATATCATATACCACTCTGGAGCAATTTGTACAACCACCACAAAGACATTAACCCATTGATATTCACATTCCCCTTCTCCCTTGCATACAGTGTTTGAATAGACCAATGGAAAGCCGTGATATCTTACCCCCGGGATCTTACCTGGGGGTCATTCAAGCCACATTGTAACGTTTTTTTCATTTCTCATTTATTCCATATATAATATATAAAATACAATACAACATTATTGCCTACGTTTTTCAATTGTAACATCATAATGTTGATGCCAAATATTGACTCTATCGATTTAATATCTTAAAGATATTTTAAAAAGGACAATTGTACTGTACAATATACCACTGTTTCTTATGTTAAGTATTATACATACTTGGGCACGCGTTAGTATTACAGGACTGATCTGAGAATGAATCTCCCGTGCATGTCGCGCCTGTGCCACTTGGAGGTGGATTGTCACATGTTCGTGTTTTTCTCATTGTTCCTCCACCACACGTCACGGAGCAATCACCAAAGCTACTCCAATCACTCCAAACTCCATTCACTAAAATAAGTCGATTAACAAAGTAGGCTCAGGTATTACATTTTGCTGCAAAATAAATAATAAATATTATTTATATTGCCTCTGATTTTTCAAAATTCAATAACTCATTGACAGCAATTCTGAATTTCTCTGCATATTTATCCTTTTTTAAAGTAAACCCACGTCGAATAATGAAATACTTAGATATTCAATTATGTTTATTTATTTTATTCCAGCATTCATAAAAATGAATAAAACAAGCGAGCATCAAAATCTCTCTGGAATTATTTTTGATGACTTCATGGTTAAATAACAAAGAAAATTGTGCAAAAAACTTCTCATTTACCATTTCCTAACATGGATATGTAAGGGAAGGGTAAATTGGAGTTGAATTTCAAAAAGCCATATTTTCCACCCTATTGTATAATATTTTAAAATACTTTTAAGAATTCGGAACTGAATTTCCCAGAATATGTTCAGTATAATACAAAATGTTGTTTTGATAATATACTTTGCACAGAAGAACATGTAAACATGGAAAAGGGTTGACAAACGATGTGTTAGGGTGTACAGTGTACCTTCAATCGCTAAAGGTTCTACATAATATGGTGAGTTTTCCACCCAGCAATCACAAGTAAACGTTGTCACTGTTCCACTTTGACGGTCAGTCACCTGAGCCTACAATTAAAGATATCAAATCGAAATGTTTTTGCCGATTCAAATGAATTTCGCTAATTAGATTCATATTTTCACCATATTACAATACTTGGCAAAACCTACCATTGCAAACTTCCAACCCGCACTATTGCCAGCGTTATCATGTCCTATGCGTATTTTAGTTATGACACCATAATCAACACCCGTGTCCATCGAGTAGGCTCCAACACTGAAATAAGGATGCACTTTGACCACGTCAGTACTTCTGTATTGTCATAACAGGTGAGAAATGACCCGGAAGTTTTTTAACACTAGAAAACTGAGTAGCAAATACAACCGAACAAAACATATTTTGATAATGTGGCCATCTTGAAAATTTCTTCTTGAACAGAGCATATCAGGATATAAAATCTGAACCGAATTCCCCTACTAATATAGTATTTGAGTTGACAAAGATTATATTTTTCCGAAAAATGGTGACCATTTTCAAATTTACCTGACATTTTTGTCCCTCGGAATCAGCATAACATTTGAACTGAACCCGTCAACTGGTTTTTGAGTTATCAAAGATTATATTTTTGTCCACAAAATGGCGGCCTTCCTGAGCAGGGCTCATTTGTCCCTATGTAGCAGCATATAGAATTTGAACCAAATCCGTCAACTAGTATTTGATAGTTATCCAGAGGGGGAGACACACCAGGGTTCAAAGATGACATACGCTTATAATGTAAATCTGTATTGAGATGACACGGTCGCTGATTGGTCAAAAGTCGACAAACAAATGACGTCATCAATGGCGGTTTCAAAATTTTCGAAATACGCTTCGAATAATATTATGTTCATTTCTGGCGTGTTAACCAATATCATAGCTTCTCATTTCACATCAAGATAAAGAAAGGTATACGGAATATGCCTATATCAATTATAACATCCCATCGAAGTGTAGTATTTGATAACTAGCCGATGAAAATTCGAACGAACGAAGGTGGTAAGCAAGAGAGGTAATTATGTCTGTCATCTTGAAACTCTGGGGCTTTCCCTCCTCTTATAGTTATCTGAGTTATCGCCCGGATACACGGACGGATATATCCCTCTCGAACTTCGTTTGGTGGGATGATAAGAGAGTATGGTAAACATATTTTTACAGGGTGGTTCAAAAATGAGTATAGCCTTCTTTCAGCACTCTCTTAATATTACTCTTAGTATTGCTCAATATGATTATCCCTCTGGAATTTTTTTTAATTTCTGATAAAATGGTGCATTACAAACCACAAATAAATCACAATCTGTCTATTCAGCATAGATTGTACCACAGGTAAACATTTAAGTTGGTGTGATTTATTCAAAATGCAAGAATATGAACAAGTACACATCATTCATTCCTACTATCATTGTTTTAGCTGAGACAGAATCATTTTATTGGAAACTGAATTGAATCCATCCAGTAGTTTATGTCATAGACGACCAAAACTCCGAGGATTGTAAAAACTTTAATATAAAGATGTATTACTCTCTTTGGACCACCCTGTATCATTGAGTAAAATTGAACCTTATTTAAAGGATTTTGAAAAAACTGTAACAAATTTAAATTACACTTATTTCAATGCTAGAAACATTCTCATTACCTCCCCCTTTCAAAGTCATTAATAGGCGAGTCCAATATCAAGCTACCCGAAGTGCCCGTATGTCCATAAAGAATAACGAAGACATTGGCATCGGTACCAGCCCACCAGACATCGCTCGTCCACACCCAAACTTCATAGCCAACTTTGATGAAATTAAATAATACATGCAATTACGACACTTTTGATAGCAGGAGTGCAAAGGTGGTGGGAACTGTAGGTTGAAATAAAATAAAGCCTTGAACAGACCGCTTATGGTGTGGTAAGCATTTTAGAGCACCTGTAGGCAAGAACATTTGAGAAAAGATAAATGGTTGTAAATTCAAATATTTACAATTGCACATCGTGCTATAAAATTGTATTGTGTGCTGATTTTATTTCAATTTAATTACAAATTCATATGAAGCTGCGTGTTCATACATAACATAAAATGCATCAATTATTTAGTATAATAAAAAGATAGATTGTTAATGTCAAACATTTCTGACAAACACATTAACATACCAGTTGCAGATGAGCCCCGCACAAATATGGCAATACACAAAGCCAGAGCTGTAACAAGAACTTTTGGAAACCTAGCAAAAAAGGAATATACAATGTATGTTCAATGTATAAATGATGGTAAACATCTCGTTGATTCCTTACTTGCGAAAAGTGGATACATTTAAAAATCGACATGCTCTTATTATCGTACATCATGATCAATTCAGCAGTATTTTCACAAAGTATATTACAAAAGTATTACAAAAGTTTAATTTTCAATAAATTATTCATACATAACAACAGTTCAATTATTTATGTTATTTGTGTTCAAAGCATCAACGTACGAAATAAAAAGGTGAAAAGATGTACTTACATCAGGATATACAGTTATTCTTTATAGAACGATCTACTGGAAGAAAACTATCAGAAACAATTAACAACTGCTCCATACGCGCCTTGCTGTCCTCCATGAACCCATCTTTCGCACATTACATTGATATATAACAATTCCTTCTACGCACAAAGGTGCCCAAAAGTGGTCTATGAATAATCACTTCCGAAATAAATAATACACACATAATGCCATTGCAAAATAGAAATGTTTTTAGTTTGTATTAGAAGTACATTCAAATCTATAGTCATTGATCTTGGTCAAATACTGGAGATTATCTTATTATACAAAATCCTACTCTGTAAATGACTGGATAAATAGAAACTATTGAGAAGTTAACGAAATAGGATTATCAGCCGATTGTTTGTCAGAGAATGTGACTCAGTATTTTGAGTTATTCCAAATTTCCAAACCAAAGCTGGAAAATTCAAAATGCGGTGCTGTAGAATGATTATATGACGGGTTTTATATATATTGTGTACACTTTCCAAAGTTTTTATATTAATTCATTTTCATATTCACAAAACAGAGGCTTAACTTTCCAGTTTCTTTCATGTGTGTCTATATTGACCTCATGACACCCATGAGAGAAACTGGAAATCTCTAAAACCAAAATATTATGACTGTATTTTTGTATGCCCGCGGTGCTAGTGAATTGCGTCACATTTTAATAAGGTTTTCCCCAGTTATCACTAAAAGAACAATAAGTCATGCAGTGCAAATTAGATCGATGCTCATGTGTTTTCAAGAGAAATAGCTCAGCCAAGCGCACCTACACTTACATAATTCTTTTGAAAGATACCACGGTGTATTGCAGTGGATCTCCTGCGTTGCACTAGGAACGAACAGACGCGGTTGGCACACGCGAGCAGCCGACAGCGTAATAAGTTGTTTTAAGTGCACTTGGATGAACTGCTTTTGTTGAAAACGTGTGAGCATATTATTTGCAACGTATGGTCTCATTTTTCTTTTTTGTGCGGGTAGTCCAAAAAACGCAACCCTGATATTTATTGTTTTTGTTGTTTTTTGGTTCCATAGCAACGGCGATTCTAGATCAAGACTCGTAAATGGGTAATCCTAGACAGTCAGGTTGGTATTTAAGTTATTTTGGGTGGTTCATAGCCGCTGCTTATACTTATCAATTTAAAAATATCGGACACTTCTCAAAAATCAGACTTTTCTATTTTTATAGTGTCGTTAATCTTCGAATATTAGAAAAACAGTCCATAGTTAGACTAGTTAATAATTGGTATAAATATATCGGTGTGGCTTTGACGCAACCAATTACAAGCTGCTATGTGACGACGAATCGCCGATGCCATTAATCATCAGAAATAGATGCGAATTATCTATTCGAGTTCACTATACACTTATTAATATGAAGTTGATTCGATTTATTTGAGCAAAGTTCGTAAATCGATCTAAAATACTTTGCCCTGGGTTCACTAGTTTTATTGTAGGCAGATCGGAGGCAGAAAGCATCATGTCTATTACTATTGAGGTAAAAAAACGTTTTCATCTGTTCGTTTGGTTTTTAAATTAATGTTATTTAATAAGATCTGGTGGATAAATGAGCTTTTAAAACATAGCATAGATTTTAAGATGATTCTTGGAACCTCACCATACGAATCCAACGTCCAATACTACTTTTCAAAAGGCCTACCGGGGAAGAGAGGGGTGGTAAAATCTCGACAATCGCATTTGATACGGCGACTGTGCGATCTATTATTTCTACGGCCAATAGCAATTCTACGTCTGCCTAAAACATTATACGGTCAAATACTTTAACAGTTACATTTACTACGGTACCAGCCGTATGGAGCATTTTGATTTTGTGGAGACTACAGTTACCTGTTAAATGACGACCCACGGTCGCCATATTATTAAAATGTCTCTCTTTGTTTTTTCAAGGCAGCAGCTCCAAAGGTGCCGGAACTTAGGAAGGCGTTCACTTACAAGTATTCTAGTAAGTTTTTCGCTAGCTTATAGACAATTCGATGTTAGAGTGACGATGCAAACCAATTAAAATTCGTAATTAGATCCATTTCAATTACGTTTATGGACAATCAAAAGGAATCACAATGAATCTCAATAACATTTCGAAGATAAGCACAATTTTAGAATAAAACATTAATCCCATACACTTTAATAAAGGGTGCCAAAATAACTAGTAATGCATGTTATGTTCTTTCTATAATGTTAAGTAGTAAGTCGTGACCTGTCATAATGCACAAATAATTAGACATCTTTCTGTAAGTGACAAGTTATTTCCTATCATATAATAATACTGTAATGCACAAAGAATCTGTCAGTCATGATCTTACCAAGGGCGTTACAATACCCGGGAATTTATCGGTTCGTCCAGTACTTGTTTGTGATAGCGCCCTCTGTAGGTCACTGTGCTTATAGCCTACAGTAATACGGGGTAGGATATCGGGAATTCGGTCAGTTTCTATCCGTCGATTTCGCTATGAATTGAAGCAAGTGTGACCACTTTATCCACTTAAACAATTTGATAATTGATTAAATCTTTAAACAAAATCGATAAACACGTTATACACTTCCTATCTCCTTAGAAATTAGCATGTATTTATGGATTGTGTTTTCGAACAAGGCTCGACCCACCCCAATAGGGAAATCCTTATGCTAATTAGTATGACGTCATATTTTCCTGGGGAATCCTAGATTTCAAAGCCTCAGTCTGTTATTGTGTCAAATGTAAACGCTCTTGGGACGCTCTTTTGCAGACAGAAAATTGACAGATTAGCTTTTAACTTTCAGCTTTGATGTTAAAATATTCTGTATTTCTACCGGACTTCTTGCTGAATATCATATAATGTTATAACTTGATTTGGACCATTGCCTGATTGATCATTCTGAAATTTTGATTGTGATTCATGATTGATTGGCAAGAAAAAAGAATTCCTATTGTTTTCCAGCGAAGTCAAAATGTTACAGCATGAGTTATAATGTCGAGTTTGCATCATGTTAAATTCTGCTAGTGATTAGAAGTCCATGCACAAGCATACACATAAGAGACAAACACACCCAGGCTCCAGGCCGTGGATGGAAATATAAAACTATTTAAGGCACAAACTGGTATTAATAGACCGATATGTAGTGTCTGCCATGTATTGAAGGTAAACCAATCTGTATTATTAATGTTTCTTCTATCAATACATGGATTGTGCAATAGAAAAGCAATGGCACAATCAAAAATGTGCATATCAATCGTGAATATCTCTCGGTTCAAAGCTTATTTCCAACAGAATCGTGTCAAAATATGTGTCTGAGTAACAGTTATACATTATAAGATCGCAAACTCTTACCAATTATCAGCCGAATGGCTCATTTTCAACGAAATGTCCTTAAGACAACAGCCCTGGGTCGCGCCTGAGACCAAAAACTACTTCAAATAGCCCTCCCCTAATTATATTGGATAATCACATTTATGCGTGCGCGCGCAGCTCATCCAATGAACGAAACGCCACTTCCCGCTGAAATCACCGGGTATTGATCTTTCCCTTGATCTTACAGTAATGCACAAATAAACAGTCATGATCTTTCTGTAATGCACAAATAAACAGTCTTGATCTTACTGTAATGCACAAATAAACAGTCATGATCTTACTGAAATGCACAAATAAACAGTCATGATCTTACTTTAATGTACAAATAATCTGTCAGTCATGATCTTACAGTAATGCACATATAATCAGTCTTGATCTTAGTGTAACGCAGATACACTGGTGATCCGCTCGATTACGCTGGTTACAGAAACGAAACGCATGAAACAAGGAAAGAGAAAAATCGTACCTTCGACGTTCCAACATTTTGTTACCAAAACGAACCGTGTCGGTAACCGGCGAAATCGAGCGGATCACCAGTGACATAGTTAGTTGTGATTTTACTGTAACCAACCGTATGCAAGTGACAACACAATCCATGCAACATGCAACGAAATGTATGAATCAACCAATTTCCTTTTTTCTCTTGTAGACAATATCAAGACTGGCGTGTACGACCCACGTGATGTTAACAGGATAGAGACTGATGATGCTTATTGCCGATGTTTCCTCCGCACCCTAACGTCAAAAGGTGACGTTGAAAAAGCACTTCCGGTCATGGACGAGTGTCTTAAGTTCAGAAAAGAGTGGGAAATTAACGGTGAACAGATTTATTATATTAAAGTTTAATTCTAGATTAAAAAATTACTTTGCGATTTGCAAGGAAATGATTTAAGTTTTATACCCAAATTATATGAAAAGCGATCTGCGAAACTTTACTGGTTATCGCTTTCTCGATTTCATATCAAATTACATTCATGAAAAATGTTTGCGTTTTAGATCTGAATGAAAACTCGTTCCCAGCAGAAATCTGGGAGAGGAATGCTGTGTATTACAAGGGACACACGAAAGATGGGAATAAAATTCGTAAGACTAAAACCTTTTATCCCATGAAGATATCAATATACATATTTACAATGCTTGAACCAACGTTAACTCTAAAAACAATTATTAAATTTTCATTGTATGATTTAGTAATTTAGTAAAACATCTGACTTGCTAAGGGGATTTAATGTTTCAGTTTACATCAACCTTAAAGAGAACGATAAGAAAGATGACGAAGCTAGAAAGATGATCCAAAAATTCATAGCTTATCATTTTAACTTACATCACAGAGAGACACCAGAGAAAATGGCCGTAGTGCTCATAGATATGGAGGGAGCCAGTACAGGAAACATGGTATATTACCCCTTTACATGGTATACATTTATAGTTGTCACGAGGGTGGGTATATGAGTGGTACATCAGTGGGGATTTAAGTGACAAGTGAAACGTGTCAGATTGAAAAGGGACCTCGTGGGACCTTTTGGGATTTTGCCATGGGACTCCGTGGGATTTTGCCCCATCTTGCCCCATCGAGTCCCACGAGGTCCCATGAGGTCCCATGAAGTCCCACGTGGGACTCGGTGGGACTCGATGGGGCAAGATGGGGCAAAATCCCACGAAGTCCCATGGAGTCCCATCGAGAATGAACATGTTCATTCTTTCCATGGGGCATCGTGGGATTTTCGATCATATGACGTGTTGTGTGAAGCCCGGCATACACCAATGGGGCACGGTGGGATTTGATGGGACTCCATGGGGCTTGGTGGGACTCCATGGGGCACGATGGGGCAAAGTCATCAAGGTCCCATGGGACTTCGTGGGATTCGATGGGGCAAATTGGGATTCGATGGGGCAAGATGGGACTCGATGGGGCAAGTGGGATTTTGCCCCATTGGTGTATACCGGGCTTAACAGAACAACCTGAATAGCGTAATATCTAACGAGTACAAAATGGATATCCTTATTCGAAAATCGAAATATTCCTAATGAAATATATGTCATGTTATTCCAGGATATGAACAGTGTGAAGTTCATCATAACGTGTTTTAAGATTTACTTCCCTGCATACTTAGGTAACTATAAATGATCGTTCAATAAATAATAGACTATAAAGGAACGAGTCAAAATGTTAAATAGGTCACGGGCATAATTAAGTGTTCATATTAATGTATAACATGAAATATTGCCGTGGATATAAAGTTGCCGATTGCCGAATGTAAAACAGAAACGGCAACATAAAATTCGGAAATATAATTAAGTAATTGAAGATCGATCTTTGTGGGCGATAATATGGTAGTTGTCTAACATGTCTCAACTTACTGTAATAAGGTAATTTTCTGACGAGTATCAACTTACTATACTTTTGAATGAAATCATAAATAAAATACGATAAAATCAAAGCTTTATTCCCCAGCATAAAATTACAATAAAAAGTCATGTTAAAAAGTTAAAATGTCAGAAGATCTAATTGTATCCAAGTGCTTTGGAAATCCCAGTATTAAAAGTTTTTAATCCCGATATTAAAAGTTTTTAATCCCGATATTAGAAGTTTTTAATCCTGTTATTAATTGTCCTGGGTCTATCGACTGGGGTAATCACTCAAATTGTCACTCATAATGTCAGGATGTCAGGTTTTCTGAGTCAGTAAAATGAAGGTGATTAAAATTCAGTTGTAAATCAAAATTATATTAGAGGTGTCAGCTTAGCAATATCTTATTTGGCTTTGCATTTAGGAGTGTCAGGTCAGAAAACTTTTATTCGGCAATAACAATTTTAATCCAATTCGGAAAATAAAGCACCCGGATTTAATACATGTTATACAGTATACACAGGAGCATCTTGTTAAATATCTCCAATATCATTTATTTCGATCAAGAGTCCATCTTCATCATTCGTATTAATACATTGTATACCACTTGCAGTTATATCTCCCATTTGTAATATCACGTTTCTTCCTTTCATTTCAGACTACATGTTGCAGTACGACATGCCATTCATTCTAACAGGTGAGAAGATTCATTCAAAAAGTTGAAATAATCTAAAGGTGCCCGGCAAAATTATATTCTTGCCTTGAAACAGAACGGAGAGTAAAATTACTTAGGGATGGGAAAGGGTAAACGGGGCGATGTAAACACTTAAACGTTTGTAAAAGCATTTTTAAACCTGTATATGAAATATTTTTGACACTCAAATCATACTTGGGCTAAGTATGTATGTATGTATGTATGTATGTATGTATATTTTTTCTAGCTGCATGGAAAGTGATCAGTGCTCTCTTGAACAAGGAACAAGCAGCCAAGATTCGCATGATAAAGAAGGGTGAAATGAAGAATTATCTCGATGATGATAACCTAAAACATTGGCCACACATGCAGTGATAAAACGTATAACTTGGATCAAATTTTTGCAGAATCTGGTAACTATTAATTCTCAGAAATATCTGATTCTATTTATTTTAAAGTGAAAACTCAAATAGTACAAATTTTATATAATATATCCGATTTACTAAAATCATCGGATCCCCAGGCTCAAATACAAAATCTGGTAATAAATAGTGAAATCTATCAGAGAAAATCATCATAGAATTACAAAATTCTTGACTTTTTTATTTCTAAAATAGCAAGTCCCATATGAGCATTGGCAGTACAGTTGATGACAAATAAGATTGTGATAGAAAATCTGTAAATGTAACGTTTCTTTTTCAGTCTTTCCTAGCTTTGCAGTTAAAGTCCAGGTACAATTTGGGATACGTCCTCACAACTTACAGCTTTAAAGCTTGAACCCTTATTGGGATATCTCTTGTCAGGATATATCCAGTGAAGCGATGCAAACAATGCAAATATCAAACTACAAAGTATATCTCTTTTTTAGAAAAACTATTTGGTCTGTCCGTGGCTACATGCAAAGCCAAATACCTGTATAAATAGAATTCGAAATAGCCAGTTAGAATTACAAATGACTTTCATATAAGATAGATATCAGACTACTTACTATACTATTAATTATGTTTTGGATCATTTTGCTTATATACATGCAGCTTATTGCTTCAATGTGCAGTTTTCCTCATATGTTGTTCAGATGTATTATTTGGAGCAATACAGATTAGTTGACCAATCAAAGATATGTTTTGTTCAAAATAAATATGCGAGGAATTGAAGTTGAAATTTTAATTTAAAGCTTGTATTTGCGAATGCAAATAACGGCTGTTGGCTACCGGATTAACCTTCTTTTTTTCTGGAAAAATCATTCAAATTTGAATGGGATAGTGGCGTTTAAATGAGTTGGTCATAAAATAGTAGGTTAATCCGGAAGCAGACAGCCGAAAGTTGCATTGGCGCATACAAGGTAAGTCTCATCCTTCGCCTCCCCTCTTCATATACAAGGTACGGGGTTCAGAAAAGAAGACCAGCATATAATCATATTAAGTATGTCTATATGAGACACTGAAGTAGTCTTTTTTACATTTTAAAACCTCAAAATGTAAGTGATTATTGATAACTTTAAATATTGATTATGAAATAAAACTTAGTTGAACTAAATTATAATTTTGGACTTTTGAACAACTAGATGTTTTAAATGATCTACGCTTATATACTGTATATCATGCAGGGAGATAACGCAGACTTTGGGCTCATACTTTTGATGATAATGTCTACATTATCTTATCTTTATGAAGAAGATAATAATACTTTGAATTACTTTCTAGTTCGTCAATGATACACGGGACACCTTCCAAGGTCTCTCGTGCATGGTCACAAGAACTGAACGTAGTGTCCTTTGTTAATTGTTATCATTACATTTTATTTTATAATTAAACTATGATTTAACTATTATCAGAAAAATGGGCCTTAAATTTTGGGCCCACTTTTAGGTTTTGGGGGCCAAATTATTTTTTGAGACGTCAAATATCCCCCCGTTGGTCCCTGGCTCCGCTTATGCATGTCTAACTGTTAGGCTATCGATGACGGGGTAGAATGAGCCCCGGGGATGAACCCAAGGTTTTCCTTTTACAAATATTGTTAAAATGTCTTGTTTAAAAACTATTTGAACATTCTTAGTAAAACGATGGAGCAAGTAATTGATCTGATTTTAGAAAGAAATCGAAGATGTATGTATTTGAAATTAATGTTTTAATCAGTATTGTCTCTGATACTTAAAATATTCGTGTATGCAGGTATGCAGTGATATTTGTTCTTTCGAATTGTCAGACGTCTGTGACGTTTCAATAACTTTGTAATGATTAAAGTTGTACTAAAATCTCAGAATCTCTTATTATCTTGCATTTAGCACAAATGACACCCCTTTTGTTATTTTGACTACAAAGCTTGTGATATTTCCCCACAAAACACGATTTATTAAGACAAGACTGTCAACCTCTGAAATGTTGTTATTTTTGCGCAGTCACCTGACTATGACAGTTTTGACGTACCATGTGCCAAGTTATTCTATTCTGGCGCTAAATCGAAAAGTTGTTGTTCCGAACTACTACGAAGGCTGAACCAAAGTATATTTATATATTAGTTTCACATTTTTTAATTGATTGAACTTCACAAAAAGAAACTTGTGGAAAGAGCAAGTGGTAATATTATTCACTACAAGGAATTGATCAAAATGAATTTGTTAGACCGTATATCGATAACTGGAAATGTTAACCCAGTAATTATATTTTGGCCTTACAGTATTACATTCAGGTTAAAAAGTTGTAATCCCCAAACACTGGCAATTTTGCTGTTATACTTGTATAACTAATGCCTGGGTCACATATGCTCCGATCCATCGGCCGGCGCCCGGCCGATTGAGTGTTTTGTTCAATATTGAATTCAATTTTGAACAAAATACTCAATCGGCCGGGCGCCGTAGTGAAAATCGGAGCCTATGTGACCAAGGCATAACATGCGTTCAATAGCGTTTCAGCTCGATTGATTCCACACTCAATTGCAAGTGATATTAGTAAAGTGTGGTCTTCATACGGTAAGATAGCATAAATATATCTATCGAATAAAATGGTTTGGGTAACTTTAACAAATGCATTCCAACAAAATTCCTGCAGATAAATGATTTTATTGATTTACGTGGTCTCATTTGTCTTAGATAAATCAGGTTGGGTGAAATCGGGTTGAAATGTCCTGCATGTTATCAAAAGGCGTTCGGTTGTTTTAATATGTTATACATGTATATTAGGCATTTACACACAGAGTAGAGTGACCTCTTTTAATGAGATGAGGATTTTACCATTTACTTCTGAGTAAATGAGGATTTCAGCAAGGATGCCGTTGACTTATGGGGATAAAATTGACTTCAATCCTGCTGAATGCAATAGTTTAGATCCGACGAGGAGAAATAATTTGATTTATTTCATTAAAAGTTCAGCCAAAGTGCAGGTCAAAGTGATATCATATTTGAAATCTGCGTGTTATTTCATCTAGGTTTTAATCAATTTATTTTCTTTGAAATGAGACTTCTAGGTCGGAGAGATTCCCCACAGACCCCATGTTATAAAATCACAAAAATTGAAATATCTTCTATTGTATTGGACAGATATTAGCCACCTGGTGATGAAGCTGGTAACTACCAACTACCTACTCGCATCTTGGTTATTCATTCTTCATACAACTCGCGGTCTTTGGTATGTTTATGCATCATTACATCCTCGAATATATATGCAAAATCGAGAAAGATTGGCTAAAACTGTAAATATTTGAGACCTACTGTCATTTCTTGATGAAGACCCTGTAGGTATAAATTCGTAAAAAGTACCAACAAATGTTGGAGGTTATTGAGTATTGGAGCAGCCATAGACTTAATATTAATTATGGAGCATGTTTCCACTTGGTGGCCATGGAACAGGCCCACTGGTGGATCCAGAAGCTAACAAGGGGGGAGTCTGGAAAAATCATGGGCCCCAAAAATTGGGCCCAAATTTTGTAATACAAGGATAATTTGACAAAAAGGTCTAAAAGGCCAAATTATGCCCAAAAATGCCCATTTTTTGAGGCCCAGCAACATTTTTGGCCCCAAAACTTTTTAGGGCCCTAATTTTTTTCCTGGGCCCACAAAAAAGAAGAATGGCCAAAATCACTCGAAAAGTCCTCATTTTTTTTGGCCAGGTGGGGGAAGGGTTTGCTTGAGCATCTGACCACCCTGGTTTGTATTTAATTAAAATTACTTAGTTTGTCCATGGGCTTTCAACAGAAATCCCATGGTTTGTCAATAGAATAACACAATGGACTTTTCAACAAATTTTTATTATGGCGAGGAAAATGCATGATTCATATTTCTCTTTTGACATGTTTAGGAGTTTGAGCATCGCGTGTTCTACAAACTTTTACATGGTTATATTGTGTTCTCCAATTCAACGTACCCAAACGCCTGTACTGACTGATTGTATATTTACAACTGAACAAGGCGATCTATATTAGAGCGAGGTACTTTATTTGCATTTACCAGTACTACATCTCTGTTAAGATTTAAATTCAATACAAAGGTGAAGAGGTGTTTGAGATATCAGGTGACATGGTATAAGATAGGTGAATATATTACGGAGAGTTTGTTGTAATGAAGGCATTTCAATAGACTTTGTTCTTCATTTATGTCCTTCATACAGTCTAGAAATCAATTTACATTCAAACATTTAACAACCTGTCTTAGTTGGATTACAAAGGTTGGTTTACCTGTTTTGCTGCAATCAGAGGATCTATACTGCTGCATTACACTGAAGAGTTGAGAAAGGTAAACTCATTATTTAGAATATTGCATTTTGATTTATTAGGAACTAACACATTCAGTTAATATTTGTAGTTTGTACTTTGCATTTAGTATATTTGACACCTTCATAAATGTGAATAACAAACTGTAATATTAGATGTCTGTGAGAGATACATATCATTTTTACTTATTAGCATTTGTTGTTTAGCAATGGAAAACAACGGTTATGTGTCGGATGAAAAGGGCGTATCAGACTCCAAAATTGTCATTGATGACGCACCTTCTCCAGAGAAGATCAACGACCAAGAGAAGTATGAACTGGCCAAGGCAGAGCTTGCTTCAAGACCGTATGCTGGAATGCCCAAAGACGACCTACTCAGATTTTCCCAGACCCCATTTTGGAAGCGTTTTAGAATTGCCTGTTTGGTGATATTTTGGTTGATCTGGCTGGGTCTCCTGGCTGCAGTAGTTGCACTCACCATTGTTTGGCCCAGGTGCAACAGTGCTCCAAGCCAGGATTGGTGGCAGACCAGCGCTATGTATCAAGTCTACCCAAAGAGCTTCCAAGATTCTAATGGAGATGAATATGGAGATCTGAAAGGTTGGTTCCTTACTTGTTCATTCACACAATGTGATGTAAAGATAATTGTGCAAAAATATCAATACTTACCATATTCTTTACATTCTTTGACTTCTGTACCTTATGGTCGTTACTTCATTTAGTTTTAAATAGAAATATTACCACATAGAGCGCTGCAGTAGCATTTTAGTATTTGTATCTGAGAAGAGAACTAACAAAATGACATCATTTCTACTTTTCTTTCTACTTTGTACCACTAGGAGTTGAGTCTAGACTAAAATATCTGAAGGAACTGAAGACTGAAGCAGTTATACTGAGTTCAGTGTACAAGACCAATGGCGTGGACCACGGCTATGATGTTACGAATCATACCCTCATTGATCCCATCTTCGGCACCATGAATGATTTTGATGCCCTGCTCAAGAAAACTCACGAAGAAAGTAATAACTCAAGTTTTCAAGTAAAAATCACTCTGAAAATATCAAATGTAGTAACTACTGCTATTTACTTTCTAACATTTGGTGATGTATATTCGTTCTATTGAGTAATTATAAATTAAAGATGTCTATATATTATATCGTTAGATTGTTGAAGTCGTGTTCTTTGGCAGCTCCACCATGCAACACTTTTCACTTTCACTTTTCAGGCATGTACCTCGTCGTGGATTTCATTCCAAACCATAGCAGTGATCAGCATCCTTGGTTTATTGAAAGTAAGAAGGCCACATCCAACTCTTACAGAAACTATTATGTTTGGGCTGACTGTACGCCAACCGATATGCCTAACAACTGGGTAATTAGCATGCTCATTATATGTTAATTTAGAATTGCTTGACTGTTGACACTTACGAAATGTTTCACAGTAATTTTTTAGCTCAATATGATTTACTTGTTTTGATGGTTTCTCAAGCTAAACTTGTATTCGCAAATGCAATTAGCGGCTACCGGATTAACGTATTAATTTTAACAGGTTAATTTATGAAAATTAATCGGTTAATCCGAATCCAGTAGCCGACAGTCAAAGGTTGCATTCTCGAATACATACTTAGACTTATAATATAAATGCTAATTTTAGCATAATTTGTCTCCACGAGAGTCAGTCATATAGTAGTAACTGAATGCGTTACACATATATATGCTATTACTTTATGGCTTTATGTTGTAGAGGAGCGTGTATGGTGGGTCTGCTTGGACATATGATTCAGACAGACAGCAGTGTTATCTGCATCAATTCCTGACGCAACAGCCAGAGCTCAACCTTAGAAGCGCTCAAGTTAGAGAAGAACTAGAGGTGAAGCCATGAACTCTGCATGTCCAATCAGATTAGCCACGAGAGCAATAATATTCTTTAGTAGATATATCCAAAATAGGCATACGTTGTCGGTTCGTAGGGTTTAGACTACAACAAAGATTTGGAAATAATATCTTCGTGGAATGGTTCAGCACACAATGCACCAACGCTTAAATCCTCAAACCACCAATGAAATAACCATTTATGATAATGAATAATGCAGAAAATGGAACCACAGATTCTGCTGAAAAAGTTCATAATTCAAATATTTTTGCACACGTAATAATTTAACTTATTCTATTTTAGGCTATTATGCGTTTCTGGTTGGACAAGGGTGTCGATGGGTTCAGAGTTAACTCAGTGGATTATCTGTTTGAGGACTATGACCTTAGAGACGAGCCTTCTTCTAGTACCTCAAATGTCACGGTAAGTCTTCTTAATTTACATAAACTAGAAAGGGAACGTACTTCGTGCTCAATTCCCGTCTTAATTTATTCCCTTAAACATAAGATAAACGAATTCTATGTTCTCATTGGAGTTGTAAACATAAAACAGTGTATTTCGTTCTCAACTATTAGATTATAACAATGACACAAACAATGTTGTCGTGGCACATAGTGATATCGCCAAGTTGCACCTCTACATTGGTGTGTTCCACCAACTGCCTGCGTTCAGTGATTAACCTCTAAATAGTTATGGAGTTTATGTATTTACAATTTACTCCCATTTGGATTTTATGTATGATGCATATGATGACTGTGTAAAGTGTTGCATGGATTGTGTTCAAGCTGAGAAGTTTGTTTCAGAACGCATATGATTCTCTGGACCATATCTACACCAAATCACAACCAGAAATTCACGATATTATCGCAAGATGGAGGGCAATTATTGACGAGTATTCAAAACTTCGCAACGGCAGAAAGCGGTGAGTCTATATACGTAATTTACATCTATCATGATCTATAAAATTAACAGCACAAACTGGATACGTTTAGTCCATAAATTAATTTTTTAAATCTTCAATGTTCTTGAATTTCAGAGTTTTACTGACCGATGCCGATGTTGAGGTCTCTGAGAGCATGAATTACTACAAGTATCTGGGGCGTCAAGGGGCACATCTTCCTCAAAACTTCCTTCTCTCTAAAGTCTCACCGGGCTGTGGTGGTTATTGCGTAGAGAAACAGGTTATGGACTGGACCAGAGGGATGCCTAGTGGATCCACTGCTACTTGGCTAGTAAGATATTTTATTTTTGTAACTACGTTTGATTTTTCTTCGTGACACGTTTCTTAAGTTCATAGTTATTTCCTAAGATAGGATAGATATAACTGACATTGTCATGGTTAAATCTGATACCAATCATTTCTTAGGTAACCAAACCTTTATGAACCAGTAATCTATACTCCTTATATTATATCAACGTCATTTTTATAGCTTGGAAGTCAAAACCAAGGACGAATTGCAAACCAGCTTGTTGACTACACACGTGTGGCTTCTATGCTTCAACTCCTCCTCCCTGGTACACCGATGGTCTATTACGGAGAAGATATAGGAATGCACAACGCTAATCTCACGACTAGTAAGGATCCTGGATACACAGACCCAGTAAGTCAAACACATGGCCATAGGAAATCAATCTAAATAATGTATGGCTTTGTATGGTTGGTTCTTGGTTATTAAAAACAATACTGTAGTTCCTAGTTTTCTTACTGAAAATACCCATTGATCTCGGACAAAACGTCTTAAAAAGGCTCACCCGAAGCCATCTACAATTTTATTATCCTTATTTCCATAGAAACAATCTAGAGACAGGGCTAGGACACCCATGCAATGGATGAACGGAACAAATGCTGGTTTTTCTAATGGTACAGTCGCTCCATGGTTACCTGTCAACCCGAGTTCAGTTTACAGAAATGTCATGGTAAGATTTAATCCCATATACACGGCCAAGATCGGTGAGAACGAGTGGAGGGGGCATGTTGCGATTTCTTCAAAAAATTCAATTCTATATCTGAAATATTCATTTTTTTATGAGAAAGTTTACTGTTCGCTGTATGAATAGCTAGGTGCATGGTACAGAGAAATCGGCCAGGTCTTCTGTGGTTATTTTGAACTGATCTGCTGATAGGAGATCTATTTTAAAGACGCAATGCCACCAGCGTCCAAAAGTTAATCGTTTTGCTATGAATCAAACAGTGAAGGTTAACACGACCTGCAATGAATGTGTATAGATATCGTAATTATCACGGGGGGGGGGGTTACATTAAGCTACAACCCCCCCCCTTTCCACTCATTGTATTATTTGATTATTTTTGAAAATGTTTTGCCGTGATATAAACTGATGAGGCAGTTATGAAAAGTATATAAAGTTCTGTCATACGTGCACAATTGCACATCCATCCACATTACACAATGTAGGTCTCATTATATGTCGTAACTTTGGAGAAAACTATTTAGCACACTTTCATTGTAGACTTACTTAAATTTTAGGTAGAGAATGAGGACGGGAACTCCATGTTAGGATTGTACAAGGCTCTGCTCACATTGAGAAGAGAGAATTCTTTCAAGTACGGCACTGCTGCCCATGTCGCAGTGGTCAACGACGACGTCTTCTCATTTGTCAGGGAATTTGACGGTCAAGAGAGGTAATAAAATTAGCATTTTCACATCACAACCGAACAATCTGCCAAGCCATCGCTCATTTTCTTCAGCAATAAAGATAGTAGGCCTAATAAGGACATAATCCACGACCCTTGATCAATATTATGTTTGATCTATACTACATGTATATAGCGTTTCTGAGAAATATACGTTAACTGATTACGAATTATGAAGATTCATCGCATTATTTATTGACAGGTACCTGGTTGCTGTCAATTTCGGAAACAAGGACTCTACTGTGAATTACTACACTGACCACCATTTGGTCCCAGAGCAGGGTGAGGTCGTCGAAACAACAAGGAACAATGTGGGCCTTAGTGGGACCCGCTCTCTCAATGGAGTTAAGCTCAGTCCGGGTCAGGGAGTTGTGTTCAAGTGGGACGCCCCTCCAAGATAAACTCGTCTGAAGCATTGATTACTAGTTGACATTTGACTTTATTACGTTATAAATGATTGACGATGTAATTCATCATGGTAGTTCAAAAAGTATTAACACTATTCTACGTCTTGATTATAAAAGTGAATATTTCGATCTTCGTAAGCGTAACTGTTGCAGAGATGCTGTTTTTAGGAGTTGTATCAAGGGTCTTAAAAGCATATTCATATTTCAATGATTGAAACTAATCGTGATATCCATGGAGAAATAAAATTTAACATTTCAAACAATTCTGCGGTTGTCCCCGTTTATAATGTCTACAACTAGGCATGTTCAGTGATAATTTCAAGGTCATTTGGTCTGTTTTGATCGATGTCCTTTTTCGACTGCACGTCTATGTCTCCATCTACATCGAAATCCATAGAGAACGAAACACGTCTCCCCATCATTCCTTTGTTGTTTGTAATTATTGTTTTGGAAGAATCACTGTTTTCCCCATCATCATCGTTTTTTGTATCATCGTTTTCTTCCCCGTCCCACTGCGTAGACTCATTGTATGCTACAATGCTTCTCCTTGCAGCATCATTGTATGCTACAATGCTCCTCCTTACAGCATCATTGTATGCCCCACTTCCCCATGCAGCAAGCATATCGTCCGTACTATAGACCCGATTCTACAAATCAAATCATGAGACTCATCTGAATATGTCAAATACTTGACATGATACAGAAAATGCATATTTTTGTGTACATCTCGATTCGCTGATAAATAGTATAGTTTCCATATAGCTTTTGAAATCTCGCTAAATCTCGTTTTTCGTGAGATTTTAAGATACTTGCATATTAGACCTCTAATGACTTACATTACCTACTTTTAAATGGCATTTTTGAATTCAGTGAAATGTTTTCTCCTATAATAGGTTTGATTTACACAGTTACGTATGTAATTTGAATAATTTTCTATGACAATTTTTAAAAAAAACTTGGGCCAAGTCTCCATAGATGCAATGCTAAAATTCTTTAAAACCTTGGATTATTTGTATGCCAATCAACATTTCGATGTTTAATCACAACATGTACATAAACAGGGTCATCATGTGGTATATCATTCAAGTTTTATACAGATTCAACTAGCACACTTTCAAATTATGAAATTAAGCCATTTTTCCAAGATTTTAGCATGTAAGTGAACGGAACTCTAGCCCAAATTAAAAGTTGAATAAAAGATGGCAGCACTAGATTTCATTGATTTTTCTGCTATTTAGAAACTATCCTATTGAACAACACCGAATAGTCGTTTCCCATAAACCCTGTCATTGCATTTGCTACATCAAGGAATTTTTTATATTGGCCAGATTCATGATATCATATTTTGTAGATAACCCAGTTTCTAAGTAAAACTATTCCTAAAAAACCATTGTTTGGTTACCTACAATTTATGTCATCGTCATTCCGGCCAATATAGCTTATTGAGTGTACCAAAGTGGTTTATGGTACACCACAGGTGAAGTGGTTTATTGTAACACTATACAATAGATGATTAGATATGTTTGATTAAAATTGATGACGCTAAACGAATTTGCCTTTAATACTGAATTCAGAGGCTTATATCAGCACTAGCATTTGGTGTCATCTAGCCAGCGGCAGCAATGGTACAAAATGTTTTTCTAAAATGTTAGTTCAAATGTCAAAATGATACCATGGCACCAGAATGAGTATGATCAAATATTAGACAAAACTTTCATTAACTAATTATAACAATAAAAGATAGTTATAAACTAATTAAAGTGGATTACCAGGAATGTGTTAGAATCTGATTGAGTAGTTCCGATGCTAGACAATGAAGCGATGTGCTTCAGTTTAGCCCCCTCACTGAGGCACCAGAGACACCAGCCACGTGCCAAGAAATGCTTCTTCAAAATTCCGAGGAAGCAAAGAAATATAATGAACACTATGGACAGGATAAGCAACTCCAACGCTAGAATATTTTGTTCTCTCAGAAATTCCGGATCAACTGGAACAATCAATTTAATTTTGTATCAATAATATTCAAAAACAACATTGTTCTTTTGAATGGGATAGCATGATAGAGGCCAAATAAAAAATAAAAAATATAGTTTATGAATTCATTATCTAAATTGGCAACATAACGTTGGAAGAAATCATTTAAATAAACATACAAATATGCCCACTACCATCAAAAATTAATTCATTAATCTGAATAAATGTATAATTTGATATTTGTAAGATTTGGATTTTGAAGAGAAACGTTTGGCTGCCAAGATACCTTTATAGTCTCTGCCTGAGGCTTCGGAATTGTCAATAACGGAACCGTCTGTGTCCTCTTGGATATTATTAGGCTCCTTTCCAACAACCGCTTCGCTATCATCAACCAGATGGGACATTGTTGGACACTCCTTTAGATCTGTTTAATTTGTCTTTCAAATATCGCTTTGGTGTATATTTGTTTTAAACAATTTGGTAATGACCCAGATGAAGACTCGGTGTTTTGTAGAATTATCTTTCCAAATTGTAGGTATTGTGTCTAGGTAGTGTTTTTCAAAGATGTTAACCTTCTTGTATTGAAAATGCAATCTTATGTCTCAATATGCAACGAATTCTATTCAACATGCCTTACTACTCAGATACCAAGGGTATATATAAAATTGTATTATTGTAATGTAAAAAACAAATGGCAGGAGAGAAGTGCAGGTTCAAGAGGAAATAAAATACATTGTACCTAGTTTGACGTTGTACGAAATTCACTGTCAAGAAAAACCCTTTTGTCGAGAGACAATAAAAACAAGCAATAAAATCGGTATTAAAATTATTTCAACACTATAGGATCGGGGCTGATCGAGTGCAAATGATTTCAATAATTAAATCTTTAACTAAGGGCATTTCAGACCATATATACAACCGTTTATTTTTACTAATGCATTCAAGGTGTAACGTTTGATTTCAATTGTTGAGATTGAGATAATATGTGGACTTATCAACGGTGATTCTCTCTTTATGTAAAACTATGCCTTCCAACTAATTATATTTGATTAAATTAATTTATAACAATGATCAATTATTATCTTTCTCCATAGGGATTCTCTGGATTTTTGATATTCGACGATGGGCGGCATCATTATAAGCCACATGCAAATATACTGACTCACACGACCTAGCCAACAGTATATAGATATAATAAATAACGATTTATTTCACATAAATTACATAAAAACACAGTCTTAAAAGTATGTTAATGGAAATATATACAAGGAATGAAGATGAAAAGTACATACAAAATTGTGATGATGACTTATCACCAGTACATGGTAACAGTTATTAACAAAATTCACAGTGTCTAGAACTAATATTTTCTACACATCTGCACATCTGCATGTTGAATGGGTTAATGTTGCACTTTGTTATTCATTCGAATCGAAAGCAATTCACATTGTATTTTAACAGTACTTATAGAGATTTGTACCGACATGTAGGATTCACATCCGTTTTATTGTCATATACACAGATCGCCAATTGAAATAAAGTAAATTGCATGTTTTTTTTGGGATTGATGAGTAATTATATAGATACAGTGATGTACATGTACTGTAGTCCGTATCTTGTGATTTGTCGTTAACCCCAAGGATCCTCGTCGTCGGAATCCTCCTGAAAAACAATAAACAAATAACAAAATTTATGTTTATAAAATTACCCATTGTTATATAATGATTAACTTAGATACATTATGCATGATGGAACCTAATATGATGTGAGTTTTCAATGAAAACATTAAAACATGAGCTCGAATTCCCAATTGGACATTAGGACAATGTGCGTTTGATAAGGATCTCTTAGACACTTTGGTATTGCATCCACTATGTAAACTAACAAAGATGATAACAATTAATTATGTATCCTCACCCAAGCCTTTTTCCTTCTAAAGGTAGCCCTTTCTTCCACCTTCTTTACTGGTTCAGGCTAAAACGAAAAAATCAAGTGTATATGTGAGCACTAGAAAAAGGATTGTTTCAATGTTGAGCTTTAATAGACTAGATGCGAGTAGAAATAATCTTGATTTACGTCATCAAAAATTCAAACTTCAGTCAAACTGATGTCATATTTGGAATCTACATGTAGAATTACATCTAGAAGTGTGGTTTTGAAGAGTTTATCAACTTTGAAAATTTAATTGTCTTGGAAAATGGGACTTCTAGGTCGGGGGATTCCCCATAGAGCCCATGTTGTAAAATCACAAAAAGTGAAATATCTTTTCTAGTGTTGGGCAGATAATATTTTCTTTTACTGGGCATATTTTAATTTGTATAACTATCAGATACAAAAGAGTAATATGAAAAGTGAACCACTAAAACTGATGAATATTCAAGTTTAAGGGGATTTTGTAATACCATGCCATGTTATTTCCCCCGACTCAGCCTCCTGGTGGCGAAACTGGTAACTACCTACTCGCATCTGAGTAATTAAACATGTTTAACACGTTGCAACAAGTAGTTTACTGACCGTTTTCTCTTTAGGTGGTGGCGTCGGTTCTTTCGGTGGAGGTGTTGGCTCTTTAGGTGGTGGCGTCGGTTCTTTCGATGGAGGTGTTGGCTCTTTAGGTGGTGGAGTTGGCTCCTTTACTGTCTCTGGTTCTTTCGTTTCCTCGTCGTCACTATCCTCCTATGTATATACGATGTTATCAAAATATGATGCCAAGACAACAGTACATAGTTGATGTGGTAAAATATAACAGCCCATACGAAATGATCAATTCTGACAATATGAAAACATTTTTCATATTTTGATGAACATGGATAGTATATATACAGGGTGGTCCAAAACAAAAACGCTCCAAAAATGAAATAATTTCTTTTATGCATATATAATCAGCTTCATTTTTCATGTACAGAAACTACAATCTATGGTTGACAATGTGAGATCAAATTCATAACACAACATTCAATATCCTTCTTGTTGTGGTCAATTAAAAAATATGCCGACTTTTGAAAGAAAAGAAAATGTAAAATTTTCGTGTCAACCAAGTGGTCAACATCGTTTGTTTAAACCCATCACATTCTTTTGGCTTCTTGTTAAGCTGCATTTTGTCAGTATAGAGGTTGAGATCTTTAATGAGGAAGTGTCCCAGCAACCTTTAAGCCATCTTTAGGCATGGCTGCACCTTCTGAGTGATATTTTGGACACATTCTAAGATCATCAATGATATCACGATCACAAATAATCAATTTTGTGTAACAGACTTGATATCATATTATCATCCATATATTTTAGTTTATGCACATAACAAATTGGGTTGATAGGATGGGTATTTAAGAATATTACACTTTGAAAGGGTTTTGTCTTTTAGGGTCACCGTGTAGATGGTTATAGCTATAATATCAAGAGCGAAATTGGCTCGGAAGGAATATTCCTTTAACGCAATATCAAATAGAAACTGAATAAACCATATGCAAAACATTACATGGATATCCTATTTATATTGTCCAATGATCATCGCAATGGTCTCTTTGTGACATTATATATATTTTAATCAGACATATTTTCATGAATTAGTTATCACTGAAATAGAAGTAGAAGCAAAATAAGACAATGCATAAGCATGAAAAGATGTCACCTCCTTGTAAGTTGTTGCAAATGGTTAAAATGTTAAGTCCACTTATTTGTTGCCATGGTAACATTTCACGTCAATGAGATTGCATTTGTCAGTTACAGAATACAGATATATGAGAAGTGCTTTAAGAAAAATAATCTGTTTTCATGGTAATATATATTCATTGCCATGGTATCTGAACCGGTCAAAAACGTCAAAAATATGTTAAAAGTCGTAACATATCTAAATGTGTTGACAATAAAAGATTCCATGTGAACACTACTTCTTAAAAATAAATTATTGCAAATGGTTACATAATGTTACAGGTCTACTGATATGTTGACATGGTAACGTGCATTGGCAGAGATGTATCATGTATTGGAATACATGAATCGTTTATAAATGTTCACAGTAAAACCTTGAGGTCAGTCTAAACAGTACTTGTTACTCTACTTCTTAAATCATTGCAAATGGTTACTAAATGTTACACGTTCACTTCTTTGTAACAATTGTAATATATATTGGACAGAAATGTGTTGGAACTTATAACATGTTTATATGCGTTCACAGTAGACAATTTGAAGTCAATCTAAATTGTGCTTGTTTAGTTATTGGAAGAATTTGTTACAGACGAACGCTAACCATCGTCCACAAAAAGTTGCAAACTATAACAATATGACACCACTTCTGATGATGACATAAAAATGAGAAGAAGCCTTCCCGAAATCTACACGTTAGTATTTCTTATATTTCTTGTGATAAGTAACATAAAGTTTTAGCAGCGAAATGCAAATTATATATATAACCTGTAACTTATAATTGATTATACGAGGGCCATCCAACATGTTCTGTTTGTTAGTACCTTATGCTTTGGTCACATTTGCTCCGATTTTCACTACGGAGCCCGGCCGATTGAGTATTTTGTCCAAAACTGAATAGAATTTTGAGCAAAATACTCAATCGGCCGGGCGCCGGCCGATGGATCGGAGCAAGTGTGACCAAGGCATTTAAGGGTAACCCATATCACTGTGTAATGACCTCTGCCTGTTTATGTGCCACATGTATAATATAGATCGTCACGGATTTATCAAAGGGAGATTTTTCTATTGACAAATCAATTTCACATTTTATTGGAGGTGAAGTTTCAGAATCTTCTTTTTGTGTTAAATGGGAAAAATTGATCTGTAGATTTATTAGCACAACACATTAGCACAACACATGGCATTATGAAATGTACTGTAAATGCAACAAGGTCGTTTGGATTTATATTGCACGAGGATTTATATTGGCTGATGCTTATGCACCCTTTGGATAATCCACTCTCTCAAAGTTTATTGTAAACTTTCTGACGACTTGTTTTATCTTCAAGACGACTTCCATAAACTGGAATTTACAGAACTCCCCTAATTTCTTCAAAATAGACTGATCCATTACACTAACCTTGAGCTGCCATATTCTTTTTATACGGGAAGCTTATCGTAACCCTAAGTCTACACATTTTCCTACATATCATGAAATACGGTAGAGGTCAAAACACTAACCATTACATCATTGTAAATTAAGTTACCGTTTCGTTTAATTGACAATTCGTCCAACGTTTTGAAACTTTCAGTAATTATTCTCTTTTTGAATAGTGTGGCGATCTGTATTAACATTTTTTTTAAATTCCAGACACCAAAGGCTAAAACATATTTTGAACGGCCATCGTATTGAAAAGTTAAAGCTCTATTATTAGATATTTGGATAATATTAGTAGATACACATTCTTTGGGACGTTTGTGATTAGATATATCTAAAGCAATTAAATTACAACTAATTAAATAATTTGTATTTTGATGTTACTTTGTTATATTTATCTTACCCATGGTTTCTTCTTTCTAAACGTGACCTAAAACGTTATAGTTTGAACAAATCATCATTAGATATTATATTAAGTAAATCAGAGAGTCGAATCAATTATTTTCAATAATACATTTCCTATTTCCTTTCTAAGAAGTGCTGATATTATTAGGTACCTTTTCTTCTTCCTTCTTTTCTTCTTTGGGCTCTTCTTTTACATCTTCCTCCTCATCAGAATCGTCCTATATGAGAAAAGGATTAATATAATGATTTCAGCTATAGAGCTGGTTAATATGATATCTGACCGAGATTACATGTAAATCACTTTTATTCCAAAGAGTGACACACGAGGATAACTCCAACTAGCGCATACCATTTTTCTCTATACCATTCCCCTTTTCACATTTTTAGACCTATCATAAATAAATATTTGTTTGAAGTTTTAAGGTACAACAAACATACTACATTTCCATAAATATATGGGGAACCTACTCGACAGTTTACTGTTATGGTAAGTACAAGGGTTGTTCAAAAGGTTTTACACAAATATATATTATATCTCACCCAGGGATTCTTCTTTTTAAATGCAACCTTTTCTGGTTCCTTATCCTACAAAAAATGACAAAGGTCAGAACTAGAAATTCTATTGGCGTTTCAATCCTGTGATATCAGACAACATGAATGCAATTTCATTTTATGGAATTAATAATACCACATGTCTTCACATACTTCTTTGGCATCGTCCTTAGTTTCTTCATCCCGTGGTTCCTTGTCTTTAGTTTCATCTTCCTCATCGGAATCATCCTGCATTGTATTGACAAGCTATGATTATAATACATGGTGCTGATTAGGGTATTCACAAAAAGCTAGATATATTTCATCTTCTGGCCAATCGATATGCAAAATAGTTAACCTATCATTAAAGAAGCACGGGTGATTAAATTCACTCGATTTCTGTATACTGATTTCTGTGTTGTCCGTTACCTAAATGCATTGGTTCAAAGACTGTGAACAAAATCAATGGTCAGTGCATTAAATCTCAAAGCATTAGGTCTATATCCTTGAACATAGTTGGTTAGTTAGTTACAAACAGGAAAATCATATTGAAGTTAAACAAATTTGAGATTTTTCTGTGCAATCTATTATCTTCTCGTTTAGAAAAAATACCAAAACGGGTTACCCATGGTTGCTTCCTCTTTTTGAATATAGTCTTTTCGGGTTCCTAAATCAAAATAAAGAACACATGCAGGTGAGTACAATCCCAAACACTCTCATGCTTATGGCTATATGCTGAATTCCAGAGAAGAATTATGTGGAAATAATACCCAAGTCATATTGCACATAGAGTGCATTTTATTGTAAATACTCTTTTTGCTGCATATTTGGCAACTATGCAACAGTATGGGTATTTACACTACCCTTCATAGGTTTGGCAACCTTACCTCCCCATTGAACTACGTGTTAAAGCCTCGTTACGTTTGAATTTTTATTTACTTGCGATGAAATAACTTATAATGTTGATGGAAACCTAACTTGACTTTATTTCCAATACCTCCAAATTTTCCCATTTTTCCTCGATTACAATAAGTCGAAAATTGATGATGGGAAATTATGGGTTCGGGCAAATGGGAAATCAGGATATCTATTCAGTAAAAGATTCAGCAAAAAATATTTTTATATAGAACTATCTAACTTTTTTTAACTTTGTTGATCCTGAAGAAAGGTATCATTTTTTTTGTTAAATAAATTTAGCAAATTCAATTGCCTACGTATAACTTGTTTTTTTTGCAAGGACTCAGAGTGATGGATATTCTGTCATATGACTTGCGGTAAACCTACCATTTCCCATTGGTTAACATGGGAATGTCGTTTTTCAAAAATTTATCAAAATCATAATGTTCGACCTATTGTAATTGAGAAAATTTGGAGGTATTGACAATAAAGTCAAATTACGTTTCCATCAATAGTATAAGTACTCTCATTGCAGGTTAAGTAAATAAAAATTCAAAGGTAAAGAGGCTTTAACATGTAGTTCAATGGGGGAGCTAAGGTTGCCAAACTTATGGAGGGGAGTGCATATTTTTACTCTGTATTGCTGGTGGTATCGGGAGAAACAGCACACATATTTTTTTAATAAACCATGGCACACACACATCACATTTTAGAAATTGTACTCAGAAACAGAATTCCATGACTCATATATATATATATATGCGTTGTCTAAAACATAATATGCGTTATATAAAATCCATACATCGACATAGTGTGCAACGTAATCTTAGAAATAATTTCCCATATACTGAATCTCTTTTGCCCCCACCCATAGATGTGAGCTTTCAAGATTGATAATATTGGTAGAGATGCAGTTCATATGATCTAACACTCGATAAAGGATTGGTATCGATATGGTGAGGAACACACGTTTCTATTAAACCAGTCATTAAAAAAATGTTTACACATCGTCAATTTAGTGGTCATGTTTTGAATGGTAACAATATAATTTGAAATATTTTTTCTCAATATTGTTTTAGAAAACACATCGGTCACTTCTTTTGTTCCTGGTATCATATGCTGCAACTGCACTAAAAACAAAAAATGTTAACAAAAACAGTTATATAAAATATATACAAATAATTTTCGCATTAAATTGTCGTCAATCAGTCAACATTAAACAAAGGACCGTGTTTTGTAACAGAATGTTTTCAATAATTGGTTTAAGAGAAAAATATTGCTGAATACAATTCACCATACCGATACCAATCCTTTGTCATTAACCTACACATGACTACAAATACTTCAATAGACGACCGTGTGATTTGTTCATTTACACATTAAATTGAGGAGAAACACAAAGCAGGTGATAAAACAAAGACAAGTCATACATTTTGCATATATTTTAGATTATGCAAAATGATGGCTCAGAACTACAAAACAATACACCAACGTTAGATTCCTATATACTCGCTACTTTGATTTTTACGAAGATAAAAATCACATCATTCATGCCAAAAAAAAGAATAAAAAAGAGATGCTAAAACGTTTTTAAAGACTATCGACTATATACCAGGTATATGTTAAGATGAAACGAATGGTGGACATGTAACAATTGCAATTGACAAGAGAAACTAGTGAATATTAGCAGGAATATGATAAAGGACATTTATTTTAAAATGGAGTGAGGACAGAAACTACGCCAGTATAATGGGTAAATTCGTATAAGTGTTGTAATATAACAGGGGCGGATCTGGGAACCAACAAGGGGGGGAGGCCCAAATTTCAGGTCAGAGAAAAAATCGTCCGCGAAATTTTGGGCCCTTAAAACCCAAAAGTGGGCCCAAATTTTGAAATTTTGAGGCCCATTTTCTTCAAAATTTGGCCTGAAATTAAAAAATAAGGCCTGAAAGGCCCAGTAATGACCAAAGAGGCCCACTTTTTGGGGCCTGAAGGCCTTTTTTGGCCCCAAATTTTTTTAGGGCCCAATTGTTTTTTTCTGGGCCCACCCAAGGGGGGGGGGGGGGGCCGGGCCCCCAGGCCCCCCCTAATCCGCCAGTGTATAAACTGACTAGAGAAGTTCGTAGTTTCCATGAAGTAACCTACTAAAGGAGATACTGCTTCGTATTGGTTGTCTACATACCTTTTTAGATTCCCCCTGCTGCTCTCCCTTTACCTCTTCTTTTGGTAGGTCATCTTTGGTCTCTTCATCATCCGAATCGTCCTGCAATAAATGAACACACCGTTAAATATCTGAATATACGATGAACACTGGATTATGATTCTGCAAACGGTTCAGCTCGTTAGACGCTATATAAATAAGTAATTTCTTATCAATTTTAATAAATCAGCGTCTCGATGAATATACTTGTTTTTCTTCTTTTATATAAATAAGTATATATACTGTTTACATAGAATATAGCTCACTTTAGTTTGTAACTCAAATGTTGACATCCAAATACAATGACCAATATATTTTTAAAGTACGGATCTACAATAAAACAATTACCCAGGGTTCTTTCTTCTTTTTGAACATGGTTTTTTCTGGTTCCTACAGTAAAATTTACGTCAATAAGGCAGAGGTAAAGCAGCTAAACAAACTGACATTATATGCCTATACCACCAAATGTGATTTCTAGTAAATTGTACATTTTATAGTAATCAATTTGGTGAAATAGATATAATATACATGGTAGGAAGGTTGGCATAATGTAAATGTATAAACATTTTAAGAATATAATTTACATGTATACCCAAAGCAAGTTACAAATCATGATCAATTGATTGAATTCACACACGATTTTAATGTAAGGCAATTAATTATACTTCTAAGCTATTTTATTGAAAATGCAAATGGTTAAACGTTATGATACCGATTGATTTCAAAAATCTTTGTTCATAGCAATCTATTTGCCTTTTTTGGTTCCTCTTTCGGCTCATCCTTAATTTTTTCACTCGGTTCCTCATTTGACTCCTCTGCTTTTGATTCATCCTCTTTCTCCACATCTTCTTTTGCATCTTCTTCATCAGAATCTTCCTGTTTTTGCACCAATGTAATACATTTTACAAAGTGATTATGATTACTCTCGAGTGCAGTATATATAACCAAAGCATGGAATAATGTTTATAAAATATCAAACATATTAGACTAGAATTTGCATGTAGAAAAATCAGAAATCATCTAGCGAGCATCCAAAACGGTGATTACTGATTACTGAGTTAATGTATATCTGAATGGGTGTTGAGATATACCAAGTAAATAGATGTCAAAATACGATTTTTGGTCAAATAAAATATTGGAAGTATTAAAGATTTGAAAATTAATTCCATGTGTTTTCCATTTTATCTTTTGCTTATTAATTTAAATGGGTTTATAAGAGTTCATCAACTCTTTTGGTGAGCTCTGTGATATGTGGGGGTCAAACGTTGTTTATCTGGAATAAGGCCAAGATGTTTGTAATGATCGACTCTATGGAAAACATTATTTCCAATTTTAAAGTTATGAATTTAGAATTCACATTTTCCTGGGTTTGAGAATATTATGTTTTTACTTTTAGAAGCCTTGGAATTCATTGTCCATGTCTCAGACCATTGTAAAATTTTGTTATTTTTTGTTTAAATCAGAATATAGTTGGTATAGAGATACATCATCCGCATACATATTGCATTTGCTTGACAACGTTTCAAGGGATCAGTTATATATATCGGGAAAAGTAGAGGTCCAAGAGCAGAGCCTTGTGGAACACCAGCATTTATATAAACGTCCTCACTTAAGACAGACTCTTGACCAGCATTGATAAATTTTGTTCGTCTCATAGAAAGATATGACTCTAAAAGCGATAGAATGCTTGGGTCAATTCCATAAGTAGTAGTAATGAATGAGGTTAGGTGTCAAACGCAGCAAAAATATCTAAATACATTTCCCTTTGGGGAAAGTATCATTTAATTTATTATGAAGTAAATAATGTTTAATAATTGAGACTGGGTACTATGCCCTGGGTAAAAAAATTAAGAGTTCACCAAATAAGTCTGTGATCGACTTAAAAAAACAGGTCGGGATAAAAATGGTGATGATGATGCAGATATTCAGGGCCAGTATTGTTGGTAAACCAAAATATTCCCCAAAGTGATTTAGCAATACCAGAAATAGTGATCTGTATACATCCATATATAAACGAAAGTACTCATAAACGATCAGACGAAAGTGATATATGTAAATCATTGTCAATATGATTTCTTCACCTAATCCCCACTTACTATTTTTAATATTAACATGGTGGTCCACAATGCATGTTATCATAAAACAACTAGTTAAAAGATGACGAATATTTAAATCAATTATTAAATAAGTGTCTTTCGACAACATTGACCTTGGTATATCTCGTAAATCGTTTATCATTATAACAGGAGTATTTCGACCACTGCTTCCTCTGCTCGTTAGATGATACAATGTTTTTGCCTTTATGGTTTTCCTTTTAGTAGAATAATCTTTATACAATATTGAGGTACAATAAAAATTTTACCCAAGTTTCTTTCTTCTTTTTAAACATAACTCTTTCTGGTTCCTAAAGCAAAATGAATAACATTAAGGCAGGAGTAAGCGAGTAAGCGATCAAACGACATATGCCTATATTACCAAATGTTATGCCTGTACTTATAGATGCCTTGTACTTATAGATGTATAAACTTTTTAGGAATATAATTACACTTCTAAGCTATTTTATTGAAAATGGAAATGGCTAAGCATTGTGCTACTGATTGATTATCTATTTGCCTTTTTTGGTTCCTCTTTCGGCTCATCATTTATTTTTTCATTTGGTTCTTCCTTGGGTGTCTCTGCTGCTGGTTCATTTTCTAAGTTCACATCTTCTTCATCAGAATCGTCCTGTTTTTTGCACCAAAGTATATGATAAATTCACTTTACAATTTACAACATTTTCCTCTACATATACATACATCGTGTTTGAATAAGTTTTACAAAGTGATTATGAAAGAGTTTTTATTTGTATTATGAAAGCCGAAGTTCATATCAAACGTTAGCAAATTTACGAGGGTAGGATCGTATCATAAGCCATGAAACTATTCTATTATTTTATAGAAATATCACTAATTTACTGTTGTGATTTCTCTCCATGAATTATGTGGTAGAAATAATTTGATAATAGCTAGAAAGGCTTTACCCATGGCTGCTTCTTCTTTTTGAATGTAGTTTTCTCAGGTTCCTAAAGGAAGGGCAGAACAAAAACAGGTATTAAACAAACGGGTGTGCAAGGATGGAAGGTAGACTACCTCAAAAGTCTTACTGAAATACGATAATATTCATACTGAATCGTAGTTTATAGTCTATTATACATGGTTCATAAATTAAGTAGATTAAACAGAGGAATTTTGAATACTTTTTTAACTTCCTCTTCAACTTCTATTTTCTCTTCTTCTTTAGTTTCCTCTTTTGCCTCTTCTTTCGTTTCTTCTTTTACTTCTTCTTCCTCATCGTCAGATTCATCCTATAATGGCGTGTTGATATACAGTGCATTAGTTCCTGCATATGTAAGTTTCGAGTATCTCTCCTAGTTCATATGCCTAACACTAATATCAAGTGTATATAATACATATATTCGTTGGTGTAGTTTTAGTTGGCCAAAACTGGTGCTAACGCATTGAATTATTAATGCATGTTTATGGAGTTTATATATTGTTATGGATATGTATTGAAGACATGTGGTTGAGTAGAATTAAGATTGATATGAATATTATAAGACTAGTTATGAAGCAAACATTATAGGAAGGATAATAGAAATATCACTAATTTAGTGTTGTGATTTCCCTCCAAGGATTATGTGGTAGAACTAATTTGATGATAGCTAGAAAGGCTTTACCCATGGCTGCTTCTTCTTTTTGAATGTAGTTTTCTCAGGTTCCTAAAGGAAAGGCAGAACAAAAACAGGTATTAAACAAACGGGTGTGCAAGGATGGAAGGTAGACTACCTCAAAAGTCTTACTGAAATGCGATAATATTCATACTGAATCGTAGTTTATAGTCTATTATACATGGTCCATAAATGAAATAGATTAAACAGACGAATTTTGAATACTTTTTTAACTTCCTCTTCAACTTCTATTTTCTCGTCCTCTTTAGTTTCCTCTTTTGCCTCTTCTTTCGTTTCTTCTTTTACTTCTTCTTCCTCATCGTCAGATTCATCCTATAATGGCGTGTGGTTATACAGTGCATTAGTTACTGCATATGTAACAGTTTCGAGTATCTCTCCTAGTTCATATACCTAACACTAATATCAATTGTATATAATGCATATATTCGTTGGTGTAGTTTTAGTTGGCCAAAACTGGTGCTAAAGCATTGAATTAATACATGTTTATGGAGTTTATATATTTTTATGGATATGTATTGAAGATTGAGTAGAATGAAGATGGATATGAATATTATTGGACTAGTTATGAAGCAAACATTATAGGAAGGATTATGACTAACTGTAGTTTAAATATGTAGAACATTAAAATATGACAGCACATTTACTTATCACGAATGACTAGTGTGTTAATAATGATCTTACCCATGGCTGCTTTTTCTTCTTAAATGTTGTCTTTTCTGGTTCCTGAATACGAAGTAAGGTATAATCATGCTTTGTAAGTTGGGAATTGTGGTGCTTATCATGTATTACAAATACTTTTTATTACGTAAATAAACCGTTTTGTAAGTACATAATACAACACACTTGTAACACAAATAAATCATTTGACAGGGTATACATCCTTGTCAAATAAAACGGGTCGATGCAAGGTGAAATAAATTCAAATCAAGTCTTAATTAATTCTCAATTTGAATTTATTAATTTCATTCCCAGGTCTATTGGATAGTTGTCAACGTCTTTACTTTTTCTTTGAAAATGATAGTGTCTTATGACTTTGGTCTCACCTTTTTCACTTCGTCTTCAACTTTTTCTTTAACCTTTTCTTCTACAGTTTCCCCTTCTTCATCGGAATCGTCCTAAAATGTATTATAATTAGGATAGAACGTTAATTCAATCGGAAGTATATATAGAATTGGTCAGTCAATCTTAGATTAAAACTCTGATTCATTCATTCAGCAGAGCAATTAAAATATTTATTTCATGATTTATATATATACGAAATAGAAAACAAAGACAATATGCAGACAAATTCACATCATACCCACGGCTGCTTTTTCTTCTTGAATGTTACTTTTTCAGGTTCCTAAAATATTAACACATGCTGGTGAGAGGGGTTATCACATCAAAAGTTCTTCAATTATAATATCACTCATTGTTATACTGACACCTTGGTTAGTTTGATGCTATTTAATTTGGCGAATTGAATTTTGACACTTGTCAGCTACTTACGTCGTCGGATACAGTCTATGATCAATTCATGCATTTCTAAAACAGTTAAGCTCCACCATCAATCTTATTTTCTAAATGGCAGATTAGGGTCTGTACTATGGTCTTAGAATTTTAGTAAAAATGTAAATTGACTTTAATTACAAAACTCGCCAAAATAAAGCATATGGCAAATTAACGCAAGTAGCAGTATATAATCCTATGGTGCAACAATATGATTTCAAGATGATATAATACAAGTATTATATATATTGCTCTAAATTATACTCTGTTTTTTTTGCATACATGTAATACTTTGCATTGAAAGCATGAAGTATGAATGGTGAATACACTGGGGGGAAATGGTATAATTGTACATCTAAGTTATATCCAATTATAACTTGAACAATCGATATCCTCTTGGTATTACGACAAAAGATGGTTGAAAAGTCATGAAATTATAAAATCTAGAATATGGTCAAACCAGGCAAACACAACGCAGTCAGACTAATAATAAACAAAAACAACAGGCAAACACAACTTGATAATACACTTGAGCAATACATATTGTATGGCAATACAGATAATTGCAAAGTTATAAGAGCAAAACGATACATACCTTCTTCCTCTCTGACTCTTCCTTCTTTTCTTCTTCGTCAGAATCCTCCTAAATAATACACAAACACCTGGATATATCAATTGCTAAATTTACAAAACCATTTTTTATTCCAAGCAATATCTAACTGAGATACATACAAATTTCACGTTGTGGGATAATTCCATCCAATGGTATTTATTTGGTTTACTTTTTTTCTTAATAACAGATGGTTAATTAAATTGACAGACATGTTATTGTACTGATGGACTTTGTTTAATTGTTGTTTTCTGTATGCGTATGTATCACCAAAGCATATCGTCATACCCACGGTTGTCTTTTCTTCTTGAATACAACTTTTTCAGGTTCCTATAAGAATATAAACATGCAGGTGAGAACGGGTGCTAAAACAAACCACTTCAAAAAATCACACTTTAAATATATGATATCTACAGTGTGGGCCAAAACATCGATAATTTTGTTTTGCTATAAATATCAACAATGGTCTCTTGGAATCTTATTCTCATTAAAATGAATAGAGCAGTATTTAAATGACAATAAGAGTCCTAACCTTGTTGATCTTCCTTGCCACAAAATAGATCTCGAAGACTAGTTTTCAAGTGGCCAACATGCAGAATTCCCCTTACCACATTTTGAATTGAAACTTTCAATTCCCTTTTTGTCTGGAATATGTTAATCACCTCAACCAATGTGTCCCTCTGACAGATTGTGTACGAATTTAATATCAAACGATTATTTGAGGCATGTCCAATATCAATTGCAAGCTGCAATGTCAGCTTAAAATTTATTGCTGCTTTGAATAAATTAACCTGACAAATATTTGATTTTAGACCTATACCGTTTGTTAACCAATCTCTAAATATTTAAAGAACAATTGCATCTAGTATGAGAGTGAATGTTTATCCGTCTGGAAATGTGCATATTGAAGTATTAGGTTCAACTAACACGGACATATTTGGAAAACTTACTTAAAATATTTCGTCCTACATCCATCACGCCTAACCATCGCGTAGGTAGGCGTCACTGTACAGCGTCAAAAAATAGCGGAGTACAGTTTTCTGTACGGTGACGCAAATTAACTGCTTTGAAGTTAAAACTATGACATGGGTTTAAAAAAGATTAATTTGATGAAAACTAATACGATTTCATGTGAAATAAAAACAGCATTCTCTTAGGAATGGTTTTAACTTTGTAATTATGATAAATGTTTTACGAGCACTGTTCGGATTTTTTCTGAGTGAATCGGCCCACATAATCGACCAGAGTGAAAAAATGTGTTTTTTCACATTTTGTTTGGTTATTATTTTCCCTGCCGTCTGAGAGTATGGATTATTTTTATGAGAATATGTATTTGCCGACTAAACATTTTAGAACGGGCGGAGATTCAACAAACAACCATTCATTATGTATATTTAAAAAATATAAAATCTGTACGGTGACGCATCAGCTGTACATTGACGATTCATTATAATTTGTGAGAAGTAATATAAAGAATTCATTATTTATTACTTCAAATCGCATAAGTTTTGGTGTGGAAGTTCAAATGTTGATCCAATCAAGTATCCCTCGTATACATGTTGTCAAAATGATCAGTGAAAGTTACTGCAGTCACTTTTGCATTTAAGATGGCGGACAGGAAGTGTCGATCTCGATATTTTTAGTTTTCATCGAATTCTTTATAGTTGGCGTCATGCTTTGATGAACTAAATGAGACTAGGCTTTTATGAAATGGAAATCATTTGTTTATATATAGTGCATGGACGCTACAATTCAACGATATCTTCCATCACTTAATGGAAGGTTACTGGAAATGTGTGATACGGTAGGGGTCATGAAACCAAAAACTCAGTATATTTGTTGCTATGTTATTATTGTTTTAAAACAAGGGATGTCACAAGTAAATCTCATCTTGCACGTGTGACTTTTAGGATGAAAGATGCAATATCTTGCATGGGGTAAAGATGGCCATGTAGGCTATCTTTGTTAGTCATATGAGAAAAGCCTGGTCTGTATTTCAAATGATATCAAAGCATTGCGTCAACTTTCAAATAGTTAATTCCATGAAAACTAAAAATATCGAAATTAATACTTCCTGTCCGACATCTTAAATGCCAAGGTGACGGCTGTAAGCTTCGCTTGATACTTACCAGTGATAATGTATATCTGACGCTTCTTTACCTCTTGTTCGAACAGTAAGCTTAGAGTTGAATGTGTTTCAGTATTTAATCCTTGTTATCAGACATAAGAATTGATCTTTTCAATGTTGAATGGGATACAACATTTGAACTTATGGAATCTTAAGTTAATACTGAGGTCATGTATTACACTTCATGAAATCTAAGGAATCGTCACCGTACAGCAGATGCGTCACCGTACATCTTTTTTAAAAAAATGCACTGAATGATTATTTGCCGAATATTCATCTGTTCTAAAATATGTAGATAACAAATACATATTCTCATAAAAATAATCCATACTCTCAGACGACAGGGAAAATAATAACCAAAAGAAAAGTGAAAAAACAACATTTTTCTCTCGAGTCGATTGTGTGGGCCGATCCAGTAAGAAAAAATCCGAGCAGTGCTCGAAAAACTTTTATCATAATTAGAAAGTTAAAACCATTCCTAAGAGAATAAGAGTGTTTTTATTACACTTGAAATCGTATTTATTTTCATCTAATTATTTTTTTAAAACACCCATTATAGTTTTTGCTTCAACTCAGTTAATTTTCGTCACCGTACAGAAAACTGTACTACTGTATTTTTTGACGCTGTACGGTGACGCCTGCTTACGCGATGGTTAGGCGTGTCCATAGGACTTCTTCAGTTTCTGTTGCGGGGAATTTGAAAATTTAGAGGGGCGTCACAAAAGGTGGTATGTGGGGTACATTCCTCTGTCTCTGTTAGAAATGGCCTCTTTGATTTGTCTTTTATGAAAATTGTCCTCATTGTAAGTTTTTCAAATATGTCAGTGTTAGATGAAACTGTAATACTTCAATTGCAGAAGTGATCTCTATATTTCCATGATTTCGTTTTTAAAAATCGATATATTATAAAGACTTATTGCCAAATGCAAAATGTCGACATTTTTGGCTCAACCTGTGCATTCGAATGGAGCTACAATATATTCCCAAGATGATCTGATAAAACTTCTACACCATATAGTTACGACTAATCAAAACTAAAAGTGTATATAGATACTTGGCACATATTGTACGCATTGTATGCATTTCAGATATTCAGATATGAATGTCTATTGTCATCATGCACGAATTCTAAAATTATGTCACACCATTTGCAATGTCAATTCACAATTTGCAGGAGAAACTCACGAAGAGGTATTTGCAAAAGATTCATACCAAAAATAAACACAAACCAAAAGACAAACCAAAACTACGTAAATATCATAACATATTGTACACGATTAGAAAACAATGACGAACATACCTTCTTTTCTGGTTCTTCCGTCTTTTCTTCGTCGTCCGAATCATCCTAGTTAAAATCAACATATGAATTAATCAATGAAAAACATATTTATCAATGTCGACCGGGTTTTACAAAGATTTTGTTTTTTCCTTTCTACAACAAGCTCACCTTTAGCAATATTCATTTAAGATTCAATTTTCATATTCCATGACGTACTTTGTTCTAGTGATGCTGAGATATTCAGTATTTAGCTTTGATTTATCTTTACCACATGGTATGTACAGTTAACTGAATTTGTTTTTTCAATATTGGTAAGAATTTAGCTTATAATACAAGTAAATATGTGATATATAACGTCATACCCATGGTTGTCTCTTCTTCTTGAATGTAGCTTTTTCAGGTTCCTAAAATATATGTAAACATGCAGGTGAGGTGAGGTGAGGTGCAAACAGAATATTTGTTCCTTCAGATGAAATATTTCTGTATGGTTCTATGATACTATATTCAAGCAGGATCTGACTATTCAAGACTATGTTGCGTAAATAACAAACTATACGAGGGTGTACATGATTGTTGATAGGCAGGAGTGTCACAACAAAATTGATTCATAATTAAACTATACACTACACTATTACACTTCACTTCACTATACTATACTACACTACACCACACTAGACTACACTACGCTCTGCTATACCATGCTATACTATACTAGTAATACTATACTTTACTCACTATGTCATATCACACTACACTATACTACACTACGCTCTGCTATACTATACTATACTATACTCACGGACTATTCTATAGTTTACTGTACTCCCGGACTATACACTTTTATACTATATTATACTAACTTTACTATAGTAACTTTACTATATTTACTAATTTGATAACAAGAATTAAGTCTTGATCAGTCATCAAGACTTAATTCTTGTTGTCGTATCATGTGCGCAAAATGATGAACTCTACACTCTTAAAAATTATTACTTGGATTTCCTTATATTGAGAAATTGTACTACCCATTTTAAGTCAAAAATTACTTAAATAATCTTTTAAGTAATTTTTAAGTAATTCATTTATGGTGAATTTACTAATGCAAGGAGAGAAATTGAAATACTTACTGTAGTAATTGTAATACTCATTTACATAATTAAGCAATTAAAAAACTCAAAATGACAATATAAGTTAAACCTAAGTAAAATGAAGTAAAACTAAGTATTTAACTTTAAGTAATTTTTGTACTTGGGAAATACTTGGGAAATACTCAAGTAATTCATTTTTAAGAGTGTACTATGTGCACAACATTTGAATCAAAAACGAGATGTTGAAATCGGAAATACTGAAATGGGGAACACACGGACAGATACAATTTCATAATGAACTTGTAATATGTACATTGTACCAGATAATAATACATACCACTGCACAGAATAAGGAAAACAATCATGAACATACCTTCTTTTTCTCTGGTTCCTCTGTCTTTTCTTCTTCATCTTCGGAATCCTCCTGGAAAGACAAAGGTTAATCTATTTTGATGATTCAACGCATAATATCCATTTGAGAGTTTGAAGTTTTTATATTCAATTTATCACTATTACATGCCTATGAACGTATTTGATGTACTTTGATGAGAAATCATTGAAGTGATAACGAAGTTACAAACATAGCTAGTATGCTTGTATCAATTAACCATAACATCATACCCACGGCTGTCTTTTCTTCTTGAACGTAACTTTTTCGGGTTCCTAAAACATATGTAAACATGCAAGTGAGGAGAGGTGCCAAAACAAAACAACTTCATATAAAATATCACACCTAATAATACATGGAGCGAAAGCCACAAAGCTATCAACTAATAATAAAGGGTTGTCTCAAAAATGTACCAAAAAGCTCAGATATATACCAATTGATAATTTCAGACATTTTGCATGGTTTTCTCCCCAACACACAGTTTTTAGTTCAGTCTCGCTTTTTTGATGCTTTGACCCTTGAAACACGACATGAGACGACCAGGGAAAATATCACGGGGCGTCAAATCTGGAGAAAGGGGAGGCCCTCACAGTGTCTTTATTTTGTATACAAAGAGATCACTGACGTTCTGAAAGATGCATTGATAGAAATTCTTGCATGGCCCTTGCGTTGTGTGATGGGGCTTGTGTGATGGGGCAAAATGATCTTATTTGGATATCAATCGGTCTCCAAGCTAACCTGGAAGGTAGAATTACCGAACCATTTTACGATAATTGACCTGGTTCTCCTGCCGTCGTCATACCCGAACTTCTTTCACTGGGGTTATTTGAAAGAGCAATTTAACGCTTAGCAAAAAATAGTACAACTAAAGCCCATATATTTGAAGAGAAATCCATAGCATTCGACCGGAAACATCATCAAATGTGATGAACAACGCAACAGGATTGTCATCTAATTGTGAGAAGGTTACATAGACCATGTGGTGTAAAAAGTAAAGGGTTAAAAAGAGTTAAAAACTGTATATAGGTGAGAAAACGTACATGCTTTGGCTAGATGACATTGCAAAAAGTAAAAATATTGATTGTTTTATTTGTTATAATTTTGAGAAATTACCAAACGATTATACAGTATTGTGACTTGTACTAAATACTTAGTATGTGAAGTATTAAAATATGTTCATGTACGTACATGTAAGCTTTTTGTAAATGGAGCTTCAAATTTCCTAAGTTCATACACGTTTTCAAATGGAATCAACAATAGGTTATATAAAGGAAATTTACATGAAGTCAAATAGGTATTCTATGTTTATAATTATACCTCTATGCTTATGATTTTAAGAACTTCATGAGAAAATGTGAGATGATTTGCATATACAGGGTGATCACTAAGTTCTTGGAATTTCATTATTTTTTAACCAATTTACTTGAAATTGTCAACATAAATGTGAAATGTAATTATGATTTGAATAAAACAATCTCAATGTAATATGATTTCACAATGGATAATTATTGTTACTAAAGCAACATGACATGGCGTCGTGGGTCAAACAAAAATTGGATTCTTTTTTATTTTACTTGATCCAAAAGTATGGTTGATAAATACCTATTTGGTAGACATAGTTCTGTGATTTTGTATTCTTTCAAATATTTTTAACTACAGTGTCTATAGAAACATCTGTATTACAGTGATATAACAGTGTACTTTGCTCTATTTTCTTATCTTTCATCAGACTCTCCGAGTCACAACCAATGGCTCAAAAGAGCGGGGAATTATCTTCCATTGTAACAATGCTCCTTCGTACAACTCAAACTGCCCACACTAATCTTGAAGAACTAGGTTTCACACAGCTTGCTCATGCCTCATATTCCCCAGGATGAAGTATCATTAAGCTCCACTACATTTGGGATGTTGAAACATCATATGAGAGGTCATCAGTTTGATTCCAATAAGGGGCTGATTTCAACAACTTTAGCCAATCTTTGAGAAATAACAAATGGAGGGCTGGAAAGCGCCTCTATGGACTAGGTTTGTCAACAACGCATGTGCATTCAAGCTTATGGAAACTATTATAAATGAAAATATCCTTTCTACATTGAATAATACTTCTAAATCAATGACTAAAAAATGACTGTGCTGCTCGTCGTGCAAGTAGCTAGTTTGAAGTCACCATGAAGGCAAGATGGATGTTAAGCAGGAAATGTTCGTATTATCAGTCTTAATTTGCTGACTTGCGGACAGCTTTTACTAGTTTTATAATCACAACCAAATAAATTGTAGAAGTGATATGTACACGAAAGATTGTGTGTCAATTCAAATTTACACACTATACAATTTCAACTTAATTGGTTGAAAAATATTGAAATAACAGATCGATTCCCAGAACTTAATGCTCACCCTGTACATTATTTGAAATCAAATGCTAGTGTAAAAGATGCACAGATAAATGATGACATTAATTCAGAGTAATACAGTCGTTCATTAGATCCCACTAACGTTTTATGAGAATTTGAAGTCATGGCTAATAAGAAATATCGCGTCTGAGGGCAGAGGCGCAAGGCATACTCGTACTTAGTACTTGGTATTGGCACAAACAGTGTACTTACAATTGTCTACTTACTAGCTAGTGGGGCGGGGATAAAGCAAAACTCCAAAAGGAATAACTCCCCTAACACCAATAGATTTGTATGGTGCAACGATATTTCAAATTCTAATATAAGTGTCTAGACAGTATCATTTTACACATATAATATACTTTGACTTGAGCAAACAATGGGAACTATCTACCTTCACAACATGAATTAGACATGCATGAACATTATTGAAACGGCGAGAACATTGTGACATTAAGTATGAAAACAAGTACCACAAACAGATATTACATTACACATCGAAATTGATAAAGACAAGTCACGAACAATGCAGTGAATAGATCGTTTACATACTTTTTTTTCCTCTGGTTCTTCTTTCTTTTCTTCTTCGTCACCAGAATCCTCCTAGATTATACACACATACAATTAACTAGTTGGGTAAAATCTTATTTGTATAAAGTATTAATTTGAAATACAAATGTATGCCTTTGTTAACTTGATAAAATTACCGGCAAAGCAGAACATAAAAATATTATACAGGAATTTACACTATACAAAAATACCGTAGTATATTCAGTCTGTTGGTATTTAATATTAGAATTTTTCGTTTCCTTTGATATTGTTCCGTGAAGATGCGTTTGACCTAATAGATATATATCGAAGTAAGTTAAGTGGTCTGCTTTAATAATATTACAACAAACTCACCCAGTCTTGTTTCTTCTTTTTGAATACTGCTACTTCTGGTTCCTTGAAAAGAAAGACTTAGTGTAACATTTAACTTTTACACCATATCAGACCTTTACAACATAATTTCTAATTACCAGGCACCTGAAATTGAGTTTATTAAAACAAGTGTTACTACTTTATCATGTATCTATTAGATGAAATGAAAAGTGGCCAAAGAAACATAAACAGGGAGAGCCAATAAAATTGGAACATTTTGTAGAGTGACAGGGCAAGACCTCTACATGTTATTCTAGAATGCGTATTATAACATTGCTATATCAAAACCCTCACCTTAACTTCTTCCTTTTTCTCATCTGCCTGAAATCACAAATGTATATTGGTTATTATGGTCAATACAAATTTCATCAAAGATCAGTAATATCGTTGTATAATAAGCTTCAAGACCTCCCTCTGGTTTACGATATCTGTTTATCCCAAGTAAGCGGATTTTTGTCCATAAAGCAACTATACCTATACAAAACAAAAAGTAGAATGTCTCTAACACCTTGAATCAAGAAGATTAGCATAATGATATGTCGCAATGTCGGATAGGATAATGATATTAGGGGAAATCTTGAAATTATGGATAAATTGATAGGAAAAAATATATGACATACCTCTTCTTTTTTGGCACTGCTCCCCTGGAGATGTATTATGAAAGGAAGAGTAGATTATAGACAAAGAAAGGCTTAAAATGAATATGATATGCGCGACACACATATACTGAAGCTTGTAAATAGAAGTATGTGTGCCAAGAGATAAGAAAAGGGATAAGTAAAAGTCATGGTATTATGAAAAAGGAACGATTTGCATAGAAAATATGTAATAATATTAATAATTTCTGTTTTTTTAATGTTTTTCATGTATGGTAGACCATCAGGCCATCAGGGTGTCTTCCAAATGATGTATACTAATATATAAGATTCCGTACTTAGGATTTTACTTCATAATTATAACATAACATTAAAATTGAATCCAATCATCCAACTTCCAAACTCACCCATGGGTCATCATCTTCGTCGCTCTCCTCCTGTGTAATAAGAAGAAGAGCTCGATGAGAATATGGAAAAGGTATTGCTTCAGTTGCTACTGACCAGGTTTGAGAGAAAATAGTTATGAATATTTGAAACGATGTAAAATCGTATTCGAGTTGTGAACTATTGGACAGGTAAAGTACAAGAGTAGATGAAAAGCAAGTAAGTAAGAGAAGATGAAAAGTAAGTAAGAGCGAATATAGAGGGATATATAGAAGAATATAATGTACAAGCAAGTGCCTTACCCAGTCTTTTTTCCTTCTGAACAAAGGCTTTGGTGGTTCTTTCTAAAAGTCAATAATATCATACTGTATATGAAGACCATATTAATTCACACAACTAACTTTACGTAGGATGCAGTTAGAAACTCATGAATAGTATTACATTGCGAATACACATTGAAATACGTTCATACCTTTTCTTCCTCAACTTCTTTCTTTTCTTCCTTAACTTCGTCTTCATCCTACCAATGAACAATTTGACGTGAAACAGACAACTGCAAATTAGCACCTTATTGACATAACCCTTCATAAATCTAAATATCTTGTTAAGTGTCATATGATTAAGAACTGGTATACTTCGAGTTTTATCATAGTACTCTGCATTATAATTATAATGACTATCTTTCCAGGCAAACAACTTGTACATAACACACGCCATGAAGTAAAAATGAACACATCATCAATACACCATACCAATACAGTACCAGATAACATATGGAATCACTATACAGCAACTAACAATATAACACGTTGCAGCACTGGACATGGACATGCACTATTATTCCATTAATACATTGCATTACTATGCAGACAATGATAAAAGCTAATTTTTTAATCAATCCAAAAGTTTAGATTTTTGTCCTAAAACTACAAATGTATCCAAAAACTATAAAATGGTATTAATCAGTAAAAACATCGTAAACTCATTGTTATACTTCAATCATACAAAACAACCATTATAACGTCAAGCTAACATGCTAACCTTCGTTTCACTTGCCGGTATATCCTCGTCATCACTGTCTTCCTAAATAATCAGCAGTGGAAATCTTGTTTTAGAAATGAATTTGACACACCGTGCTCAAAATTTAGCCTGTTTTGTGCTTTTTAACGCATGTATTTTGCTATTTCTTTTAATTCTAATGAGTCTTATAATACTTTCATTTTGAGCTGATATTTTGATGATATTGCAACTTTAATGTAACTATTGTGATTATGACCTACAGGGATTTACCATTTACGATCTACAGGGATTTACTATATACTGAAAATCCCAATTAGAGCATTTCTATAATATTTTTCATATTAGTAAATCTTACCCAATCGGCTTTCTTCTTCTTGAAGACAACCTTCTCAGGTTCTGTCTGTAAAATTGTGCAATAAAATGATGAATCCACTTACCCTTCCAATCTATAAAATGCACTAATAGTCATGATCATGCATTCGATGCAAACTACTAGCGAACCACTTCAACTAAGAAATGGAAATATGATTCAAGGTGCAAAAAACTTTTTATCATCTAAGTGTCACAATCACAGATACAGAAGCAAAACTCGAATTTAGCAATGAATGTTCAATTGATCCAATATGTAAAATTTCATTTTCTAATTTATAACGATCATCTTACCTTTTGCTCCTCTTCTTCCTGAAAAAAGAAGTAAATAAGTGAGAACAATAGTCAAAATGTTCGAAGATAAATACACAACAAGCACAGCAAGAAAAGGAAAACAAAGACATGGAAAATAAAATAACATTATCCCAATCTATGATCGATCCAATGCACAATTAAGATTTCCTATTGAAATGAGGTTACTATTAGTATTATCACCACATCTTGAAAACTAAATAATAGTCACTCGCCCTAGGCCTGGACCAGGATAATGACCATCATGGGCTGCCAATGTTGCCCTCAAGTCAATAAAGTATAGTGAGAATAGTCATGATAATAAGGTGGTGATAATGGCTGACAATCCCCCTAACCAACCAATCAGGAATCATAAGTACAACACAAAACCGTAGTTATAACAAAACAAGTTAAAAATCAAATTAAAAATATATTTCGCCAGAACTCTTGACATTTAAAATGAAAACTCACAAATTTCAAACTTTACAATATGTGATGTTATGGTATGGTAGATATTATTATTCAATATCATGTAGTTTTATTTGGAGTGTAATGAGTGAAGCTTATCCGCCATGATTTATGCATGCCAACACAAAACCGTAGTTATAACAATACAAGTTGAAAATCAAATTTAAAATATATGTCGCCAAAATTCTTGACATTTAAAATGAAAAACTGTGCTTTCAAAATTTTTACTCATAACTTTCAAATTTTACAATAAGCGATGCTATGGTATTGTAGGTATCACTCTTGAAAATACATTATGTAATGAGTGAAGCTTATCCGCCATGATTTATGCATGCCTAAAATTGAATGCTAATTCAAAATCAATGTTAATCATATCAGGTAAGATACGCAAGGCAATACTGAAGCATTTACATGTTATTAGAGAATAGACTAGAACGATCAACTTGGTTTTCAAGGTTTTGTTATTCATAACATTGTGATTTTGTCCGTTTATAATGGAATTCATCCATAATAACTGACACAATGTAACAAATAAACCATAACATTTCTTGAATGTTGAACGATTAATCGCAAGCTTTAAATTTAAGATAATTTGCAGCTTAGAGTTAGCCAATGTTTCAGCAAGTATTATTTTTTCTACATTGTTTCACATTTCATCCACAGACCAAAGGTAGTTCATGTTATCCGTTGTCATTCCATGTAATAAGAATGTCGATAAATAAAACCTAGTTCCTAATTTTCATTCGGAAGATTATTGTTAGAGGGAGTGAAATTTGAAAAATAATATGAAAAGCACAAGGTACAAAGTTCCATTCCCAATTCTTATTGTTATATTATAATGCCGTGTTTTCATATCTAAAGCTGTGATGAAGTAAAATATGTTAAAGCGAAACGACGTTTAGGCAATCCGTGCTTAGATGTAGAAATAGTTACAGGTGGGTATCCGCCCCAGAACTTGAACTAAAATTAAATAAACACAAACGATCATACTAAGATGACAGTTTATTCATAAAACATTGTGTAAATTTGCAGTATATTTTAATCTAACATATTATATATGCGTGTATATTAGCTATGTTTTATAAATCACTGTCTTACCCATCCAGCTTTCTCGCGGGCTTCCTTTTCCTAAAAGGAGAGAAATATTGCATTGATCCCTTCACATGGAAATTGGACCAGACAATGCAGAAATTATATAAGACTTACTGCAGACATTGACAAAAGATTATAAACAAGAATAAACAACTACATTCCACACTACGTTAACATAAAAGACTGAGTAGCAACAATGAATGTTGAAACTTGAAAAACATATTTTCACATGATTAAAAAGTATGTACGACTCCAAATATCCAACAACCCCATTCAAATAGTATTAGTATAACAACTACATGTAATTAATGAAGAAGGGTGAATACTCTAACCATCTGCTTACCTTTTCTGTCTCTTCCTTGTTTTCCTGGAAGATTAAATCAGTGTTTACACATATTAAATTTATATAATGGATGTAATGTCGCAGTTGTTGCAAACAAGGACAATAATGTTACACATTTTTGCATTTTATAGGTAGGTGTAGGTCGTGTGCATATTGCATTTTTAGGTTATACAAGAATCCATTTTAGAATACATTGACATTAGAAACATTATCAATCACGCTGACATACACTCTTCTCCAACGTGAACCCCCCCCCCCCCCCCCCATTGCATTAGTTAAAACCTAATTATATTTAGACTCCAGATTGAAAATCTGGAGTCTATTGCTTTTGCCAGTTTTCTTATTCTTTCTTTCTTTCTTTCTGAACACTTTTTCTCAGCAACTAGAAGAACTTACACTCCCCTCCATAAGTTTGGCAACCTTTTTTCTCCATTGAACTACGTGTTAAAGCCTCTTTACGTTTGAATTTTTATTTACTTAACCGGCGATGAAATAACTTATAATATTAATGAAGACGTAACTTGACTTTATTTCCAATACCTCCAAATTTTCTCAATTTTTTTCCTCAATTACAATAGGTCGAAAATTGATGATAAATTTGATGAATTTTTGAAAATCGTCATTCCCATGTAATCCAATGGGAAATGGAGGGTTCGGGGCAAATCAGAAATCAGAATATCTTTTCAGTAAAAGATTCAGCAAAAAATATTTTCATATAGAAAATTGAATTGTCTAACTTTTTTGAACACTAAGTGTTTAGTTTATTTGATGAATATTAAAGTTACAGCGCTCAAAGTCATTTTTGAAAAGAATTTTTCGCCTCCTGTGTTATTTCAATGGGAGAGGTTTTTTGAAAAACAATTTTGACTTTAAAGCCCTATAACTTTGTTGAACCTGAAGAAACATATCAATTTTTTGTTAAATAAAGTTAGCAAATTCAATTACCTGCCTGACTCGTATTTTTTGCAAGGACTCGAATGGATGGATATTCTGTCATATGACTTGCGGCAAACCTACCATTTCCCATTGGTTAACATGGAAATGTCGATTTTCAAAAATTCATCAAATTCATCATCAATTTTCGACCTACTGTAATTGATGAAAAAAATTGAGAAAATTTGGAGGTATTGGAATTAAAGTCAAATTACGTTTCCATCAATAGTATAAGTATTTTCATCGCAGGTTAAGTAAATAAAAATTCAAAGGTAAAGAGGCTTTAACACGTAGTTCAATGGGGAAAAAAGGTTGCCAAACTTATGGAGGGGAGTGTACTTTAACCTACTTACATGGCTAGCATAACCCATCAACCTAGTTTCTGGGAAATTAGGTCAAATTTGTATCTAGGTCAAAGGTCAAGAACTAGCTCAAATTTAGGTCAAATCAACATTCTGTCAATTATCTTCGTTGTTGTTTGTCGTTACTCCTTCATCTTTATTTCATAAGCTATATGACTCTTTAGTCCAGCCTATACTAAACTATGGTTCATCTATATTTGGCCTCAACCAACATCAATGCCTGAACAATGTTCAAAATAAAGCTGGCAAGTTCTTTCTAGGTGTAAACAAACGCACTAGTAATGAGGCTGTTAGAGGAGATCTCGGATGGGACACTCCACATTTAAAACAAAAGGTGGAATGTGCTAGGTTGTTCATTAAACTGAAGTCCATGAATCAGAATAGGCTGAATTTTAAAATACATGAATGGTCCATTAAACGGAAAAGCAGTTGGGACTTTAAAGTTAATTCAATGTTAAATACATGTAATATAAATTTCACTGGTCATACCAAGGACATTTTAAAACAGTTTACTAACTCTCTTCGTAATTCTGATAAATTTATCCATAACATATGGGATGATAGAAATAATGAGATTAATGGCAATAAATTGAGGCAATATAGACTGTACAAATATGGTGTTTGCAAGTAAGGGTATTTGGCCCTACCAAAGCATCACCGTAGGTCACTTGCGAGATTCAGAACTGGTACTTTGGCCTTAGCAATTGAAGCAGGGCGCTACACAGGTATACCATTACACGAAAGGAAATGCTTATTGTGTGACATGGATTGTGTAGAAGATGAAAAGCATTTCTTATTAGAATGTAGCCATTATGATGATCTAAGATGTGATTTTTATGAAAATGTTAAACAGAAATTGCCTTATTTAGATGTAACATCAGTCAATTCTACACTTCTTTTTGTCTCCATAATGAATTGTACTTCACTCCACAATTTGTTTCCCTTGACATCAGTGTATAAAATTTGCACCAGACACAAAGATCACTTTTTTATAAAGAAAAATTGTAAGAAATTCAGCCATCTTGAATCTCTTCTTGAGTTAAGCCCATTTGTCCCCTAGCAACAACATATAAAATTTGAATCAAATCTGTCAACTAGCATTTGACAATGGCGGTCATTTTGAATTGAGAAGCCATATGGAAAATTCTTGCTCGAGCAGAGGTCCTTTATCCAAAAGGCATAAGCCTATTAACTCAGTCAACGACAATTGAGTTATCGACTAGACAGTTAGCACAAATGTATTTTTGTTCTGACCCATTTATATCAATGGCAACCACCTGTCATTTGTTACAGTCACCGATCGCCAAATACCACCCACAAACGTTTGGAGACTGCAACAACATGTTACCACTTGTGGTGGTGACATAAAAAATGTCAAACCTTTTTCGAATGAGAATGTATAACGGTTCAGTACGTTTAAGACATAACATTCGAGGGGGATGAGTGCATGTCACAGGCTGTAATGATTTGATGTGAATATTGGAGAGAAGGAGCAAAGTTTATAAATGTAATAATTGCGAGAGAAAAGTATATCTAATGAATTGTGATCATCATATTCCTTACCTCTTTGTCTTCTTTCTTATCCTCGCTGGATCCCTACAAAATATAAATCAGACGGCTCTCGATAAGGAATTTTACATCATTTGCAAAGGACCGGGTATACAATGGCAAATGATTTTGGACAGTCATATATTTCACCATGAGTACTTTCCGGCCATAACACAGTGGTTTTTATTAAAACAATATGTTTTCTTTCAAGTGAAGTCCACGTGATAATAAAAGAGAGAGTACTCATGGTGAAAGATATGACCGACGTCTAAAATCACTTGCCATATACCTGAACCACTAAATTAATATTGCTATTTTCCTAAATTGTAAAATGATCTTTAATCTTTCAAGTTTTATATTACTGCATTAGGAGTCTTTCTATGGATTGATAATATATCGCATATGTGCTCTGTTTGTATTGTATTACATTGACCACAACAATGTACAATGTATTATGAATAATTTGTAAATAACATGGAGAACAATCTAAATAGAATGAACTGAGAATACTAGATGAAGAGAATTATGAGAAGAAGACGTCTGTCACATAATATAGATAATTAATCAACAGATACAAGAATATCAGTATAATATAATCAGTGATACATTAAGACAGAAATTATATCATAAAGACTAATTAAAGAAGCGTTACATGAAATGAAGGCCAAAAGAAAACATAACAGAAGACAATATATGACACTGTATAAACTAATCACAGCTAATATAATCGTAATATCATAAAGTATACTCTAGTTGTGTTAGACAACGTTAGACATGTAAACAAACATGTCCCATTAAGTTACATTATCATGTTAAGGCATGCCAATAATATGTTTGTCACGTGACGTTCACACGTTGACTTACCCATGGATCTTCGTCGTCTGAATCTTCCTACAAAGGTCAAACTTAAAATTAAATTATCTCCTACTGGAAAATAAGAATTGAGTTAATGATCAATTATATTTCACTTTGAGATGTGATTTGACAGGATTTGTATAATCTATCGGAGCATGCGATAAGCACAAAAATGTAAATACAAAGCAGTAATCACTTCATTTTATATGAATTCATGATTAAGTAAGGAAAACAAAACTAGAGGTTTTACCCATTCAGCTTTCTTCTTTTTGAATACTGCCTTTTCAGGTTCCTTTGGCTGAAACAAAATCAGTTGCGAGAAGATAGAAAATGGATCACTGGTGTGATAAATACTGATGGCAATGATATATGTTAGAATGATGCCCGTTTCAGTATTATCAAATCATATAATATACAATAAATGGTTATGTATGATTACAGTCATCATATCCTTATATTACCTTTTCTTCCTCTTTTTCTTCTTCATCAGATTCCTCCTGTAAACGAAATACACAACGAGGTTAAATCGACTCGGAGACTGGGGGTTGTTTTGTTTTATTTCATGTGCATCTTATTTCTGATATATTTTCCGAATTGAAATATAATTGAATTGTTTCGTCTATTATACGTATTTAAATACATGTATTATTTCTTAGTTTCTAGCTTACCCAATCAGCTTTCTTCTTTTTAAAAACTGCCTTTTCAGGTTCCTTTGGCTGAAATAAAGTCAACGTTTCTTTTGAAATTATGTAATTTGCATATGAAATTTTCTCAGGAAGATTTTAAGATATATATGTTTTAAGAGTTTACAATCAATTGTATATATTTATAAAACATATAATTCACTCTCTTCAATAGATTTTCAAATTAATACCTTTTCTTCCTTCTGTTCTTCATCAGAATCCTCCTGCAAGGCCAAAATTGATAATAAATTAGTTTGTGTTTTTTAAACAATTTATCAACAGATTTTATTTTCATTAATAAACATAAGTACGTGATGGATCCGGTTACCAGTTGTATTATTATGTGTCATTTAGCCAATGTTCTTGTATGACATTTGTGTGTAGGCTTTGTGTTAAATTTTTTCATACACATAACATCTAGGGTAAATGTGCTTGTTAACGAATTGCATGTCATGATAGGAGAATATTGCATTTGACCAATTTGCTTTGAACTAATATTCAAAATCAAATCCAAATGAGAGCAAATTACATGGAACTTATAATTGATAAAATGCATTAGTTATATAAGCGATCTGCCCGACCAGTTGACTATAAGAAAAAAATAGTACATACCCATTCCTTTTTACGGCGAAATGTAGGCTTGGGTGGTTCCTGGGGAAGATGATAGAAAGACAGGGTAATGTAATGATTGCAGGAGATTTGAATTCTTTTTCTTTCACAAGTTCATTCTTTTGGCAGATAAAAGTATGAAATGTGAAAGTGAATCCAAATACATGGTGAACAAACACTACAAGTACTGTAACACTGGCGGATCCCATGCCACCCCCCCCCCCCCCCTCTACAAATTCTTAAGGCCCCAAAATATTTTGTAGAGCCTCAAAAATGGGCCTTTTTGGCATAACTTGGCCTTTTTCAAAAATGGACCTTAAATTTTCAAAATTAATCTATTTTTCAAGATTTGATGTGTCCCCCCTCCTTCCTAGTTTCTGGACTCGCCGGTGTGTAAGGTATAATTACTATTGATGATTAGCTAAGCATACATGGTCAGGGAATGAGAAGCCAGCAAAGAATTTTTTCTAAGGATATTTTCAAAAGAACTTAATGGCAACTAAGATATTCGTATTTTGTCAAGGTTTTGAATCCTGGTAGGATATATACCTTCTTTTCCTCCACTTCCTCCTTCTTCTCATCCTTCACTTCTTCTTTTCCCTGCGTATAAATATTATATAATTTCAAGTGATGGTAATAAACAAGGTTCAGTATATGCAGAGATCCATATGGATTCCTCTGTACAGGATCGGCGGGGACATGATTTTAGTTGTGGCTATATTTTCCATGTTAAATTATTTCAAACGTTTTTACATTTCTGTTTCAGCCTTGGCTTTGTTTTATAATGGGGTTAGATGTTCAAATGACTGTTTATTATTTCGCTTTGGATTATTCATTTCATATTCTTATACATAGGTATATATAAAACGCAACCTTTTAAAAATTGGTTTGACTTTTTAAATTTTTGATCCAAAATCATAATTTGCATACCAAAATAAAAGTTTAATCTACGGTATAAAATTGCTAGCCCTGCCCTATGAATTGTACACTTTTACTTGAATAAAATATGTTACCAGAGTCTCACCTTAACATGTGTTGTGCCATGAACAAATAAACATAATATGCATAGTGCAGCTGAACGGATAAGGCCTGATGAGCACCCAGCTAATTAATAGTCCTGGTGCAAACCCCAGTGATTATAGGATATGGAAAGGTCTCCAAGAGATGGTATAAAGGCACACAATCTCAAAGATTGCTGAAGCTGGCAATCTTAATTGCTAAAGCTGGCAATTAAGACAAGTTGGATGAAACTAGTCAAGATTTCACAGATACTGCCATATTAGCGTGGCGCGACTAAGGCTATCATCAAAGAAGTTGGAGGGCCAATTTAACTCCCTTTTGAGGACGATTACAATCCAAGTTGAAGGACATGTTATATTATTTTATTACCAAGGGCCTATAAACACTTTATATTGTTTTTTTAAAGTAGCGTTTTTCTGGCCCACCCTGTAGTTAATGTGTTTGAAGTATTCTAGTATTGCCCTTTACCTCCTCTGTTTCCTTCTTTGCCTCCTCTTCATCTACCTCTTCCTTTTCTTCCTGCAAAAGTAGGTCATTTCCATTTTGCAGTATCTTCATTTAATAAGAGCATTGGCCGTGGAAGTTGAATGCCATTCTATTAGCATCATTTTTGCAAAGAACAGTGAACATTAAGTTCAAACTGGCCAACTCCAAAATGACCTAAATCTTTTAAGTGTATGGTCTAGAACCTGGCAATTGAAATTTAAAGCATCTAGCTAAAAGTGTTCATTTAGTTTTTCGCTCAAACCGACAAAAAAATATTCAAATGTCTCGGCTTTACTTTGATGGCGAAATGATCCCCCAAAAGCAATCACACAAGCACCTGGGTTTCATCTTAGATGAGAATTTGACTTTTAATGACCATATAAACTATCTGTCTAATAAAGTTCAAAAACTGTTAAATCCTTTGAAACTCATATCAAACAAAATACAGTCGCACCATCTTGAAATAATGTATAATTCATATTTGGAGTCTCATTTTGACTATTGTAGCTCCATTTACGGATCGTCATCCTTGGCGGCCTTATCAAAGCTTGATAAAATCCACTTCCAAGCTGCTGTTATATGTACTGGGGTACTGCATGGCTCTAACACCTCAAAAACTTTAAAATGTTTACAGTGGAAACCGCTTACTGACAAAAGACACGAAAAAATCTAAGACTGATGTTCAAAATTGTAAGAAAGGAAGTGCCTTATTATGTCCATAGTCTTTTTGACCAACATCGCAACCAAGCAACTAGAATTTTAAGACACTCCTTACCCTTTTCCTGCCCAAGAAATATTTCAATGAGACTCTCCAAACCACCAGTTTTAAAACTTATAAATGCTTCGAACCAGCTAAGCCAGACTTTTCGTGAAATTCAAACCATTTCTAGATTCAAAAGCTCTATTAAATAGATATTTATCCCTATTTCAAACTTCATACCAACTACAAAACTAAATTAAGTAGAACCAACGAAAAACTGCTAAATAGGCTTCGAGTTGATTTTGCCCTTAAAGAGCATTTCTTTATTCATAATTTTACTGGAATAATTGACAACAAATGCCTCTGTGGCTCTACTGAAGACACAAAGCATTTCATTCTAATCTGCCCTCGCCATACCTATGAACGTAGACTAAATGATGACTGCACTTCGTGAACAAAATGTATTGTTTGATACTGAACTTATTTCTAGTAAGACAGAACAGGTCAAATACTTAATTTATGAAAATGAACTCACTATTGATTCTCAGAAAATCCTGATAGATATAGTGATGCAATTTGTACAGCCCTGTTATAAGTTTCCAACAAATTAATGTTATTATCATTTGTATCTTGTGACAACCCCCCTCCCTCCCAACCTCTCACATTACCAATAACCATCTATGATTACTGTAATTAATCCTCTATTGTAATTTAAACTACCTAGAATGCCTATGGCGATTGGTAGTAGATATTTTGTGTATTTTCTGATTATGAAATAAATAAATAATATGTTTAAAAAACTTTAAGTACAAGTAGATGCAAGGTATTAAAGTATTCTAGATCTTGAGACCCTGTGACAGAGGGTACGTTTTAAGAAGACATACGACTAGTAGCATGCAAAAGCCATCGAAACCTTTTAATTATAAAAGCAAATTGGCTTAATCTCTATCATAATATTACTTCATGTTCGATGATCATGTCTAACGTTATCTTTATGCTCCAGCGATAGTCTAACTGTCCTTACCTTTTCCTCATCCTCTTTTTCTTCTCCATCAACTGCGTCCTGTAACAACAAGACAAAAATGTACTTTAATGTACAGTATGACCAGCTAAAGATGTCATTCAATGAATGCTTCCTCGTACAAACTTAGTTAACACAAAATGAAAGTCCACTTGTCCACGTGATATACGAATACGTATGAGATTCATTTTCCATGAGTATTTAAGTCATATGTTATATCTAATTCAGTACTGTTCATCATTATTGAAATTTGAAAGTATCAGAATGTTTATAATTATCTTTCTAACAACTCAAAGCCAAAAATAGTCTTCCACATATCCTATACAGGTACAGATTTTAAGACTTTTGGGCAGTTAATTATGTAATGATCGAGACTCTAATCTAAACAGCTAAGGAGACAAGACACATACAACACTGACGGATCAAGCCCCTCCCCTTGGTGGGCCCAAAAAATGTTAGGGCCCCAGAAATATTTGGGACCAAATAAAATTGTAGGGCCTCAAAAAAGGGCCTTTTTGGTCATCATTTTTTCCTGACTCAAAATCTGTCCCCCCCCCTCCCCTCCCTCTTGTTGGCTTTTTGGATCCGCCAGTGTATTGCAAAAACAGCAATTGAAATACATGCATCACACAATTATCTTCTACCTTTTCCTCCCCATCTTCTTCCTTTTCCTCCTTTGCCTTAAACACAATTTGTATTATATAAATAACGTTTGACAAAATGATTATGCATAACAAGCGTAATATTAATTAGTTTCTTTTTTCTGTCATCCATGTAAATAAGATATGATGACAAGTATGGTTATGTCGCATTGACATTGGCACTGATTGCTGGGGGCAATTTACATACTGTATAATTGCAAATTGCCATTTACCAGTTTAAATAAACATTTTCTTGATAGTTGCATCAGCTGGTGGGTGAATTGTTAGTGTCTATTACCTGCTCGTGAGTTGATTTCTGAATTAGCCCCGAATCATGATATTATTCCTATAGTCACTTTCGATGATACAATTAATGCGTATGGTTATATCACGAGAAGGTCAACAAAATATATTCATTTACCTATTCGTTCATAGTCAACATTAGTCTTGAAAAAGCTTGATGGGAATTTCTAGTAATTGGAGCTTGTTAATCCCAAGCAAAGAAGTATTTTTTCAAGTTTTGACACTTGGGGGAAGGTTGGCACCAAAGTTTATTGATGGGTCAAGTTATATTTCTTAATGCTATATAGGGCCAGGATTACAGAGAAAGACTTTTTAATCACTGTTCCACAGCAGGAGGACTCTAACAGCAGTTAGCGTCATTCAAGATGGTTGCCGAAATTCTTTTAGTTTTCGATAAACCTCCGACTTCAGTTAAACCAAGCTGAATCTGGATTCCAAAAGTTTCGCCATGCAAACTACTAAAGTTATGATTTTAAACAATCACAAATAAAGGCTCAAACACCCGCAATATTGGAGAATTTTAAAGAATGACTCTAACTGAAATTGGTAATGACGTAGGAATGACGCTTACTAAAATGGGGAATGAAGCTAGCTCTATGGGATGAATCATGAAAGCCCATGGATGAATACATGCAATCTCCATTCAGTTATATTCATCAATGGAGAATATCATGTTTGCGTTAGCGGCATCATCAACTTCAGTTAGAGTCATTCTAAGTGAAGCCGTTTTCTTTAAAATTTTCCAATATCGCGGGCGTTTGAACCTTTATTTGTGGTTGTTTACAATCTGAGCTTTATTATTAAATATTAAATCCAGATTCAGTTTTGAATATATTTCTATCTAAGAGGCTTACATGTTTGTAAACTGTGGTATTTTGGCAACTCAAGATTTTAAAATAGACTAGGAGAAGTGGACAGATTCATAGTCAGATGCGATTTGTAGCATTACCTACTATTATGGGTGACGTCTGTGCTATAAAGTAGGTCATTGCTCAAAAAGACGTAAAAAAATTTAAGGTGATATAATTCAGTCTATTGACAGACGGGATATATCTTATTCCTGAAAATTACTTGTTTAAAAAAGGACTTTTGGTATTCTAAAATCTCATTTGTTGAGTGTGCCCAGCTTTACAATAAAAAGATTAGATCGGAGACTCGGAGGTAGATATACAAAAGTCTGGCATGTGGATGATAATTAGTAGATATAAAATGACAATGTCGTTTTTGTAGTATGCAAGATTATAGCATCTTGGATTTCTAAGGTATGATTTTCCAAGGTTTGTTTTCATGATTGAAAATCAAACTGGGAAACGAGTATGAGATTATAGAGCTTATACAGCTGTAAGCATGTTTTAAAAGCCGTGCATTTTGCTTACCTCTTCTGCTGGTGGTTCTGGTTCTGGTACTCTGTGAAAGACAGCTTCTTCTTCTGGAATAGGTAACTTCAGGAATTTATATAGATGTTGGGTTTCCACCGCTTCAAAGAAGGCTTCGAAATTCTGAAAACATGTTTAAAAATGAATGATAGCATATATCAAGTGTCCCAAATATGAATCACTTTTTAACAAGTGGTTCATCAAAACCATTGAAAATTTGCCTAGGGGTATTTCCAATAAATCGGAGTAGTCAATTGCTGAGAAAACACTTGTCAAAAAGCAATTCATTTTTAGGACACCCGATATAAACCGTAGACGAGTAGCATTAAAGGAGCGTATTTCATTCGAAATGAGCTATAACCTGAAATAGTTAAATGTGTTTTCATGCAGAATTTACGCTAATTTGTACTAAGTGTAACGTGTCAGAAACATATTTGGTTCTTACATTTGGACACTTTTGAGTGAATAAGTTACTTACTCCAACAAAATGTTCTCCATTGAAGATCTGTGGAGGGAGGGGGATTTTTCCTTCGCCGGGGGCTGGCGCATTGCGCCTCATGAACTTCCTCTGGTCGGCCATACTTGGATCACTAATGTCTATCATTTCAAATTCAATATTTTTCGCTTCCAACAAGCCTTGAATTATTGTCTGTTGATTCCGCATCTAAAATGAACATGATATTCTTTTAATTCATCGACAAAATGGAGTCAAAGTTGACATCGAACAAGACACCCAACATACCAATAACCTTGACAAATCTCGCATTGACCTTGACCTTATTTCTAAGTCAGCTAGACGGACATTAGGAATTTGAGAAATTCCAGAAATACAAACAAAGGCATAGAGCATTTCAGTTCTATGCCCATGCTTGATCTATACTGCATTTGACCGACGACGGGAGTAAGTGAATTGCATGTACTCAAAAATGAATTTTACAGTAACTGAATAATAGCATGGATATCCTTTCTGTACATACTTATCAAAAATACAAGTTCTGGGCAAGGATTAAGTGCACAGCAGCACTCCACTGGAAATGTATTCTGAGTCGGATTAACCTAATGACCCGAATTATGAAGTACTCGATCAATTGTACTTTCATTCGAAAGTAGCATACGAAGGTTGATCATAAAGTTCTCATAATACGAGGGGTGATCAATAAGTAATGGACGCTTTTTTACACAGATACTTTTTATAGACCAATCCCTTTGATTTTCCTACCAGTGATACATCATTCAATTATCTATCAATTCTGAAGATTTGAAGACAAAATATATAATATATATTGATATATCCTTATTTCCGTGAAGGAGGTACTGGTACCCCGGGACCGACATTTACGTCACATATTCAGTTTTTAGCCAGTTTGGTATTTCAGTTAGATTTGAACCTTTTATATGCAACAAGTGTTGTGTTGTTTGACATTTTTGCTGACTGGTAACACATTAACAGACAGTATTGTGATGTCAGAGTGTTTTATAGAAGTGGTTTGCAGGTCAATTTGAGAAAGCATTGTGGAAGAAAGGGGTGGTGAGAGAAGGGAACACCCTACTCCATATGGACAAAGCACATGCCCACAGATCTCAAAATCTTCAGAAAACAATATCCCTGGACCTCAATATTGAGCCATTGGCCAATGCACCATATTGTCCAGATCTGCTCACATGTGACTTGTTTATTTCTATACTACTTATTTCTATAGAGAAAGGACGCAGGTTTATTGACATTGATGAAATGAAACAACCCATGCAACTGCATCTTGCGACCATGTCAGAGAATGGATTCAGCCTTGTCTCACAATCCTGAGTTAAGACGATGAGGAAATGTGTACATGTAGCACTTGATGGAACCTATTTAGAGGGCCCTGTGGAATGAATGTGGCATGAATACCACATAGTGATGATAAAATATTCCAAATCAACTATGGCATTACAAAATGGGGTAATTCATGACCATAATGGTTTGTTTTGTTCAGCCTGCATTCAACTGCATTGCATGTTAAACAAGCTAAAATAGCTTCAGAATATATGACGTAAATGTCGGTCCCGGGGTACCTGTACCTCCTTCACGGAAATATGGATATATCAACATGTATTATTTATTTTGTCTTCAAATCTTCAGAGTTGATAGATAATTGAATGATGTATCACTGGTAAGAAAATCGAAGTGATTGGTCCATAAAAACTATCTGTGTAAAAAAGCGTCCATTACTTATTGATCACCCCTCGTATCTATATAATTTCTTTATGTTTCAATATAATTTTCACAGAATGTGCAGCATGAAATGTTTTCTTAATCCAGCAAAACAATAGGACCAATAGATAAGAAACGGTTGCCATAGTAACTCACATCGTAATATTTCAGTTAAAATGACATATACTACATCAACCCTATGTATTGCCTCCACCCCTGTACAATCATGCCTAATATACCCAATTCATTCCCTTTTTGACAGAGGCCCAATCAGGTCTAAATGATGATCGTCATTTTCGTATTATATGTTCTTCATTATAACGTATACATGTATGTGTTATATTTGCCTGAAGATATTAGAACTAACATATAGTTGAGGTAGGATAATAGTTAAAGACTGGAGTTACGTTGGATGAAGGTGAGCTCGATATAGAGGAATCCTCGCAGCTGATAACTGAACCTATTTTTGGCGTAATGTTATTGCATATTGCCAGTGATGAGGTACGCTTAAATTAAAGAAAACTATATCGTACATTATGTGAATTGTGCATTCGTTGGTATAAAAGGTTCAATAAATAATTGGAATTTGATTTTAATTATCTAAAGATAATTGATTTTATCATAGTCTTGCTTAAAATACCCTGTACTCCCCCTTTATCCTTCTCTCTAGTATATTGCCAGGTAAAGAGAGTGAAGGTGACGGGGGTGGATATAGTCTTTGAGCAAGACTAATTTTATCATGATTAATGCATAATGGACCGGAACCTAACAATGAAGCGGTCATCATTGCATTTTTTATTTATACCTTCTTAGCATATCTATCCCAGACTACATCCAGCTCTCCCAGTTTTGGTGCATTTTATATATATATAGAAACATGCTATCAGAGTAACCTTAACTTGATCAGTCAGTTATCTCGAAAAGATACAAAGCTGTGTATGCACACCAAATTATAAGTCAGTCCAGGTAAACCTTTTATCCGCATAATCCGGATATAGACATACACCGGGCTTCTTGGTATTTGGTTATTTACATTCTCAAATCTTGAATATATAAAAGCTAGAGACTCAAATCGGATCACAAGGCTTTTTCTATAAAAAGCCGAGTTTTATGGACTGTTATATGTCCCAAGTCGGTAATTAGCCTGCATTGGAATGGCTCTGAATAAGTATCCTTGAACATGGATCGGTACTTAAACGAATTGCATTATCAAGGATATGGTGAAAACTCATATTAATTTCCCAAAAATGCATCTCAATTTAAAATTGAAAGTACCTCCATGTTTCCAGTGGTCAACGATATGAACACTTTTAGACCACCCTTTTCTGCGCCTTGATCGGGAACCGTCTCCTCCGGAGTACTCGGACTTTCTTCAACCTCCCCCATTCTGAAGACGTCTGAGTACAGGTATATCCAAAATAGTTGCTTCCTTCCTATATGTGTTAGACGATTCTTGTAAGATTTATTTATTTTTGTTACTCCAGTTGATTATACTTGTACACGAAATATGTTATTTACCAAACTCAGAGGATTGCAACCCGGCTGTTCTTTCAGTGGAAACCTTCCAAATGCAACCAGCTTTACGATTTCCGTGACGTCACGCAGCTATTTGTGTACCTTGGTTTTGGCAAGTAAAGTGATATCTCGGGTTAACTGACGATTTTAGTACCATCTATTTTACCGTAATGAAAAGAATGTTTTGTCTTATCTTATGATGAAATGGTATGTATGATCAAAAGGGTTACCAACTATTTGATCACAATTGCAAAGTTCTCTGAGGTACAAAGCCTTTTCATTAATAATTATCATGAAGAAAGACTAAACGTAACAATCTACAAGGAAAAATAATCAAAACTATTGAATCAAAAGGATAACAACTTCCCGGAAAATAAACATATTAATTTTACTTCAAAAATGTTGGTTCTCCAATGATTATTTATGTTATAAACTGAATAAATTGAAAACTTATAGCTTCCCCTGGTTGATCCCTGATCCATATTTTTCAAATATATCGTGCAGTAAGTACAATCACACAATTGTCAGTCACATTTGCTACGGCGATCATACGATCTATCGATTCTACGGCAAATGGCAATACTACGGCTGCCGTGAAAAGTCTACGACGGGATACCTTAGCAGTCACATTTGCTGTGGTAGCCGTTAGGCGTATTTTGATTTTGAAGAGATACATTTTACTGCGGTTGCCATACGACCTTTGAAATAATGACACATGGTCAGCATAGGGCTTTCTTACGACGGGCGTAGTTTCTTTAACAAACATACCAAGGCAGGCACAAGACGGCCCCAGAGGGGCCATTGCGTCGATCAGTGCGGTTCTCAAATGTCTCTTTTTAGACTCAAAATCCAAGGGAAGCCGCAAGTCGACCGTATGTCCGACCTACAGTACGGCCACATTGGAATTTACCGGTTTAAGGAAACCACGGTCGACGTACGTTCACCGTAGAACAAATGTTGTACTTTGGGACTTCAACAGTCGCCTTTGTTCATGTACAGGGTGGCCCAAAAAATGCAACCCTCCATTTCTTCAATATTTTTCTTAAATGGAGATAAATTGCTCTGAGATTTGGCACCCAAGGACTTCATTCAATGTGGGATCCTCTGGCAAAGTTTTAATTATCATAGACTTATATTGATAGAGTTATGGTTGTTTCAAAATATGCTCCAGATGTCGTCAATTTCGCTGAAAATAAACTTACAATGTTCAAGGAAAACTGTTCATAACACGGATGCATTCTTCCCATGGGTATATAATGGCTCAAATTTTTGCAGACATTGCTTATTGGAGTTCTGCAATAGACTAGATGCGAATAGAAATAATCTTGATTTACGTCATTAAATGTTCAAAATTCAGTCAAAGTGATGTCATATTTGAAATCTACATGTAAAAGTACATCTAGAAAAATAGTTTCGAAACTTGTTTATCAACTTTGAAAATTTAATTTTTTTTGAAAATGTAACTTCTAGCTCGGGTTGATTCCTCATAGACCCCATGTTACAAAATCACAAAAAGTGAAATATCTTTTCTTGTATTGGACAGATAACATTTTCTTTTACTGGACATATTTTAATTTGCATAACTATTAGATGCATAAGGGTTATACAAAAATTGAACCACCAAAACAGATGTAATTTAAGTTAAAGGGAACTTTCTACTATACCCGCCATGTTATCTGACCCGAACGAGCCACCTGGTGACGAAACTGGTAACTACTTACTCGCATCTGCGTTATTGCGGTAGGGTTATTTTCATACACATTATCCTTTAAATAACCCCATATATAGAAGTCGGGGGCATTGGGATCAAGACTGGGATGACCATGGAGTCTCCGTCCTAGGAGAGATCATCTTCTCCTAGAAATGACTAGTGAGCCAGGCTATGTTATCATCAATAGTGTGAGGAGAAGCTCCATCCTTCTAGAAACACTGTTCTTGTCTATTGAAGCCTCTGTACCACTCTAGAACTGCCTAGAACTTCCTGGGAACGCAAATATTGCGCTGTGTGTTAACATTAACAGTGTTGGCATTATCAACCTCAAACCAAAAGGGGCTGATGATTTCATGTTTGGAAATTCGCAGCCAAAGCTGTGCATTTAACAGAATGAAAGGGCCTTTGAAGCACTTCATTTGGAATTTGTGATCCCAGAACACATTATTTCTTGAGTTTACATGTTCAGAAAGAAGGGAATGTGATCCATCTGAAAACCTAACATTGGAAATGAACGACATTTGGAGCATATTTTGGAACGTCAATAGCTCTATCAATATAAGACTATGGTTGTTGAAACTTTGCCAGAGGATCCCACATTGAATGAAGTCCTTGTGTGCCAAATTTCAGAGCAATTAATCTCCATTTAAGAAAAATATTGAAGAAATGGAGGGTTGCATTTTTTGGGTCACCCTGTACAAAACTTGACCTCTCCGTTAACTAGCAAGGTATAAACCATGGGCGATAATTAGAACTAAATAACAAGAATTATATGCTCCAGTATCTTTTTTTATATTTTTTTCTCTACAAAATAAAATCAATCAGGCCATTATCTATTTCTAGCCTCCCAATTTTGTTTTTCTTGTCTCCATTGTTTTAACATGTGACCAGGGACACAGTGTTCTTCTAAACAGGCTTCACAGAGGCATCGTCCCATTCTTGTTACAGTTGAAGGCCACTGTGGGACCTGTCAACAGTAAATTGATGCATTTAATACATCAAAACTACTTGCAATATATAACAACCTCATTTCAAAGGGCAACATAGTGAAATCTTGGCCCAGAAGTTATACAAAATATGAGTTTAAGTGTCTCATAACTAAGCATATTGACATCACATTAACATTGTATAAGACCTTGGCTTGGAACATACCATTCCGACTAGGTGCACACGCCATTTGTTCCATCTGATGCCCTCGTGAAAGGTGCGATCACACCCACAACATTTTCTGTCGGCGACATCACAAGCACTCCCCATCAACTGGCAAGTTTTCGTATCTCCTTCTTTAAAGAAACCTCTAGGACATATTTTGTTTGGCACAGTAGATGGAATCCCTGAAGTTTAAGGTAGCCTTCCATTCAATAAAAACGAAGGAGAATGTTTATATAGTCTCGTTTAGTATCCATAAAATAGAGCCTTTCTAACTTTAAACAACATGTAAAAATGCGTTTAATAGTAAATAAACAGATTGCATACGTGTTTCACAATTCAGACCAGTAAATCCCTCACGGCAATTACAAGAATACGTAAGCGTGGACTTGGACTTTACATCTCTCTCATTGCAGAATTTAAGCAAGTCATAATCACATTCTGGGGTTGGTCCATTGGGAACAATCTCCCGAGTGTTAACCGTTGGAAATGCTTCACATATATCATCATTTGTTTCACAAAGTGGTATTGCAAATTTATTTATCACGTTTTCACATACAGATCCTTTGGGACAGGGATTAATATGGTGGCAAAGATCTATAATAGAAGGATATCGAATGGAGTTCATTGCAGCTTTTCTGTACTATATTCTGTAAAGCATTCCCTACCATCGAACGCAAATTCAGATTATCGGCCGGGTATCGAATGTTTTGTCCTTAATATTCTCCAAATGTTACCTTCTCCTTGGCACCTTCCGCCTACCCATCCAGTAGGACAGTCACATCTGTATTCACCTATGAGGTCAATACACTCTCCACCATTGTTACAAGGTGAGCTCACACATTCATCTGATGTAATATTAAGAATGTTAATCCAGCAAGTTGACTATCAAGCGCTTGAATTATGAATTGTCTTAAACAGGCAATGCGCCTATTTTTGAAGGAAAAAGGACAAAATATTATTCCAGACATGTTACTCACACACTCAATCAAATATGATAAAAACTTTAGATTGGATCAATATTGTTTATTCGGATTATTTTCTCGGATTAAAAGATGGCGTATGGTTGAAAATCCTATCAAAAATGAATGGATACTAAATACAAACAACAATGCCATCATTCAATGGCATTGTTAAAAACTTGAAATATATAAATTGATAGATCGAAAATATTTTTTCATGATCTAGTGTCAACTCTGATGTGATCTGTTTGAGCTGTTTTTCGTGTCAAATGAAGGATCAGGTATTTGTTAATCCATTGGAAATACTATGAAGATCAAATGTGAAACTTCATTTACGCATTTTGTTTCTTTAATACAATGATAAATGTTGCTCATTGAGCGTTCTGAGACATAGCTTGAACGTAAATTGACTGGTGGTGTTTTCCGTCGGAATGCAGGATGTTTTATCAAAAATATAGCATATTGTACCTATATCTATTTCACAGAACTGACCGGTGTAACCATACTCGCAAACACATGTAAAGTAGCCAGGCCCATCTATACATTCTGATTGGTGCTTACAAGTAACTCCCCGGCATTCATCTGGAAAAATATGTAGAAAGATTTCTGATATCTTCTCTAGATCTGTGGAGTGAAATGTATAAATTACTTTTTACGTTTTACGTTTTACTAGCAATGGGATAAAATGAAAAGAGTGAATACCAAATGCCAAAACACAAAATGTGTCTTCCCCGTCCCAGTTGCCATTAATACACATCCGAACCTTTGGACCTCCAAGCTCATACCCTGCGCCACAGTCTAATGTATATGTTGACCCATTTACCATTTCCGTCGGTGTATAGACGAAAAAACCATGGTCTGGAGGTTGAAGGTGAACACAACCCCAGCCTATACGAGTAAAGTAAATGTTTATAATATTCACACGCTCTTCCACGCAGAAACATTCAAAATATTTGTATACACTTTTACAATTGTACTATTGCTTATATTATTGCTTATATTATTTTGATTTTTCATGACAATCCTAAATAGATGCGCATAACAAATAGAGTATCATTGATTTTTCAAAAATAGATCAAGAGACGTACTGCAGGTTCCATCTCCCACAGAAGGATCGCATGTGCTGCCCATATTATATTCGATACATTCCGCATCGGAACGACATACGCATCTGCAGTTTGAGCAGGTGGATCGTCCTGGCAAACCAACACAATCGTTGTCTTTACCACATTCAACTCTTGCTGAAAAAAACCATTCAATCTACATATCTGTTTAAGAGTTCTGTTTACAGGGTGACCCAAAATATGGTCAACGAAAATCTTTTGAAAGCCTTTTAAAGAAAAATAGTGTCAACTTAATCATTTTGTTGCATAATTTACATTGTGTGTGCGACAAAGTAGTCTTTGGATGTTTCTGTGAGAGTCAAATAAAATACTCATATTTATTCAAAAGATCAAATTAAATTAATACTACCGCTACTACACTTTCGGTTGTACGACGTGTTGAGAATGCATTGGGAATGGGGTGTGACAATATATATATTATTCAAGTTATTCATGCTATCAAGAAAAATTGAAAAGATGGATGCTTATTTATTGTTACATGTGTATTTTATTTATTTCATAAAGCACGTAAATTATGAAATCGATACCATGTAGTGTGATATGTATGGTTTGAAAGCAATTTGAATAGTTCGAGCCTGCTTCACCCTGTACATAATTCAAGAATACTTAGTATTTACGAAAGACATGGCACTTGTTCATTTTCCTTGAAAATATTAACATTTGCCTCAAATGATTATATCATGTGTGGCTGACCTGTGATATGCTCTCGTCTTTATTATTCTGTTTTGATCATTTCAAATAATAGTGAAACTGCAAATACTGAGAATGCCATTATGTTCCAAGTGTATACATCATTCGGGAATATACAGAACGCTGATGTCAAAATAAGTTCTATCATGATTCAAGTGGGATTCGTCAACCAATTTTCTGCACCAACAATTCCATTAAAAATATATCGATGTAGAGTATGGTTCAATGCGTTTTATGCCAGTAGTACACTTGTCTTTTGGTCTACTCACGATCAATGATGCATGAAGTTGAGAAATCTTCTTCCCATTTGTTCTTTACACATTTTCTTGAAGTTTCTCCCTGTAGGATGTAGCACCGGTCACATGTAATTTTTGCGCTACATCTATCCTCATTCTTGCACGTCACCCTGTTAAAGCAATCACATTGTTTAGTACCCAACCCAAAAAAATCAGTAAACCAAAGGCAGTGCCAAATGTGTAACTCAAATGATAATGTAAATGAATCACGTTTTGTATTTAAATGTGCACTTGGTATTCATCAGAAGCTAGAAAGTTTTTTCTTAAAGAAAACAAAGACATTTTTCATTTAAACATGTTTTTAAAAATAAAAAATAAATACATTAAATGTTTTGGAAAATATTTGCAAAAAATATTTTATATGAGAAAAAAGTGTTTAATTCAGAAAACTGAATTGCACTTATTATTGCAAGTTTGTATGAATGAATAAATAAATAAATAAACAAATAAATAAATAAATATATAATAGTACTCTTATAGTTTGTTTTATTAAGTGGTCGATTTATTCGATTTATTGATCGATCGCTCCGTTGATATTTTCAGATTGATCAATCAAACTGTTCTAATGTTTTATAAAACTAACTCACGTATAAGAACCTCCGTCGATTTCAAACGCCGGACAATTGTGCGATATATTTTTTGGATTATACCCGCTACAACTTTGAATCTTGGGTGTGTGTTCACACTCTGCACAAGGCTTAACTACAAAAAATGGTTAATATTATCAATTAAGATTGAAATCCCCTGTGAATTGGACGTCTGTTTGAATAGTCTTAACTGCTCCGCTTGAATGATTTTATTTATTTATATATTCAGTAGGCTATGTTTTAAATTACCGACAATGAGCGGGTGACACGGATCGTGTGTATTCCCGACGACAGGGTGGTAAGTTGCCTACATAGAAACAGAGGGGGATCTGTTTGTGAACAAATGCTTATAATGGGTGGTAAATGAATGGTGTGTCATAGAGCCCAAAGAGTATAAGAATGATATTCAATTATCAACAAAAGTACTTTTTCAGCAGCTCTCTTTTCAAGATGGGAACACTTCGAGAAGATTGAACCTTATTTGGTAATCGATTCCAAATTGTTGGTGCTGTTAAACTTAACATTGAAATGAAATTCGTCCGTATCTTGGGTTTATCATAAGTATCCGTGTTACTAGTATTGTGTTCATGTCTCGCCTGAACCATTTTGAAAAAGTTAGGACATTTTTTAACTATATTAACTATATAGAACAATGCGGCGCACGGTGCAATGTGTTGCAGTACAGTACATACGCAGTACGGGTGTGAAGTATACATTACCCATCACAAATAACCTGATGATGGAGAGAAAATCCGTGAAAGATGCATCGGCGAATAAAGCATTATCATTGGATAGGTGCTGACCAACGATGGACTGACGTTCCTTACAGTATATCCCCACCTTAAAGTATATATATACGATCTTTATTAAGTTGCTAATAACCCCGTCACACAAAACTTTGTTGTTGACGAACTAGTCTAAACGGCTTAAAAGAATTGCGAGAGAGTTGGATAATAACCAGGGGCGTCAGACCATATTCGAAAAAGAGGGAGCGTTTTCCCCCAGAATATAGGTGGTGCGGCAAGTGAATGCGTGACCAAAGGCCGCTCATATCGTCGGGGGGGCTGATGCTTTTTCCACCGAAAACGTTACCTTATTTTTAACATGTATCAATATCTTTTCTGAACAGCATTTTTGAAATTTCACAGGAATCTCACAAAAGGAATTTCTGGCCAGTATGAGAGCACCCCCCCCCCCCCCTCTGACGCTCATGACAACCTTTCCTCATCTTTGATAAATTAGATATGTACAAGTAGCAATGTATCATATAGGGTCAAAAAATATACACTTACCAAGCAAGGAGTTTTACCATGCCCTTTAACAACCAATGAACCGCCATCGTATGCGTTACTTGGTAACGCTGGTTTTGAGCAAATGTGATTCGGAACAGACAAGTTTCGAAGGACTGCTTTACATTTTTCTGTTTCCACGGTCATCTCATGGCTAACTGAGAAGAAGCAAAATATGAAGGATTACTTTGGAAAGCATAATTAATCTTAATGTTAAATAAAGAATTTACGACCAACACTGCGCCCATCAACAGGACACTTTCTGGTTGATACATGCATTATTAAGATAACTTTACAACGATATCCCTCGTGGACTCTCCTCACGTTCAGGAACATATTATTTCCCTCTTACCTATACGGTTAGGTCCTGTAAATCCAGACCACGTAACTAACGTACCATCAGCCACTGTATATTCACCGAAATTTATAGGTCCCGCATCGTCTCCAGACGTGTCCAAACATCTTTTTAGCTTGAATATTGTAACACCCAATGCTATAACGTCAATCTTGATAAGTTGGTCATTCTCAGTGTTTGCTTTGACCTCTTGTACGTTTGCCTTGCTTTTGTGCCCAGCAATCACACTGCAACACATGTACTCAAAAATAAATAATAAATGATCTATGATAATCAAAAAAATGAAATATCCACGGGAAATCAATCGAACTGAATCTTGATGCGCATTGTAATAGTGATTCCTTTAATTTACTCATATTAAATGAGATGGCAACACAAATAAACAATAACATTAAATCCGATTTATATTGATTCATTGTACTATTTCATCTATTTTTATACTCACGTTATACGCTTATTCATTTTACTCTTCAACTGGTTTTGGACACATTTAGACGGTGCCAAAATATGACATTTTGTAACAATGATGCCAGTGCACATTCTGTTGCCATTCTTAACACGAACCAACCAATGATTGGTCAAACGCGAATCGTCTTCTCTTTTCTCTGTTTGTGTTGAGGTGCGATGGATATCTTTGCCTGGCTCAGATGAATTAGATATATGAACCCCTTTGTCCTTTTGAGTCACTTGCTCTTTAGGCTTACACATTTGTACTGATGGACTGTCACAGTTTGTGCATGGGTTAGCTGTCAAAGTATTAAGAAATGAATAATATATTTAAATTATGGATATACAATGTATTTGGTTATTATATTCTTCCAAGCCCGGGATGCAGGGAAATGTTGAACTCGTGAAAGATGCACATTTATCGTATCATTGATAGAAATCGTGGCAATATATAAGTATAAAAATCATTGAAAGATGAACAGATATTGCCCTCCAGAGAATGAAATATTTGCTTATTATTTCATAGTCTCATGTAGGACATAGACCAATACAGAAAGTGAGGAATATGAGTACAGTGATGTAATTCATGATAATAGAATTGATTTTTCTGTAGTTTACTTTTTTGTGACTACAGAAACGTAAAATAAATTTAATTGGAATAGTGTTATTTTCGTAAATGCATATAATGCATCGACCTACTTGCTGACCATGATTGATATGTCATTATGTTTGTCAAACATGTTTGTCCAAAGTAGAATATTTACTTCATAATAGTGCATTAAAGTACTTTACATCAATTTTATTTGAAACGATTTCCCTTGGAATATTTAAAAATATTATGCTTACCGTTAATGAACCGAAACAACATGTCCTTTGCAATCTTGTTCACAGTAACATCGATGTATATTGCCACTGATTTTTTCTCCCCTCTTTTATTAGTGATATCTTTACTTTCACTTGCCAACCCTACCTTGATCAATACATATGAGACATATATCAAATAGACCAATCCACAATAGAAAGTGATCTCACCTTCGAATTCCAATTAATTCCAATAATTATTATATATATAATTATTATATGATTGTAATAAAAAGCGGGTCTTCGAAGTTGAACGATTGTGTCTTAGATTGACTTAAAGTTTATTGAAACTGTAATATATGGTATGATTAATTACTACATCAACCAATGGTGTATAATGCTTTTCTTAATCGATAGCTCAAAATGGATTTAAAGTGAGATTTTTCAGTTCTGAATTACTCAGAGTACAGCCTTCAACCCTTGACAGATCATATCAAAAGGGAAAACACAGTGCTTAGGAGATGACAGACACAATTATGTCTCTTGTTCACAACATTCGTTTGTTGCAATTTTCACTGGCTAGTTTCCGAATAGCAAACGTCGTCATGATGTTTTGGGTTATACTTCATCATCATTATGATGTCAAAAAGATTTGAACTAATAGCTAGATAGTTTTATTTTAAAAATCTATTAATTTTTTTAAAATATATGAATTTGAACACAAACTATTACCATACAAGGTTGGCCATCTTTAGCCGTTGCAACCATTGCTCCCCCATAATCCACCTTCTTCACAGTGTAACCATGTACACATAAGACACCCCGTTTATTTCCATCTGGACAGTTAGTTGTTACTGTCACACGATGTGTTTTAATCTGATTACGTCTTCTATCATCAGGCGAAGACTCCAATGAACGGACGGTTGTTACCATGCCAACATTTACTCCCCTGCTTGTAATTTGAACGGGTGCTACATATTTAGTGATTTCAACACATTCTGCAAGTTGTGTTATTATCGCTCCTGTAGCCCGATTTGATTTGTATGTCCTTGGTGTTTTTTCAAACGCTATTTGTACATCATCTTTGTTTAGTGTTCCTTCACCAAGATACATTCTACAGATATAATCAAATTTTGTTAATGATTTTTGACGATCATTTATCGGCAGGTGATTTTATACTTTAAAGTGACGGTCGTTCACTTTCTTATGTTTCCCTTATATAATAGTTGATGGTCGCTGATTGACGATTAAGTGCAATTCCTTTGGCTCACCTTATCCCATTGTCTTTTTGAATGCACCAACTCGTCGACAGGACATGACATGGTGTCACCAAGGTTCCAGTACAATTTTTCTTGCCATTTGTAATTCTAACAGCCCAATGCGCAAAATCATCTTCTTTATACTCTAATGATGTTGACACTGAGACCAACAATGTAACCAATAGTACGTTGTCTAACCCACATACTAAACTTTGTGAGGAAGAAAAGATATTTAGTTGCTCGTGTATCCCATATTTGATCATGGGGTTCTAGTTGAAAGCCCATGATTTGATCTAAGGATAATTAGATAACAGCAACGCCAAGACGTAGCAATGTAATCCCCTCGAACAGCCATGATTGCCATTTTTACAAAATCCTTCCCCTGCTTGTCAGTTAGACCAAAGATCGTAAAATAACACAAATAAAATGCCACGAATTTTCGAAATGGTCACTCCCTAGCCAAATTGTCATAAAAAAGTGTAATGTCCTCCTCAGTAGACATGATATAATATTTTAACAACATTGCTTCATTATTTTTAAGTTATAGTAAAAAAAAAAGTTAAACATCACACTTTATACATGACGGCCATTTTCAATAGGTATTTAGCGTGACAATCCGAATTAGACGTTTAGTATTTCATATTTTGGTTGAATTTTCTCGTGCACAATCAAAAGTCCTTGGGCCTGATATTTCTGTCACTTAGTCTAGTTTCTATAAATGGAACCATACCGAAAGGAATGGTATCGATATGGAGCACTTTTTGAACACACGTCTCTCTTAAAGATATGCTATACAGATATGTAGGTCAGTATTACATAATCGTGAAATGAATATGTCTGAAAATATCATTGGTCAGAAAACACTAAAGCCTGCTTGAAACTGTAAAAGTTTATACACTCTATTCCACACTGTATAGAAATAAAATAACTTACACTATTAGTAACTGTTAGCCAATCATTGCATAGAAAAAACTTTATGCACTGTTTATAAGATTCACTGAGACAAGTGGGTCAATACTCCGTGTACTTTATGTGCTCTCACACAATTACCTTCCCTTGCATAAAGTTGCTGTACAGTTATATGTAACTGAATATTGTATATTCATCACAAACAACCTTAGCAAAATGATGGTTCGACGAAATGGACGGTTCGCTAAAACCAATAAACCAGGCAATTCAGGCCAATTTGGAAAAAAAACTAGATAGTGTGATAGCGAATGAGGATAGTAAGTGAAATATATTTTGCAAAGGTCAGCTTGTAAACTACTGGGTAACCCTAAATGATGAGAAATATGTACAAAATATGTTTTGCATGATTTATTCATATCCCAATGATTTAACTCCTTCACTGCATCTAATAAGGTATATAGATACTAATTACGGGACATTTAGGAATTAATTAAGTGACTAGACCAAAGCAAGCATGTTTGAGATTTTAATGATTTTAAATAAATTACCACTTCATTATTTGCTTTTAGACATTCAATCAGTTTTATTTGTCCAACAAACCATATTCACAATTGTTCAATCCAACGAAGATTAGGGGGATAAGCTATAGAGACCCCTCCATTTGTCCGTCCATCCATCCTTCAACTGGACAACAGCAACACCAAAGTGTAGCAAATCTCATCGAACAGCCATGGCTGACATTTTTTTTACAAACAAAGTATACAGCAAAAATGGCAGCCATTTTTCAAAATGGCCTCCTTCTACCAAAAGTGTCATTAGACAGTGTGCCACGCTTATAGTATTCACGCATCAAATATGAACAAAATCGCTCTACTACTTTTCGAGTTATAGTAAAATACGTTAAAATGACGGCCATTTTTCAAAATGGCTGCCTTCTACCAAAAGTGTCATTAGACAGTGTGCCATACTTATAGTATTCACATACCAAATATGAACAAAATCGCTCCACTACTTTTCGTGTTATAGTAAAATACGTTAAAATGGCCGCCTTCTACCAGAAGAGTCATTAGACAGTGTGCCATGCTTATAGTATTCATATACCAAATATGAACAAAATCGCTCGACTACTTTTCAAGTTACAGCAAAAATCGTAAAATAACGAGTAAAGGCCGCCATAGTTCAATTCTTAGAAGCAAATGATTCTAAAAGTACAACATATCTCTGAAAAAATATCATTCTGTTAAGTGAAATTGTAAAAAATATTTTGCAATGTGTGAAATTGAATTAAAGCACCTGATTCAATGAATAGTGGATGCTTCAATTCACGTATGTCTTCTAGTCTAGGCTTTGAATTTGGACTACCACCCTCGTTCATAGTCTAGAATCAGGACATATGTTAAACTTAATCATCTACAATGCATTGAGTCATTGGCTTAAATCCTATAATATAATATGCCTATCAATATAATATGTAATTATTTAAGTATCATCTCAATGCTTTAATTTTAATAGAATTATTTTAATATTTTACTAACTGTATAATATGTAGTTTGCATTACTGTTGATAAATAAATAAATGATTGCACTGTTCAGTAAAGAAATATAGCAATTGTATTATTTAAACTGACTATACACTATAGAAATGATTTTCATTGAAAAATCAAATCAGTACCAAAATTATGGTTACCCTGTAGTAGTGAAAGGCACATTAGAAATGAATATCACCCCCTTCAATCTATTTTTACAGGTTTTTATGATTATTTCAGATTTTTCTATAGTTTGCGTAACCAGGACGGTGAATTTTCTTCATTTTTCATCAAACATTTCGTCTTACCAATATTTATTATATCTGTCAATTTTATCAAAATCGCGCCGCTACGTTTGAAAATAATTCAAATTATGTAGTTTTTCCCATGAGCTCCATTATAAAAATGGAATTTTCAAACTTAATATTTTAAAATTCTACGTGGTGAAAAGTTGCATATTGAGTAGTTAGTTAATGTTATGGTGTTAAAAATTCAAAACAAAAAGGAATAAAGAAAAAATGCCACAGAGAAGTCTCAATAGAGTATCTTTAAACCAGTCATAAAAAAATCTGAAAATTTAACACATCGTCAATTTAATGGTCATCTTTTTGAAATATATATATATAATTTCATCTATATTGTTTTAGAAAACACATCAAACACTTGTTTTGTTCTTGGTATCATGTCCAGAGTGAATGTACATCTTTCCGAACCTCATTAGAACAAAACGACCTAAACACAGCATGTTTAGGTCTCTCAATATTGTAATTGTACAAAGGAAATTTTGGTTGATTTTAAAAAAGTATCTTGTTAATGATCGAAATAGGACAGACGGACGCGCCTAGGCCGACAATATGGCCCAACACTATGTGGTGGGGACATAAAAAAGGTTTATCTTGGTTTTTATCTATTTTGGGGGGATTTTGTTTTAATTTTTTGAATACTTTTTTAAAATCAACCAAAAATTCCTTTGTATAACTATAATATTGAGAGGTCTAAAAACATGTTGTATGCTATTTTGTTCCAACAAGGTTCGGAAAGACATTTTATTTCATTCTCAAGAATTCGTAGAAAGGAGCAAAAACAATTGAACAAAAACAAAAAATGTTAACAAAAACAGTTATATAAAATATTTCTAAATAATTTTCGCATTAAATTGTTGTCAATCAGTCTGCATGACATAAAATGCCGTGTTTTTACAGAATGTTTTCAATGATTGGTTTAAGAGAAAAACATTGTTGAATTCAGTTCTCCATATCGATACCAATCCTTTCGGAGAACATCGCATAGATGTTTTTGAAGTTATAAGATGAAAATGGGAAACGTTTCTTCGCTCGATCATGCATAACATTTCATGCCAAACCATTACTATGAATACGTCCTTGCTAATCTTAAGGTCATTTTGATTTGCCAATATAAAGTGACTTATTAGATATGTGATACGTGACGTATTAGAATTGATTCAGCATGTCCCTCTTGTCAACTTACATATTAATCATAAATGTCAATATGATTATCGACTTTAAGTTGACACCTACTTTTCAGCCAGTGTAATATAATTGAAATTGGACATTTCTTTTGTACATGTCTGGCTACGGCCTGTTAATTTCGACGGTGACCAAACAAATGAAAAAAAATATAAATCCAGGTTATAATTTCTACGGCGAGCCTATGGCCTGTAAAAACTGGATACACCGTGCAGAGACCTCAACCTCCACATTAAGAATAGCGTGTCTGTTTGATATAAATCGAATAAGTTATAACTAATCATCAAGTATGTAAAGTTGTCAAACTCAGTGAGGGGCGTGTATGTTTGAGTTATCTATATCATAATTTAAGTTCACCGGATCAATATTCGGATAATTTGTTTGTTTGTGACTTATATACGACGGAAATGATAATTCTGGGTCGAAGTAATTAATTTACATTGCTTTTCATGGTTGATCAAACGAAAACCCTTACCTAACAAGTACTGATGAATTGTGTTGCTTATCCTCCTTTGAATATATTGAAGCCAGGAAACGTGAAATCATTTGTTAAATGAACGCCTATAATAATTTGTGATATCGTATGCTCGAATACCAGTGAATATTCGACCCATTTCTCTATATCTAATTACTAAATGTTGAATGTTGTCCATTTTGGCTCCCCTCTCCGTTGAGAAACCATAGTCCCCTTTACACCAACCTCATTTTGAATAAATACAAATTTTAAATGTTTTACTTTACCTGGTCTGCATTGTTGATGATATCTTTACACGTAAGATATATCTGTTCCAACATGCTTGGTTGCTTTTTAATCCTATCTAACTGAAACATATTAAATTTGTGTACACTGAAGTATGATTGATTAAAACAACTGAGGTGAGAAAACACAGGATATATTAAGACATGGATGTTATTTAGATGGGGCAAACATTGCGATGATGGTCTGCTATAAGTATCTTATTGAAGTTATTAAAGGGGCAGCAAATGCCAAGGACGAGTTAAAGGTGAGTTAATAATACCATATCCTCACCGTTTAGTCACCGTTTGATTTGTGAAACATGGTTTTAATATCAAAATAATAGTATGCTGTTGAAAGGACAAGTCTCGGTTTGGAGAACAGTTTCCTGGTTTTAAAGTAACTGCAATGAAACATCAACTCTTTCTACTGTCACAATAATCATCTATTGCGTATTAATTCGAGTTTAGATATAAATAGATGGCTGTGCAATCAGCTCAGAAATGACATCAACA